CGTTGCCTCTTTTCGAGGAACCTGTGCGCGAAATTCGTGAGCCTCTCAGCGCCTCCTCGTGGGCGGCCGTGTTCTTCATCCCGCGCCTTGCCTCGCCAGCAAGCAACGTCGAGAGATACGTCAGGTCCATGGCGCCGCGTCAAACCCCCCGGTCCTCGAGCTCTTTGCCTGATTGGGACTGCTGTAGAGGAGGACCAGACATGCGGGGGTGTTCTCTCGATTGCGTCCTGACCCCCGCTTGGCTTCCACAAAAGTTCCCAGCCCGGCTGCCGCAGGCCCGCATCGGCACAGGGATCACGCAGGGCAAGGGGGGGACGCACATAATGTACTATGGTACACTCGGATGGACTCAACCTGCTTGCTTGCCTGTTGAGCCGTTCGCATCTCTGCGTCCAGCAGTCGCAGTGCACTGCGGATGCGATGGGGATGGGGCCTTCGCGCCCTTCCAAGACGTCGACCTGGGCAGATGATGGTTCTCTGCAACTCGACGTTTCTCTCTCTCTCTCTCTCTCTCGTCTGGGCACCTCGGCTCTCTTCATGCGAAGCTAGGCCTCGACGCTGTCAGGAGCATGCATGCAACCCTACGCGGCGTGTCTGAAGCTTCAACCCAATGAGCGAAATTCAAGGGGACCTGATCCTTTCCCCCTCTGGCCGCAGCTTCGAGTCTCAAAGATCTACCTAAGCTTCCTGAAGATGGCGAGATTCTCGACCTCTGACGCGGACGACTCTAGAGAAATCGTAGCATATGGGACCGCAAAGTGGTGTGCACCGTATTTGAGGGAAAGTTGGGTTGTCGATCAGCGACACCGGACAAGACAAATTTGCCTCTGTTGAGCGGTTCCGTCGCCACACCTTCTTTTCGAGTCAAAGGAGGGGGAGATTCTAGACCCCCCCCCAATTCGCATATCGATGTGGATGTCCAGAATCCAAAAAAGCCCAGAGGTCGCCCCCGTTTGTCGGTCCGCATCAGTGGGCTGTCGCGTCGCAAGTGGCACACGAGATCGTCTCTCGGCTTGTACGCCCACGCGGCGGCACGCTTGCCAGTGCAGGGCGGAATCTGGACACGACGCGGTAGGCGCCGTGGTCGTGAGGTTTTGGCTTCGCTGTCATATCTCACGGGCATGAAGAATGGCAGGCAAAGAAGCACGGGCGCGGGCGCGGGCCAAGCTCTGTGAATCCAGCCGCTGCCACCGCACTCGATGGACTAATATTCATACGCATGGAGGCCAAGTCGGCGGTTACTATCAGGGTGTGCGGGCTGTTCGCGGCCCGGCTCGGAGTCTCTGTGCAGAATACGAACGAGAGGAAAAAAATTTGCATCTTCGCAATTCCCTATTCCAATGGCGTTATACAGGCTAGCGAGAACCTCATCTTCACCTCCTACCTTAATACCACTCCCTGTCCATCAAAAGTTCGTCCCTTGGGCTTCGATATTACCTTGTCCTGTCTCCCGCATCTATAGTCCGAGGGCCAAGCTGGGTCGGGGTGACACGGACGACGAACTGCCTGGTTTCCATTACTTGATATCTTCGGCACTTGGCCCAAGCGAGCGAGCAAGTTGGGCGTGCGGCCATCCAGACCTGCTTGCATTTCGAATTGGGCCTTATAAATGGAGTTCGAGACAGGTGGGGTTCCGCAGAAATAGGGGCGTGAGTTGAGGTCAAAAATCAGCACGCCCGTGAGGGTACACGACAGCGTTGCCTTGTGGGACGCAGACACGAGGCACCGGCGCTGGGCCCCCGGAGTCACGATGAACGTTCGTGGGGGGTTCCTCGTTCACGGAGTCGCACAGCGCCGTTGCCTCCCTCTGGGCCGAGGCGGAACCCTTGAAGGAAGGACGTGAGCCTTTTTGCGCGACGATGGCGCTGCTGTTGCGGTCGGTAAACGAGGTTTGTTGTCCATTGGCAGGAGTACGCAGGAGCGAGGCGTTTCCTCAGTTCACGCCTCAATTGCGGCTCAGGCGCTCGTGTGCGACACGCCAGACTCGGCGTGCCGTCGATATGCAGGCGACGATGTGCCTCGTCTTGGCCGCGATCTGTGATGTAACTTTGCAGTTGAGGAGATGCCAACAACTTTCGCTTCTTTGCCTCTGTACGCAGAATGATTCTGGAGAGCACAGAGTCTGAGATGTTTCTTCAAAGTTTCTTCGTGAAGCTTTGGATAGTAGCCACGGGGTTCTCAACGTTGCCAAAACTGCCAGTTCTTCTATGTCCGTTTATCCAGTGTTGACGATGGCATGGGCAAATGGAGCAGGTGAGCGGAGGGATAGGTAGATGCGTATTCGATATGCACGTTGCGTATAACCCAGGAAATCGTGGCTGTCTGTATACACATAGAGCTCTTACATCGTTGCCGTTGTCCTTGGACGGAATTGGATTATGAACATCAGGAGTATTCATTCAGTTGATGAAGGGTTGTCATAGTGGCGTCTATTTCTTCGCGTTGACGATACACGTGCTGCTCTGGAATCGAGATGAGCACTTGGAGATGTCGATGAGCTGAGCTACGATAGATATGCAATGTAGGTAGATGTCATATTTCTCGGATGGGATCAAGCAACGTAATGCGAGGTTCAGGTTACTGCTGAATTACCATTCTTCCTCCCGAACTGTGTTCGTAACCCCCAGAAACGATGTCTCCTTTATCGACTATGACACTTGAAAGGCTGGCATGATTGACAGAGTACCGTGACTTCAGTGACGACCAGCATTCCGTATCACCAACGAGCTCCCAAATCACTGATACTTCCGTACTCTGGCGGGGTATCGAATAGATGCTTCACGATATCTACATGGGAAGCGACGGCTACCATTTGAAGATGGCCAAAAAAAGTTTACTTTGACGGCAGTCACGGTTCTAGGCACGATGTTCGATATTCGATATTCGGAAGCGTGAAATCATCATGAGGAGGCTAAGGGTGTAATGAGGTTCTGGTTGTCAATGCTACCAGGTCAGTAAAAGAAACTGAACAATCAATCCTATCATGCTTCGAGTGATCATTTCAGGATGCCAACTGCACATAGGTCCAAATGAAACCATAAGCTACGTTGGGGTATTCTGAGAAAAACCCAAGCAATCAATCACTTGAAGGACCGTGAAGTTCTAACTCTGAAACTTCATAAATACTAGTTCCGCCCATTGCGTTACCAAGAACGGACGCAGCGACTAACTGATGCGTACTATGACTTTATGCTCGAGTCGGATGACTATTGATTACAATACTAACAAGTGTTCGACACTTCATCCGTTCCTCAAGGAAAGTCAAGACATCGGGGCTACAACGAGATCTTCCAACCTCCTGAGACCATACACAGCTATGATACACGACGAGGCCCCCAACGGCAAGGACAGAGCTGTCAGTATGGCCAAGGAAACCTAGTTTAAGATCCTCTTGAGAAACAAGAACATTATCGACAGCACATTGATGGGAGTATCAAGCTCCAATTCGTCACCGCCGTGCCTGCTTTAATGTTGATGTTGAACAACGGGCCTGGTAGAGCTGTCGGTGTGCTCGATTCAAATATGGACTCAACGTTGCTGCGACTGACATCACTCGTTCATCACGGTAGACAGGGACGCAGGACGAGTTTCACAGTGGCGGACTGAGAGCCCTTGCATACGATATTTAGTACATGTCTCTGAGCAGGTACGTGGAGCTGCTCAAACTTGTTGTTTCTGGTGGTCAAACTACTAAACAAACACCTTGCTTTGGAAAGACTCGTACACCTTCATGATTCTACACTACAAACCCTTGATTAGTGTCGTCGTCTCCGTATAATCACGTCCTAAACTAACATCGATGTTCTCAAATTTGGGTTATAAGGTGTGGGCAGAAGCCATAAGAAACTTGCCATGCACAACAAAATTTAATACATCCAGTCTGTATGAAGTACATCTGGACAAGAAATAACTACATGAACACATCAAAGAACGTTAAAACATCAATACACTTAGCCCGTAGGCCATGCATATTGCCTAGATGATCAGACGCAAGCGCAGAAGTTGAACGACGATAGTACCGGCATTCGCGTACGAACTGGACGATTATACTCAATAGCACTAGTAACACCAAAGTGGCATCGTGGAAACCATTCATGTCTAGTATGACAGTCTGGTGGCTTGTTTTTGCCTACAGCTCGGGGATGTGTTCTGCATACAAGAGGTCGCGGGTGCAAAGAGAATACACAAGTCGATAATAACACCACGAAAATCCGTTCAGACCTCACGTTCAGCTACTACTCAGAAGAAGCCGCGGTAGGAATGCACTTCCCTCTTTTTACACAATCAGGAAGGCTTTGTGTCTTTGTCTTGATTGACCAAAACTGGCCTCTATCTCCGAATCAGAGCTCCTAACAACGACTACTTACGGAGACCACAACAATGCAAGTCAACGCCGCCTTATTGAACTTGTAATCACTGTGAGCCCGGAGTTTATAATCGGTTTACTTGTGTTATTACGAAACGATTCATGTAAAAACCACAGCATTCGCTCGGACGTACGCGGCGCGAGGTGAGCATAAACATGGCGGCCGCTGACACCCGAGCGGAACTCCGTGAAACAAAAGAGACCGCAGTCCCCTAAACCGAGTGCCATGCTTGCTTGACGCACAGCCTCTGCAACGTTGACATGCCGCACGGCGAAGTGTCTTCGCCAGTGCTCAGCTTGCAACTGACTTCTACTGTTGAGTCTGGGCAGCATAGGGGAGCTTTGAGGCACAGCTACTGCGGCAGCCATATAAGGGCAGTCAGCTTACGAATTTGATTTAGTAAGCGAAGGTACGATCGCGTTTCTCAGACGTCATTGTCACTTAATCACAGGCCGTCAACTAAATTAAATCATTCTGTTGATTCGTATCGTTGACTATATCTCGTACTCAGTACTCAGTCAAAGACAGTGGCGTTCCCTGACCGCCATTCCGACGCGATGGAAACTGCATCCCTCACCCCGACCCCGGCATTACAGAGCAACGCGCTCTGGGTATCATTCTAAGTGTGTGTGTTTATTTCGCCTCCAGCTCGTCGAGGATGGGCTTCTCCAAGCTCTCGGGCTTGGTGGTGCTGGCCCAGCGGCCCTTGACCTGGCCGTCGCGGCCGATGAGGAACTTTTCAAAGTTCCACTTGATGCGCTTGAGGCCCATGATGCCGGGCTTCTCGTCCTTGAGCCACTGGAAGAGGGGGTTCGCGTTGTCGCCGTTGACGTCCGTCTTCTGCATGATGGGGAAGGAGACGCCGTAGTTGACCTGGCAGAAGTTCTGGATGTCGTCGTCGGAGCCGGGCTCCTGGCCGCCAAACTGGTTGCAGGGGAAGCCGAGGATGACAAAGTCGTCGCCGTGCTTCTCCTTGATGTCCTTGTAGAGCTTCTCGAGGCCGGCGTACTGGGGCGTGAAGCCGCACTTGGAGGCGGTGTTGACGACGAGGACGACCTTGCCCTTGTAGTCGGCGAGGGGGACCTCCTGGCCGCGCTCTGTGCGGGGGAGCGTCAGCGACGATGAACGCAGCACGGGAGATGGCGCACCGAAGGGAGAGAGAGGAGGGGAAGAAGACGCATCACGTACTGTCCAGGGGCTTGAAGTCGTAGAAGCCTGTTGCCGATGCCATTGCTGCGGTGGTGTGGAGTTGTTTGTTTGTAAGGTTTGCGACAGTGTTACCCCGCAATTGGAAGTTGTTGAATAGATGCCGTCGGTTCGACGATGCACGAGTCTGGAGCAAGTTGTAGGAGAGAAGAAGCTGTCCGGGACGCACAGCTACGGGAGCAACGGTTGTTATGGGAGAAAGAGCTCTGGTATGTAATTGGCGAAACATGTCATGCGCGACGCCACGAGGGATGCAAGTACTATGTAGGAGCAGGCTGTGGACTGCCCGGGACGAAGTTTCAATCCGGTTTCCAATGGGTCCCTGGGCACGGGCGCGCACACGCATCGAAGCTACGCTGCCTTACGGGGGAGTGTAGCACCCTCCATGTCCACTCGCAGCTCCTCTCCACAGAGCTACACCTCGAAGAGGCCAAACTAGGAGGGGTTGTGACGCGGTCTCGGTTAAAGCGGGGCTCCGTTGCGATGGGCGGGAGGGTCGAGGAGCTCTTCATCGGCCGAGGTACGGAGTACGGAGTACGGCGTACCTTTGGAGCAGAGTGTTTGGAACCAGAGTCGCTGACGGTGCAGCTTGAGCTACTTCAATGTTACAACTATACATTTTCTCTAGACACACACTAACAATTTACGGAGAGGAAAGCACTCTCCAGGCTTTTGTCCAACACAATCACCATCCTATGAATCTAAGCTTCATGTTTGAATTGCTTCAGAACCCGATTTGGAATTGCATTCTCCATCATGTGAGAGTGGGGCCACTCGGCCCAATGCGTTGTTCCGGTGTCCGACTCGCCATTCCACTGATGGACGACTCATTCATCACCATCAACCTTTGGAGGCCCCGGAGCTTCCGTCGCGGGGGAGCCGTCCAAGTTGAGGCAAACAAACCGACGTAGGCGCGAGGCTCCTCGGCCTCGAATTACTCAGCACCCGCAAAAGGTAGGCCGGCCCGCGCCAACGAACCTCGGACTACTGCCGCGGATCAATCCTTCTTCCGGCATGGCCACCAGCTCTCGCCGAGGTGATTTCCAGATCTGGACAGAGCTAACCAGAGGTCCCCCAAACTGCACTGGATCCCTGGGCCAGTCGCTGACCCGCGCACCTTTCGTCAATTCTCGGTCGCGAACCGCTCAATCACGCCGGTCGAGCTGCACCCACTATCGGGGGGTGGTGCCGTCCGTCTCGCTCTATCAGCATCTCGCTGCATCACCACCCGTTATCGATAAGGCACTACCCCGCGCTACCCCCGGTCCGGGCGTGCTGAGAGGTTGAGAGCAAAAGCCCCACGGTGACGAAATGCCCGCCGTCAGGAAGAAGGCCAAGACGAAGAAGCAGCGCCGCGAGAAATCGCAGCAACTCGCCGCCGCACGAATCCTCAAAGAGGCATTGACACCGCCGCCGCTGCCAGCCATGGACCCCCAAGCCAAGCGAAACATTGTAATCGTCGGTACGTCTTCCCACAGGGCCGTCGTCGCGGCTCGAGGCCACGGCCGGAAGCTGATCTGAGAGGTCGTGCGCCGCAGGTGGTGGCATCATCGGTTCCACAACCGCCTACTTCCTCACCAGGCACCCCAAATACAATCCCGCCCTGCACCGGATAACCATCCTCGAGGCCACGTCGATCGCGTCCGGCGCCTCGGGGAAAGCCGGCGGTCTGCTCGCCCTTTGGGCGTACCCGCAGTGCCTTGTGCCGCTGTCGTACCGCTTACACAGGGAGCTCGCCGCGGAGCACGGCGGCGAGAAGCGATGGGGCTACCGCAGGGTGAACTGCGGCAGCTTCGAGGCCCGCGTCACCAAGCAGATGCTCGACAAGCTGAAGCAGGCCACCGCGAAGCCGGAGGCGGTCGCGGCCGGCGCCAACAACGGGGAGCAGGAGAAGGGCTGGGAGAGGCTGCCGAAGCAGGACGGGGCCGCCGAGTCCATGCTGGAGGAGTCGGTGCTCCCGCGGGACCTTGACTGGGTGGACCGGGACGCCGTCGAGTCGTACGCGGAGATGGGCATGCCGGGGGCGACCGAGACGGCGCAGGTGCACCCTTACCACTTCACCACGTCGATAGCGGCGCTCGCGCAGGAGAAGGGCGTCGAGGTCCGCACCAACGCCCAGCTGAAGAGCATCAAATCGTCCGGCGAGGGCGTCGAGAGCGTCGAGTACCTTGACCGCGACTCGGGCGAGACGCGGACCATCGAGGGCGTGACGGACGTCCTGGTGTCCGCGGGGCCCTGGACCGGCCGCCTGCTGCCCGGCTCCAAGGTCACCGGCCTGCGGGCCCACAGCGTCGTGTACAACGCCGACGTCAGCCCCTACGCCGTGTTCACCAGCATCAAGCTCCCCGCCGACTTTGTGCCGGAGCACCGCGCCGCCAAGGGCCAGAAGAGGAAACACAAGCGGGTCGTCGACCCGGAGATCTACGCCCGGCCGGACGGCGAGGTATACGCCTGCGGTTCGTTCTCCCCCGACCCCACCCACCTTCTCAAGTTGCAACCGCCCGTGACATGATGCTGACAGGCAGCCTGACGCAGGCGAACCGGACGAAAACGCACCCCTGCCGGACACGGCCGACAAGGTGCAGGTGGACGAGGCCAACTGCGACGACATCATTTCCTACATCGCCACCGTCAGCCCGGCGCTGGCCGCGGCGTCCATCAAGGCCAAGCAGGCCTGCTACCTGCCGCAGCACGAATCCGGCCCGCTGATCGGCGCGACATCGGTCCCCGGCCTGTGGCTGGCGGCGGGCCACACGTGCTGGGGCATCCAAAACGGCCCCGCCACGGGCAAGCTGATGTCCGAGTACATCCTGGACGGCAAGCCCACCAGCTCCGACATTTCTTCCCTGGACCCGAGGCGGTTCAAGGTGTAGATGCTCTTATAGACTGGGTGCATGTCATGGGGCGGTAGAGACCCGATATGGCTTGCTTGTATGGGAGCAAAGACAACAATACACTGTAGACAGTAGAGAAACAGCTTGCAACGAAGTATGAACAATGATGAATGCATAAAATCTATTACAGAGCCCGTTCCGATGCTAATATTCGGGCGCGTTGGGCGTCCTCGTGTGGCTCCCGATTCCTCTTCTAGCAACGAGAGTGGACAACCCACCTGCTCCCAGCCAATGCAAGCTCTCATTCAAATCATTATTCCCGTCAAAACTCCCAGTAAAACGTACCCACAGATGCCAACCCATTTGTTTTTTGGGGGATGAGATGTCCCGAGTGCCTTGATAGGCTGGTGGGGGTGCAGTCAAAGGGGACCGAGGCCTCGGTGCATCATAACCCCGGACTTTGTCCCGCGACCTAGCCCAGACCCCCACGGCCGCGATCGGTGGCTGCGAGAACCCCACCGACTGCCACGCCGGGCAAGCGCCCGCACATGGAGTTTATTTTTTTTATTTTTCATTATCATCGTGAGATCGTGAGAGACCAAAACAAGCCGTTCACTTAGAGCGAGTTCTCAATCTCCATGACCTCCTTGATGCCTTCCTCGATGAAGGAGGTTCGGGCCTTCTCAAGGCGTTTCAGAGGACGTCTGGGGAAGCCGCCGTAGCCGTAGTAGCTCTGGATGGCGCCCTTGGTGCCGGCGATGGCAGCCTTGGTCAGGAACCAGTCACCACGGCTGAGCTTCTTCTGGAGCTCAATGGCCTCATCCCTCTTGCCCTCGGAGTAGAGGTTCCACACCTTGACGCAGACCTTGGGCATGACGTTGGCGCCGCCGGCGATGATGCCGCTGCCGCCGCTGGCAAGGGTCTGGGCAGTGAAGTCGCACACACCACCAAAGGCCATGTAGCCGGAGCCCTCAGACCAGGGGGTCTTTGCGTTGGTAGCCAGGGCCACACGGGTCAGCTTACCCGTGTTGCCGCAGGTGAACTTGGTTCCGACGATGTTGGGGTGCTCGGCCAGCTTGATGAGCAGGTCGCTGTCCATGTCGATGCCGGAGACGGCGCCGGGGTAGTTGTAGAGGATGAGGGGGATGGGGCTTTGGTCGGCAACGGCGATGAAGTAGTCGTGGATGGCGGTCTCGTCCATCTGGGCGCGGAAGTAGGAGGGGGGGAGGATGAGAGAGTAGTCGGCGCCGGCCTCGAGGGCGGCCTTGGAGAGCTCCACGGTGCCGCGGACGCTGCCCTCGGTGGCACCGATGATAATGGGGGTGCTCTGGAAGCCGGCGGCGTCGAGAGCCTCACGGGTGGCCTTCGTGACGGCCAACTTCTCCTCGCGCGTGCAGTGGGCGGCCTCGCCGTTGGAGCCCATGACGACCAGACCAGCGAGGCCGGCCTTGGCCAGACGCTCGGCGTGTTTCTTGATGGTGGGGATGTCGAGATCCTCCGTCTCGGGGTCAAAGAAGGTCATGGTGGGGGCGTAGATGCCGACGGGGAGAGTGCGGCGAGCGGCATGGCCGTTGCTTCCGTTGGTGGCAGTCATGATGGGCTGATGTGGTAGGTGGAAAGTAAAGAACCTGTAGGGTTGGGAGTGAGGGGCAGGCCGGAGTGAAGAAGAGCACAGGAGCGAGGTGGACAGGCGATGAGGAACGAAACGCTGGCCAAAGTAGCGGACAGCGGCTGGTGTCGTATTTATAGCAGAAGAGGGCAAGAGGCGGCCCAGAAGGTTTTCCATCAGCTAATAGGCTTCCAGCAGTTTCAGCGGCGCCGCGTGGGGTGGGATGAGTCTGGGAATAAATATTAGACGTTTCGCGAGGGACTGCTCGTGTGGACATTGGCCCGAACTATCGAGTATCGTTTTGACTCGAAGCCAAGACCGGAGAAGCTAACGTCTGCACTAGGGAGCCACCTTTGGGACGCTCCCTTGCACCCCGGTTGGGGGGAGGAGGAGGGGGAGGGGCAAGCGGAAGCTCGAGAAAAAGGACGCTAGGAGAGATGGGGATGGGGGTGGAGTGTGCAGAGTTAAATGTGCATCGCCGGTATCCGTCCTGCGGCATGCAGTTCTTAGGTGTGTGCTGTTATAGAGGCGGGATGCAAGGTAGCACGTCTCAGTATGAGAGATACTGACAGACCGTTGATGAAGATGTTGAAAGAGCCGTATACATGGGAAGAAGACCGTTAGACAACACCACAGGTACTGGCCAAAGTGAAGCCGTTTCCTCCGCCCGTTGGCGTCCAGGTATTTCCCAAGACCCTCGACCATGGCGGGTTGTTTCTTAGACTTTGAGGAAGCAAAGCCGCGGGCACCCGAGACAACAATGGACTTTCCCAAACCTCGCATCTCGAACCAAGTAGCCACGCGCGTGGTGGTCGCATCCTATGCAGTGCGCGGGCACCAGTGGTACACGGTAGAGACGATGCATTCTGCTGTAGCCCTGTGTCGTGTACCGGATCTGCTGGGAAGGTTGAGCGCGCCAATAAGCCAGATGCTCCCGGCCGATGCCACGAGATCTGCGCTGAGGCAGCCCAGCGCAGGGCTGGGTGGTGACCAGTTTCGAAATCGTGCGTAGAAGACAGCGGAAAACGGGAATGGACAAGATGCTGCCATTGGGAGAGATATTATTCCGCCATGCAACGCGAGGCTTGTCGGCCCCGGCTTGGACGTTAGCGTCGAGTGGGACATGCAGGCCTGCAGGACGGAGGTGCCTGGCCATCACCCGGCGATTGGCTGCCCACCCTCGGGGTTGCTCGCCCGGCGTGCATGACATGGGGTTCCTTTTGTCGTCATTGGCATCTTGACCTGTCGATGCCGACGAAAGAGGGTAGCAGGCGGGCTAGGCGGCGGGTTGTAGAACGGGCAACAAGAGCCACGACAACGATAATCAAGGCGGCAGCCGGCGAATGCTGCGGTCAGCGGCAGTTGATGGGAATAGACAATTAATTGCAGGCCGGTCGTACTAAGCCATGACTGGGTTCCGAATGGCTTCTCTCGACAGGTTTCGGGCAGGTCCGGCGACCCTTAGTGGCGACCGGCTAGACAGAAACTGTTGAGCATCGAGCAAATGGTACAACATGCCGTTGCCGACGCTTTTCTGACGATATGTAGAAGGCCGACCAACAATACGAGAAAGTTGGATGAGGTTCAGGCTAGGCTAGGCCAGGCCAGGCCATGTACCTGTAGGATAGACGAAGGCGCTCATTGCTCAAGGGGTTGGCAAGGTCAGAAACGAAGGAAATGGAAGGCGTGTTAGTGGACGGAGAAACTCGACCCAAGATCTTCCGCCAACGAGAGAGGGCGAATTTTGTGTGGGGAGGCCAGGTGGGGTCCCGCCTGGTTAGCATGGGGGGGTCGGAGCAGAATATGGAGGGGCACGAGGGGCACGAGGGGTCCAGAGCTACCTAGCCATCGGGGCTAGAACGGAGTACAGAAGGAGCATTGCTTTCATGCCAAGTCTTCGTCATGACCTTACTACAACGAGCCACATATACCTGCACGCGCAATATCCCATACAAACTTCTTGTAGTCATGGATTGCTTGAGCCTACATCGATAAGTTCTCTTTCAAGGTGCTCACAGGTTCGGAGACCTTGGAAACCAGAAAGGATTACAGACTCGCAGACGACTGAAACACAACCTCTTGCCTCCCAATCATTGCGGGTAGTCTCTTTTAGCCGATTGGCGCGGGATCCAATGTGAGAACCTGCGGCGCGATGCGTCTTTTCTTCCCTTGTAGACACAAATCCCATCGCAGATTCTTCCGGGGCAAAAACCCCCCCTGGCGGATGTTTCGAGACGGGGTCAGCCATGTACCAGGTTCGATGCCTCTCCGAAAAGGCTCACTTGGCTCTGCATGAGAGCCCTCAATTCCAAAGGCGCGGTACATACCTGGGTTGGCTCTCCGGCTGTTGCGATACCTCATCTACGTGGCCATATAGCCCCGCCAGCGCAAAGGGCCAACGTGGTGATAACTGAGAGGGAACCCCAACAGCGTCAGCGGTCATCCATGTCACGCGGCGATGCGGGGCAAGTTGGGGTGGTAGTGCACTGCTGAGAGGCAGAATTGACTTGCGTGGGGGCGGGGGATTCAACCGGGGCGCCCGCTCGGAACCATGACCTCGCCGCTCACACCCGTAGCATGGAGAGTTCGCTGTGCAATCTCCAGGTCACTTACGGAGTACAGTTCAGGGTAATCAAAACGAGGATGGAGCAGGCAGTCGCATTCAAAACTGAACTGGTGTACACGGACTCTTGGCTTCTCAAGTCGTCTTGATCGGCGTCAAGCTGTGCCAGAGTGTTGGGGAAAGGCATTGGTAAGACAAACTGACCAGTGGGCTTTCCACTGGAGGAGAGGGAATTACCGGCGTTTATTGCTCCAACCGGCTAGCCAATGCTCTTCCCGTGCAGACAAAATGGCATTATTTTCCATGGCTAACAGCGGGAACTCTCCACACCTCTCAGTCCTGCTTCCCGCGACGTTACCAGGTCGACAGCAGTTCACCTCATTGAACCCCAATGGAAGGACGGCACCGCTCAGCCCCACACTCCAGATTCCCACGGCCCCTCCTCCTCCCCCTCATTCCACAATCTGCCCCTCCATGCCCCGTCATCCAAAATGGCCGCAAAGTCGCAAGCTACGAAGGAAACCTCAGCTCGAAACGCAAATGCTGTTCGGAGAAGCCAAGAATAGAGGCGCAAAGAAGGAGTGAAATAGCCACCAATGCTCAAGGAGAATGGTCTAGCACCAAGCCATATTTCGTCCACCCCGTGGACTTGGCGCCGCATTCTCCATCCTGCACTGGCGCCGGCTCCGACCACCGGCGTCACGGCACGGTAGCTTCGGCCACTTTCGGGAAGTAGTTCGGGGACACGCCACAGCACCCAGTCTGCGTGTCTCAATATGTACATCGAGCTTATAGCGGGGTCCTTGCACTCTGACATTTCTGCGTACCCGTCAACCACCACAGCGCGCAGGTCGCAGGGCAACTTGCGCTCCTCGACGCTGAAGAATGATCCGTGCAGACGGCGTACCGTCCAGCTGCCATCCAAGCAATCTCGGGTCGGTTCGACGAGGCACGCCAAGAGCACCGCCAACGAAGGCGCGAACCCTCACGGCAATCCCGTCAGACATGTCGCCCAGAGGCTACACAATCTCCATTGTACTATCAGTGCGGATATGGACTGGGGGAGTTGGGGGAGCTGACGCACGGAGTGCGGGGCTGTGAATTCCCTCCAATTGTCTTGCTCGTCTCTGCCCCTCAATTTTTCCGGGCCCAGCTTGTCGTGGAGGAGAGCTACGACACGAGACGAGACGGAAGCTACCCTTGGCCGCTACCGCGAGCTTCATCCAAAACAATCTTGGGGCGTCCCCAGTTGTCCATTGTCGCTTCAGCCTGCTCCTTCTCGCTGCGACTCGCCCGAGCCGTCCCTCCTCTACTGCTTGGGCCAAAGATAGTCCCCTTAAATAGACCGTAGCATTCGCACTTCTGTCGTAGCTTTCGCGTCTCGTCTTCCCCATCCCCAAACTTGCAACCCCTCCTCCCCCAAAATTCTTAGCCATTGAACCCCACGACGCGACCAAGATGGAGCCTCTCAACGTCTTGATGGTAAGCCGATGCGCTCGTGAAATCTCACTTCCCGTAGCTCACATTTTCACAGGTTGGTACTGGAGAGTACACCACCGGCTTCGTCGGTGGCGGTGCCTCTGGTTCGGATAAGAAGGTCGGTGTCGTCGGTCTCACTCTCTTCGACCTGAGGAGAAGAGGCAAGGTCAATCAGCTGGGCATGGTCGGTGTCAACGGCACCAAGTTCCCCGCCATCAGTACGTCCAACTCACCACGGTTCCCCCGTGGACCACCAAACTAACCGAGCCAAGGGGAACATCTCGACAAGAACATCACCCAGTTCTACAACGGCCTGGACACCTCCTTCGACTCATACCCCGCCAACGACAAGGTGGACCCCGACTCCTACAAGACGGCCATTGACGCCCTGAAGCCCGGCGACGCCATCACTATCTTCACCCCCGACACCACCCACTACCCCATCGCCCTCTACGCCATTGAGCGCGGCATCCACGTCCTGCTGACCAAGCCCGCCGTCAAGGAGCTCGAGCACCACCTGGCCCTCATCGAGGCCGCCGAGAAGAAGGGCGTCTACGTCTTCATCGAGCACCACAAGCGCTTCGACCCCGCCTACTCAGACGCCCGCTTCAAGGCCCAGAAGCTCGGCGACTTCAACTACTTCTACAGCTACATGTCTCAGCCCAAGTCCCAACTCGAGACCTTCAAGGCCTGGGCCGGCAAGGACTCGGACATTTCCTACTACCTCAACAGCCACCACGTCGACATCTGCGACTCCATGGTCACCCAGCTCGGCTTCGTCCCCGTCAAGGTCTCGGCCTCGGCCTCCAAGGGCATCGCCACCAGCCTCGGCTGCGACCCCGTCACCGAGGACACCATCTCCCTCCTCGTCCACTGGGAGAAGAAGGGCGACCCCAGCAAGAAGGCCACCGGCGTCTACACCGCCAGCTGGACCGCGCCGCAGCGGGCCGGCGTCCACTCGAACCAGTACTTCCACTACCTCGCCGCCAACGGCGAGATCCGCGTCGACCAGGCCAAGCGTGGCTACGACGTCGCCGACGACTCGGCCGGCCAGCTCATGTGGTACAACCCCTTCTACATGCGCTACGCCCCCGACGAGGACGGTAACTTCAACGGCCAGACCGGCTACGGCTACATCTCGCTCGAGAAGTTCGTCGACGGCTGCCGGCAGGTCAACTCGGGCCAGCTCAAGCCCAAGGACCTCGACGCCAAGGGCCTGCCCACTCTCAACAACACCATTGCCACCACCGCCATCCTCCACGCCGGCAGGAAGAGCATTGACGAGGACCGCGAGATCAAGATTGAGATCAACGACGGTGTCTGGAAGCTGGTGTAGGGCTGAGGGGTGATGAACTTGACGCGTGACGACTTGTAGATATCATAGGGCTTATATACCATCTGCTTTTGACGTTGAATGAAATCGAATGACACAAACTACGATACCATGCCGTTCGTGACTTCTGCTCTGTGGGTCGTTGGGTGACACGGGGCATTGGTGATCGCTGTTCGAGCAAGCCGCATAAATCCAGAACGTTCACTTGAACCGTAGAGTATGCCTCGAGGAGTCTGAGTGAATTGTCGAAGTCTTTGGCATGAGGGATGGAGTATTGAGAACAATGAGAAGAGAAGAAAGAAGAAGGTGCGCCAACAACCTTGAGTGAAAAATGCGAGCGAAGGGGAGAGGGGGCTGCACGTGAGACCTCGATGTCTTGAGCTGAACAGCACGTTATTACCAAACCGAAAGGGGACTCCTCCAACCTTTGGCTCCAGAGTCGTACAAACCCCACCACCAGTGCTGAGAAGCCGGTACCTATGTCATCAGACAATATGCATCACATCACACCTGCATCTGAGCCTTGCTGACCCTATGTCCCTGATGGTGCTAGGAATAAGCAACACCGACGGTCGACGGGAGCTAAAAGCTGATATCTCACCGGGCGATCAGCCCAACCCATCTACACCACGTGATCGTTTTACCCCAAGGATCGGGATGGCTCCCCGCGGAGCATCGTGCATGTTACGAGTCCCAGGCGCCGATCTGTCGCGACCAGACAAACCCATCCTAGCCCCATCTTGGTTTGGCGTCTGGTATGTGTCGTCGAGATAAGCCGGCAGCTTGGCATGGTGGGCTACATTAGTTTTCCAACGTCTCGACCCTAAGCTCTTGACAGCCCTGTACGCCCCAATGAGGGGCACATTCCTGTGGCCAAAAGTAGACGCTACTTGCCGTTCATGGGTATTGTAGGTATTTCTGCCAAAACTCTGCTCAACCAACCTTCGAGCCCGCATCCACGGATCCCAGGTCCATGACGGAATCATTACTTTCCATCACGGCGCTGCTGGCCCCCACGCCGCCCCGAGCCCTCCGAAATATACAAAATAAATAAAACTTCCACCGTCGCGAGCCCGGACGGCACGCAGGCGGGCCTTGCCAGGATTGCGGGCACCGCGGCCCACGCCTCTGAAGACCTTGGGGAGAAGAGATGGGGCCCTCCGTTTCCTCGTCGTCCGATGGCCCCGATAAACTTTGCTCCGTCTCCCCCTCCTTCCCCCCCTTCTTTGATCCCACAGCAAACTAGAGGGACGAGGCAAGAGGTGCCGGAAGCTTGTTAGTGCTTATCATGCCTCAACACCACCAGCATGGCACAGCCGCTCTCTGATCGGGCGCACACGCTAGACAAGCTTGCGCCGTGTGACAAACGTGGCTTGGGGAGCTGGGGGGAAGCAGGGAACTCGAACCGGTCAATTTTACAGTTACGTTCCCAGGAACTTGTCAAACGCTGACAAGCCTCGACTTCACGAGCCGGGGCTGACGTGACACACTCGACTAGTCCGTCAACCATGCATCTTCGAGGCTGCCATGAGAGAGCCACAACGCTCGACGGCACAGAGTTGTCGCGCTGCTACTCTGTCTTGTGGAGACGTCGAGAGCAAACGTAGAGTTGAAGGAAAGTTTCCGCACCGACCGTTCCGGGCAGACGTTGCGGGAGAGCTGGGGCGGAGAGATTGGCTGGGAACTCTGTTCGCAGCCTGGTCTACCCTGACCTCATGCTGTACGGACCAGCCCAGTCCCTGGGATGATCCGTCTCGTTGTTTCTCGACGGGCGGTGGGGTTTCACCGCACAGATTATCACGGCCTGCGGTGTCTATCCAATCCCGTCCCTTCCAAGCTGCTGACATGCCGATGGGCAATGGACGTACCGTGTACATGCTCTCTCGTCCCTAGTCTCTTCTAAACCATGCGCATATTATCAGAGACTTGAGGCCCGTCGAGAGTTCGTATAGACAGCTGAGATGAAGGAAATCCCACAATGATTACCGGCGGCATCCCTTGCCATGTGCTTCCTTCGTGTGCAAATCCAAGGCGCCGAAGGTTGGCGACGCGGCCCAACCAATATGAGACGATCTCTGAAAGAGATTGGCACGCCCGTCACGGCAGGGAGTTGGGAAGCACGACGGCCACTCAGCTTGGCTTGCGCCCTCCAACTCAAAATCCGACGGGCTCGCTTCACAAGCACATGTATCTCGATGTGAGCGATGTGCTGGTGAGGTACGAGACGACCCTTGGGACGCTGAGGGGGGCTTGGAGAGATATGCTTTTAGCTTGTTCTATCCCTCCCCCCCTCTTCAGCTATATATCTGCCACATGCGCCGTTCGGCTGTAGGTGAGTTTAGATGAGCAAACGCAAGACTTCTTGAGCTGGTTTGCACGCAATCCCTAGACTATAGACGACGACAGCCAGAACACGCCAAACATGGGTAGCCTTCAGCCGTCTGCGGAAGACACAGCATACTGCACTGTAAGGCGGCCTGTATGAATTTCGGCGGGAGCTTCGACTTACACACACAATAGCTGGTGACGAACGATGGCTATGTCGTCGGTAAGCATCGTGCCCAACCCAGCTCTAGCCTCTCACCCGACTGCCCACTTACACGGCCCCACAGCCGCAGCCGTTCTGGCCGAGTCCCTCAAGGCGACCGGCACGACGATCCCGCGATGCGTGATAGTCACCCCCGAGGCCATGTCCGAGAAGTCCATCGCCAAGCTCCGCGCCGTCTTTGACCACGTCATCCCCGTCTCGGCCATGACGGCGCTGTCCACCTCGAACCTCGACATCATCGGCCGCCCGGACCTGCACGCCACCATGACCAAGATCCAGCTCTGGTCGCTCACGCAGTTCCGCAGGGTGCTGTACCTCGACGCCGACACGCTCGTCATGTCGAACCTCGACCACCTCTTTGACCTGCCCGAGGCCATCTACTTCGCCGCCGCCCCCGAGATCGGGTTCCCCGACTGCTTCAACAGCGGCGTCATGCTCCTGCGGCCCGACACGGCGACGTACAACGAGCTGACGAGGTTCGCGTCACGGGTGGACTCGTTTGACGGCGGCGACCAGGGCCTGCTCAACGTCTTCTTCGGCGACGGGACGCGGAACCACCCGTCGACGCTGCTCATCAAAAACCGCCGGGCCAAAGCCGTCGGTGACGAGGATCGCGCCGAGGGCGGCGGCGGCGGCGTCGAGCGCAACTGGTTCCGGCTCAGCTTCACCTACAACATGGAGATGCACAGGGTGTACCGGTTCTACATCCCCGCGGCGCTGCGCTACAAGGACGAGCACAAGATCCTGCACTTCATCGGCAAGGACAAGCCGTGGCACTACGAGGGGGGCAAGGTGGACATGCCGGACGACGCGGGGGCCTATCAACACTTCTACGCCGACATGGTGGGCAAGTGGTGGGAGACCAGGAGGTCGATAGCGGCGGCGCTTTGAGCTTTTGTGGACATGAGACTAGACAGCGTTCAATGTGGTTGGGACTGGTTTCTCCAGAGGCCAGCTATTTCACTTACTCCGGGCACCTATTCCCTTCGTTCATAGAGATTGACACTGTTCAAAACTTTATTCTTGGTAAAGAATGCTGGCATGCGTAGGTGATCCCTGTACAGTGAACATGAACTGAACGCTGTGAGTTTCTCGCGAGAGCGATGTAGATTCCGGGTGGGACCTATGAAGGTACCTAGCAAGTAAGGTAGAAAGGAACAGCCGAGACGGGCGGCTCGGTGGGTAGTTCGGTGGGGTGAAGGCCTCGGTCAGGATACTCGGTGTAAAAAAGCGCGCTAAGCCTAGAATAGATCAGGCCCCTCCCCGATAAGATAAAAAAATTCGAGGCCGCTCAAGCACTCGAGGCACCTCCAGCGCCAACTGCCATTGCCATTCTGCTTCAAGTCGACATCACCTCACACAACCATCCTGCGCCCGAACCCGTTGCACTCCCCCCTAGAGTCGATCGCAACATTCCGCACAATGGGTTCCGTCCTCCAAAAGAAGAAGCGCCGCTCCGGCCGCCAAAAAGTCAAGATGCCCAACCGGCCCAAGAAGCTCCTGAACCCGCTGGGCAACGACATCATCGCAAAGAACTGGTACGCCTGAACCCCCCTCGCAACGGCCTCTTGTGTCTAGAACACACCCATAAAAACCGTAGCTGACACTGGCAACCCTCCCAGGAACAAGAAGGAGACCCTGACGCAAAACTACCGCCGCCTCGGCCTGACGGCGCGCCTCAAGGCCCCGACGGGCGGCATCGAAAAGACGCTCTCCCAGGTCGAGGCGGCCAAGGCCACCACGTCCGTCAGCAAGCCCCGCGACCCCCTCGCCATCGCCTCGACCGAGGAGGCCGTCTTCGAGGAGGCCCGCGTCGAGCGCGACGAGAACGGCAAGATTGTCAAGATCCACTACGGCAGCGACAGGCGCAACAACCCGCTCAACGACCCCCTCAACGCCCTCGACAGCGACGCCGAGGAGTCGGACGGCGCCGGCCAGGATGAGTGGGGCGGCATCGACGACGAGAGCCGGCCCGAGGTCATCCGCATGCTCGAGAAGGAGGCGGCGCAGCCCACGGTCAAGAAGCCCAGGCACATGAGCCAGCAGGAGCGCGAGTGGCTCGAGAGGCTGGTTGCGAAGCACGGCGACGACGTGGCCGCCATGGCGAGGGACAGGAAGCTGAACCCCATGCAGCAGACGCAGGGCGACATTGCCCGTAGGATCAAGAGGCTTACGGGGAAGGCTTAATGGGAGTACCAGAAAGAGAAAAAAAAACCGGGTTTTGAGGAGAAACGGCCCCCAGAAGGTCAAGTCGCATGTAAAAAGGGAAAAAGGGAAGAGCCTGGCTTTGGAGGATTCCGTCGTGTCCCCTTATCTAGGAGTTACGGCGTTTTAGACAACTTTGCATACAAACCAAAAACATGTTTCACGCTCACACTACAACAAAACGCAGCCTTGGTTTGTACTTGACTTTTGAACGTCACTTCATCAAATTGATGTCTACCTAAGGAGCTCATGCCTGGTATCTTTGCGATTACCTTGTACAAATGGGACGCCTACAACACCCCGTGATCCGGAAAGAAAATCCAAGCCATCTATATGAATACTGGACACAGTCCCTCAAACAAAAATACCCCGTGGTTGCCCGGGCCGTGGCCCTGCCATCACAGTCCCCCACTCGTTTCCCGCTGAAAGGACGCTTCGTTTAATGCATCGTGCGATCGTAGTTGGCAGTAGGGAACTGCGCCGGCCGGTCGTCGTCGTAGACGGGTGCTGCGTACGGTTCCGGGGCCGCGTACGGCTGTACCGGCGCGGGGGTGACGGAGGTGGGGTGCTGGGAGTGGTACTCGGTCTCGCTGTCGAACATGGCGGCGTTCTGGCGCGAGGGCAGGGAGCCGTAGCGGTTCGGGTCGTCGTCTTCGGGGCCGTAGGCGGAAGAACCTCCGTAGCGGCTGTTGTAGCTACCGTTGTTGTAGCCGCCAACGGGGGCGTTGGTGCCGCCGTAGAGAGTCGTGTTGTCATCGTTGTGGTCGTCCATCTGGACAGGGGCGTAGGCCTCCTCGTCGTGGGGAGCCATGGAGAAGGCGGCCTTATCGGGGTCGATGTTGTCACCGCCGAGCTTCTGCTTGTCGTAGCCGGGGAGAGTTCCGTGGAACTGGTAGTACTTGAGGGTGTATAGACTGACAAACGTAGAGGCGGCAAAGAGGAGGCTATACGACAAGGGTCAGTATCACGGACAATCATAATCGCCGTCTTGGCAACTTACGTCACAAAAACACCCAAGCCCACGATGGCCTTGCTGAGTTTGCAGGCATCACCGCACTGGTTGGCCGTGTTGTAGGCCGCCTGACTGGCAAAGGCAGAGAGCCAGATGATGGTGAAGACAGCGTCCACGGCAGCCATGGCGTACGGGTTGGCCAGTTTTCTCGTCCTCGGCCACCGCGGCGCCATAATTAGATAAATCCACGCGGGAAGCGAGAGGAAGCACTTGAATGCGAAATCGTCAGCAAGTCACGAGGAGAGCTGCCGCTTCTTCGCAGAGGCCAACTTACCACTCCGAAAGTCCAGCCATTGTTGCCAACGATTTTGGCATTATCGGCTCTGAAAACCGCAATCTCCAAGGCCCAGATGACGAAGGACAGGACGAACTGGACGCTGTGCAGGCCCAACTTGATGCCCGGGATAAGCTCCGGGTTAATATCCAGGTTGCCGAGCATGGTGTCGTGGGCGTTGTCGTCGTCGTCGTCTTTTGGTGTTGTTTGGTGATCTAGTAGGTGACTTCCTACGGTTTGGCGATCGAAAGGGGGAATGGGGAGGGTGCCAGCTATGCGACGCTCACTTCAGCTCCCCTGGCCGTTTTTCTCCGTCTAAATAAAGCTCAAACTCAATCCGGCTCGGCAACGGGGTTTGGCGAGACAACCTAGGATGGCAAGCCAGTGGATGGGGACTCTTGGGACCCAATCGATAAGAGTACAGAGGTACCCAGCAGTGATGTGGTCTGGCTGTGGAGCGAGTGTCTGTTGCCGTCTGTCTGCTGCCTCGCAAAAAAGCGAGTGCGAGGTTGGGCGAGGATGGGGATGAAGATGTGACTGAGGAGAGGTTTGGGTCGGGAGGGAAGAAAAAAGACGACAGGTGGAGGAAACGGTCGGTCGTATCAGGTGCAGCAGCAACAGTAAGAAGGTTCCCGATGGTTGTCGGGGACGCGTCTGCCTTTTTCTTGTCTTTAAAACGAAACAGCCCCGGCAGGCCATTGAATTGCGGCAGTGACGAGACGTGGATTCAGTGGGCAACGACTCGTTCCCTCATGCAGTGGTAGTGGAGTGGGCAACCCGGCAATGGGGTGGGTCTAGGTAACCCGCGCCTGAGCTCCCGTCATCAGCCATTGATTGTTGCTTCCAGTCTCTGTCCTTCATTTTCCTCCTTCGACCGTCCCGAACTCCGCCCGTAGGGATCCCTTACGCAGACGGTCTACAGCGCCCGATGCTGCGGTTCCTCGACACGCAACAGGACGGGATGATTGAGTTTCCTTCCCGAGCACCTACCTATGCGAACGGCTCACGGAAAGGATGGGATGGGATGGGATGGGATGGACTGTCCATCCCCAAGGGCCCCGAGCACCAAGGCATACGCAGGCTGCGACTTGGGTTGAACCAAGCCACTGAGCCGCTGGGTTTACACTGCGCCACTGCAGCCCAGGCAGCGAATTATCGTCGCTCGAGTGCGAGCAGCTGAGCGGTAGATCCCTGCAAGCCACGCCTCCCGAGCGAATAGTTCGAACGACCTTTTTTGATTTGCCTTTTGTTCCATCCCGCCTAGGACCTCTCCCCATGTGTCCATGTGTTGCGTCTGCACTGATTCAATGGTGTATTGAGACCCTCCATCGTCATCCGCTGAGGCCAGTGGCTGACCCGCCGTTGTCTCTCCTACGAAGCCCTGCCAGCCTTGGTTTTCTGCCATCGGTGGTTGTTTGCTTTGCTGCATGCTAAGGCTCTCCCCTCTTTGGTTTCTGGGGTGATGCGCGGAGGGCAAGGGTGGAAGAGCCGAAGGGCGATCATCAATGATGACACCCTGCAGGACGACGATGGGCCTCCGTTTTCTTGGACGGCGCGGGCGGCAGACGACAACGGCCATACGACGAACCACCACCATCCGAATCCGTGAGAACGGGGCCCGGAGCTGCCAGCAACTGCGCGACACTGATTGACTGCCTGACTAGACGGGTTAACGCCCGGCACATCACGTAAAACAAGCCAACACGAGGGCCACCATGCGCCGAAGACCACCGGCTGAGCCGCCCAGCCCTTTCTTGCTCCCTCCCCCGCAAGCCGCGACACCCCCAAGCCAATCGGCCTTCCGTTGCCCGGTCACAGAGAATTTGTTGTCTCGTAGGAGAGAGCCCTACGGATAGAACAGACGCATTCGCTATCCACCACAGGCGCCTCGACCACACCGAGTGTGTATCCATTGATGTGAATCTCCATTGGCATTCTGGCAGTTGGCCTGAGTGCGCGATCTGGGTCACCATGTGCCCTTGCGCAAAAATAGAGTCGTCCATGGTGGTCGGTGGATACAATGGCGTAAGTCTTTTTGCCGCCCAAACGGTTCCAGTGTCCCGCAGCAGGCGATGCTACTCCGTCTGCGTAAACGTGTGTACATAGGGATTTCCCAAAGAGTTGCGTCGCCTCTTGGCTGTACGGGCATAGCCACCATAGCTTGCGTGTGCCAATACACACAAGCCGGTGCAGGTGAGTGATTTCGACCGCGACTTGCGGACGGGAGAGAAGTTTCCATGGCTCCTTTCTCTGATTTCGCTATCGGCATTTCCGACTCAAGTCTCGGTCTGCAAGTTCACTTCAACCCGTAGCAGCACGGAGGTATAGGTCTTGGGACGACGTCCGAGGCATGCGAGCCGTCTTCCTTGCTTCCCTAGCTTGCGGCTGAAATGCGCCTGCAATCCAGCACGGACGCGAAGCCTTCGTCAATGTCTCGACATGTCTCCGATGTCTTGAATTCTGACTCGGCTCGTGGCATCCATTCACTTATTAGTGCACATTAGGCAATTCACCAGAACTTCGTGAACCGCATCTTCGACCAAACTCAAACCAGTCGCGATTGCCATCTCGTGTAGGGCCAGTGCTGTACCCACAGTGTGAGAATGACTACAAGCGTAGTGAATCGGGCGGCGGAACAGTGCGAACTTGGTGCCCTATCGTTGACACATGAAATTTCTTAAGTGAGAGCTTCACTTATGCAGACGAGACCAGCTCACCACGCCTACACCGTTATTCAACCTAAGCCGTCGTGAAAGCTCCCGCATCTCACACAATGGCGCAAACGTCGTCCCCCGCCCTCTCGGACCTCATCTTCCCGACGACCGCCAGCCACAACTTCTCCCACATCCTGACGGACCTCAAGCGCTCCAACCTCTCCATCGCGAACCGGCTGCGGTCCATCACGCAGGACGCCGAGTTCGTGAGAGAGGTTGCCGCGTGCTTTGGCGGGCGGCCCCTCGTCGCCAACGAGCGCTGCGGGAGCTGGTACATCCGCCCCGAAGACAAGCGGGCGAGCGCCTACTTCAAGAGCACCGACGGCCACACCAACGCCTGGAAGTTTAGCACCCGCCGGCTGAACCTGCACTTGCTCGAGCTCATCGGGAAGCACGATGGGTGAGTTGGTTTTGTTGTTACAAACTCGCACTATGATTCTGCAGTGAAGCCAGGCAGGCCGGGCAGTCAAACCCATGAGAGCAAAGCTGACAGTCCAAGATGCATCATCGTCGACTCAACACGGCGAGGCAAGAGTAAGCCCCCCACCCGCGCACGACACATCCCCGAGACGTCCCGCTGACTTGCCCAGGAATGCCCGACGCGCTAAGCAAAACGATTCCGGTCTGGTGCACCGTCCTCAACATGGCCCTGTTCCCCGACCGCCCCGACGCGGACCGCCTCTTCACCCCGCCCAACGTCGTCTCGGCCTCGGAGCACTCCCAGATCGCCGCCCTGCTGCCCTCCTTCCTCGCCGCCCTGAGGGCCCTCGACATCGACCCGGCCCCGCTGCGCGCGCGCCTCGCCAAGCCCCTGCGGCCCTTTTGGGTGACGCAGGAGACGCAGCTCGCGCCCGTCGCCGGCGCCGTCTTTGACGACCACCACCCCGTCGTCTGCTGCACCTCGTCGCGCCGCGTCGCCGGCGCTGAGATGAGCGAGGCCGGCTACATCCAGGGCGCCGGCGACGACACGGAGAACTGGGCCCTCGGGCTAACGGCCGACGTCTTTTGGGAGAATGCCGCCGCCCTGCTCTCGGCGCCCGACGCCGATCTCCCGGACCTCGTCGCGGGCCTCGTCGCGGACAAGAAGCAGAACGCCCCGCGCGGCGTGCCACCGAAGCAGGTGGCGCCGCGGATCCTCGTGTGCCCGCTGCCCCTGGACGACGATGACGCGACGGCCGGGTGCCGAGTCGCGCTCACGCAGGACGTCACGCCACGGGAGTCGTGGGTCAAGTCCCCGAGCCGCATGGAGGTCGGCCTGGGGAAGCACAAGGTCGCGAGCCGCAACCTCCGCCAGGCGCTGCCGGATATTTGTGCCTTCGTCTCCGGCTACTTCGACGCGCACCGCGATGCCCACGGGCCGGAGGGCAGCGTGGTCTTCGCCTGCGAGACGGGCAAGGACCTGTCCATCGGCGCCGCGCTGGCCGTCTACTGCTGGTGCTTCGACCGGGACGGCACGTACCGCGTGGCGGACTCTACGACGTTCTTCAACAAGGACATGATCCGGGTCAAGCTCGGCACCATCATGACGGCCTTCCCCGAGGCCAACGCCAACAGGGCGACGCTGCAGAGCGTGAACAGCTTTCTCATGGACCACCGGAGGTGAAGCAAGTCTCTTCTTAGCCGAGAGAGTCTACCTATATTTGAGGTACTCTTCAAGCACCCGCGAGCTGGAATGCTAGCTACTATATGAACATCATAGGGAAAAAAAAGGAGACGACCATGTGGCTGCCCCCCCCTACACAATAAACGACCCCCGCCTCACAAGGACGCCGACGGAATCTTCACCCCGGCTAGTCAGGCGCTCCCGCTCTCGATCTTGGCGAGGGCGTCGGGGAACTCGCTCCAGTCCTTCATCACGATGACGGCACCGGCGTCACGTAGCACCTTTTCCATCTCGGCCTGCTTGTCGGCGGGGTAGGGGCCGACGTAGCCGATGACCTTGATGCCGGCGCGGGTGCCGCTGGTGGTGCCGCTCTTGGAGTCCTCGATGGCGACGCACTCCTCGGGCTTTTTGCCGAGCTGCTCCATGGCGTACAGGTAGACGGCCGGGTCGGGCTTGCTCGTGGGCTTGGGCAGCGAGGTGGCGGCGCTGAAGACGACGTCCTCCTTGAAGTACTTGTCCTGGCCGACCTTGACGACCGAGGCCCAGACGCGGCGCTTGGCCGAGGACGAGACGACGGACATGGTGTACTTGCCGCTCTTCTGCAGGGCCTCGAGCTGGTCGTCGACGCCGGGGCAGGGCTTGAGGGCGGCCTTGAGCTTGGCGATGACGGCGTCCTCCTCGCGCGTCACGTACGTCTCGAGCTCCTCGGGGGCCATCTCGAAGCCGTAGCGCTTGGCGAGGCCGAGCATCATGCCGCGGAAGTTCTGGCCGACGAACTCCTTGATCAGTGTCTCGCCCGTGAAGCGCTGATCAATCTTGCGGCCCTCGCAGATCTCGTTGATGAGGTCGGCGCACGCCTCGAAGGCGAGCTCCTCGGAGAGGACGAGCGTGTTGTCGCAGTCGAACAGGAGGGTGGTGATCTGGGCAGCTGTTCGTTAGTCTCGACGGATTCTACGGAATGGGGCCCAGGTATGGCGTGTCTCGTCTCACCTGAGGCATGTTGGCGGTGATTGCTGATGGTATTCCGGCGGGGTGGAGAGCTGTGCCTGTGAAAGAGCGGGGTTCACCGAGCTATGTCGAGTCAAGAGTGTAGCAGAAAAGCTTATTGTCCGAGACCAATTGACAAACTAGACCCGAGATTGAGGGGAGCTGAAGAAAGCAACAAAACTACGCTGACGCTGAGATTGAAGACGAGGTTTGAGTTGAGAAATGGAGAAAGGGGGAAAGGGCCGGAAAGCTGATGAGTGAAATAAAGATGAAATCCCAAAACGGTATGGAATCAACTAGGTGGTGTTCCCTCCTTCCGGCCAGCCTGCCTCCTTCCAAGCCGGCTCTTGGTCTTCGTCGACCCGACGAGTCCAATGGGAGTCGCGGTAAAGCTCTCAGGGGGGGTGGAACAGTCTTAGAACAGAGCAACCCGCACCCGGGTGCGCATCCCTCCCCCCTTGTTCTCCGCGCAAAGCAGAATAGGTACCTTACCAGAATACCTAGCCCGCCCCACCAACGCCTCTATTTACCCCTCCCCCTCCTTCCGCCACGGGGCGCTGGCCACCATCTCACAGCGCCCTTTTCCCGCATGTGAAGTGTCGTCATAGCCGCGGGGTTAAACCGCCGCAGCGCACCGTGTCGTCCCTATTCAGCAGCACCCTCGTCTGGCTCACTTTCGCGAGCCCTCCCCGCGTCCTCGCGAAGAACCGGCGCGACATGGACCGGACCGTCCATAAGGCGCGCGTAGTTTTCCTGTCCGTTGCGCTCCAGAATGCGACGATGACAGCAAAGAGGCCGCCGGCCAGAGGGGACCACGCTGTCGTCCAAACGCGGGGTTGTTGGACGAGCAGAGGCCAAGAGGCAGGGAGCCAGCAACGTGACCGTTCCATGGGTTCTCATCGCGATCCGCTGCTGCCACAAGTTACGCTCTTCTATGCTGGGCGCCATCCTGATCCCGAGCAAGTCAGCAGAGAACGCAAGCCGGGGAAATCGGGCCAAACAAGCGCGGACACCTGAAGAAAACGAGAAACGTGCCCAGACGGCGCACTCGTTGTGGGCCTCAATCCTCGCTCGCTCGCCCTCTAAGCCCCAATAGGCCTTTGCCTGCCTGCGCCGTATGCGAGAAATCATCTGCAAAGACATGCACAACCCGCTTATCGCACACATCCGCGTTTAACTCGCCGCGGAAAGCAGGGCGGGCCATTGTTTGTGTAGGCTGGCACTCCGTCAGTCCTGCCCGCAAGGATGGAGCTCGCTCGGCCTTTTCGTCTGGAACCTACTTTGAGGCGCGCAGAGCTTAACTGCCAACTCGCCGGTCCGTCGGCCGGGAGCGAGGGATGGGGAGTGGGACGATCCCGGGCCTTTTAGACCTCGAGCTGAGTGAGCGCATCCTCGGCCCCGAGGTGGCCCCTCAACTGATTTCCATGACGTGACGAATCCGACTGTGATCCGACTTGCTGCACTTCGAACCAGGCTGAATCGTCTTTGCTGCGTCATAACCACTGCTGACCTTTAGCATTCTGTTTCCCCTCACATTGCGGCTTACCTAGACTTTTGAACCGCGTAGGCGGGACTAGTAGATATCACGGAAGTAGATAGAACATCCAATATCACGGTCACGAATGAGACGAATTCTTTCAAACAATTTTTCAATCTCGAATTACCTAGTATCTAAGTACTTGTTCGTAGGCACTGCGTTTTGATGGTGAACCAACCCGCACCGCCTACTCGCAACAGTTGCAATGCTGGCAAAAAAACAAAAAAAAGGCCAATCTTGTAAGCCTTGAAATTACATGTCCCAGAATACGCCCAAACTCCTTTTCATGATGAGCATCCGGCCCTAAACCTCGTGTGTCGTTTTTGTTGCGGTCGAACGCTCACAACTCTTCTTTGCTCATGCTGGCGTCGTTTCTACACCAAAAGCCTCATCTCGCGTGTAACATCGTTATATTTACGCCAGCACCTCTTTACAAAATATCCCGCAGCTTCTGCTTCTGAGCCGCCGTGAGGCTCGTGGGGAACTTGACGTTGTACTTGATGATGAAGTCTCCCCTCGTGCCCGGCTTCTTGGAGATGGGCATGCCCAGGCCGGGGTACCTGTCGGAGCTGCCGGGCTGTGTGGGGCCGGCCTTGTCGAGGTTGAGCTGCTTGCCGTCGATGGTCGTCACAGTCCGCTTCCAGCCCGTGAGGGCCTCCTTCAGGTCCAACTCGACCGTGTGGATCAGATCGTTGTCTTCACGCACGAAGAGCGGGTGGGGTTTCTGCTAGTTGTTAGTCATGTGCTCTCTAAGGATTCTCGATGGTGGTGGTAGTCGACTCACCTCTTCCAGGATAAAGTGCAGGTCTTGCTGGCCGCCCTCTTCCTGGTCGCCAACACCCTTGAACTTGATCTTGCTGCCCTTCTTCAGGCCCGGCTTGATGGGCACCTCGAGGACCGTGTCGGTGGTCGTCCTCTTGCCCGTGTCGTCGAATGTCTTGCGTTTGATCTTCATCTTCTTGGTCACGCCGCGGAACAGCTCCTCCAGCGTGAGCGGGAGGGGTCGCTCCACCGTCGTGACCTCGGGCGTCGCTTCTCTGGGCCGTGGCGAGTCTCCGAAGCCGGTGCGCATGCGCTGTGATCGGGCGCCGCCCCGTTGGGCGCCGGCACCGCCGAAGGTCGTGAAGATGTCGGCAAAGTCTTCCATGCCTCCTCCGCCGCCACCGCCGCCACCCATTCCACCCGCAGCACCTGAGCGCATAAATTCAGCAAAGACGTCGTCCGCGGAGCTGAAGTTAAATCCACCTCCGTTTCCTCCACCGGTACTGAAGCGGAAGGTGCGTGCACCGCCGCCGGGCATGCCGCCGCTGCCAAAATCAAAGCCTCCAGGCATTCCACCCGCGGCGAAGGGGTTGCCGCCAGCGCCGTCTGGGGGAGGGGCGGCGCCTCCGCGGAGCAGGAACTCGAGACCGTAGTCATCGTAGGTCTTGCGCTTTTCGGGGTCGGAGAGGATCTCGTAGGCCTGGGAGCATTCCTTGAACTTCTCGGCGGCGTCTGGGTTGTCCTTGTTCTTGTCGGGGTGGTACTTTAGTGCGGCTTTCCTACACACGTGAGGTGGTTAGCAATGCGGTCTGCAGAGGGTTGCGTATGGGCAAAGGGGGGTTGGGCCGTTATCGTTGGGCAACAACGACGACGAAAGGGGGAAAAGAGAGATATCGTGCGACGCTCGCCACTTACCGGTAGCCTTTTTTGATTTCATCTTGGGTTGCCGTGGGGCTAACGCCCAGCTGATCGTACAGCTTGGTTTCCTTGACCATTGTGACAGGATAGTCTGGTAAAGTCTATACTACAGTCGACTGGTTAATCAAACCGATAATGTGGTGGATATCGCAACGAGTGTGAGTGTGCTCGATGGTATCGTGGAGTCGTGTGTAGCTTGGGTTTTATATCTGAACCCTTGAAAGTGGTCTGCAGTTGAAGTGTGGTTCAAAAAAGCAAGGCACAGGTCGATAGATAAAGAAGAAAGAAAAAAAAAAGGGAAGAATTGAAGAGAGTGGTTGGACGATGCAGCAACCACCGGGTGCGTGATATGTATGTATGAAAGGGGCCAATGAAAGCAGGCAAGTCGTGTGCCTACGTAGGTCCTTACTCTGAAAGGCCAGGAAAGACTGGGGCGTCGAGGGAGTCTGGAGCGTTCAGTGGTAGAAGAAGGCCCCCGGCCACTCTTAATGGAAGAAACAGGGCGTGGTTGTGGAAGGTTCGGTGCCCGTCTTTCAGAGGAGCCCAAGGGAGCCTTGACCAGCGCGGGCAGCAGTCCCCGTGCGGTTTGCGACTGGAACCTGGCGGGGCGTCGAATCGGGTGATCTCACTGGGCTGATGGGATGGAAGAGCACAGAAGGCTGGCTGGGGCTGTTCCACCCAAGCTTGTTTCTTGATCGTCTTTTGGTCGACATGCGCATAGCTCACCCGATACTGACCGAGCGAGGTCGTCTAGCAAATTTTCAAGTCCAATCCCGAGCTCGACGCCACGTAGATATCTCGCCTCCTCCGCGGTCCTAGTTACAGACGAATGTCGAGCTCTGCAAATAGCAGGGAAGCAGTTGCAAGAGGCGCACCGCCAAAATGGACAATGACGAAAATGGCGGGGTCTCTGCCGGGCGGGAATGGCGGAGTCGAGCTCATGCCGTGGTCCGAGCGTCACACTAAGTCAGCCCATCCTGCGGGGACTGGGAATAACCTTTCAAGAGAAATGGAAGCTTCGAGAACCTTCTACGCAACTATCCGTCACACAGCTTGACAGCTTGGAGCTTACTAGAACCGACCGCGGCATGTCAATCAGCTTGAAGGGGGGTATGGACGTAATGGGGGTATCAAACAATTGGTATTGCGCTGAAGATGTCGCTATTCTTGATGGAATGCTTTGTTGCGCTGTGCCCGTTGTTTGCTGCAGGGCAGATGAGAAGCCAATGCTGCTCTGTGTCCTTGCCTCCCAGCTCGTCTTCGCTATTCCGTTTGCCAAACCCATCCAATGCCCATATATTCCATTCCTCTCGCGATGCTCTCTAGTGTTATGTTACTGATGCTCGTCGGGAATCTCCATGTCCATCATCTTGATCGTCTTTTGCTCATCTCTCGGGTCGTGTGCCGTGCCATATATCGAACGCCTGGCCATGAATGGCGAGCCGCCTTCACTGCCACTCCGTTCTTGCATCTCCGGGCCCTTGGGCTGCTCCTCAATGTCTGGCGTCACGGTACGACTAATATCGTCGGCGCCGTCAGCGGGAGTAGAGGTTGAGAGCCCGTGTTGCCCAAGGCCAGGTGGGTTGGTAGTGTGAGTGCGCGCCATCTCATGCCTCTCGCCAGAGTGCATAAACTCGGCCATGCTTGCACTTGATGCCTCTGCAGCGCCTTGTCTCGATGCCAAGTCCGTCATTTCAGTGTCCATTGTGCCGTCCCCATCGCTAAAGGGGTCGTTTTCAAAGTCGCCTGCCCGTGAGTTGGTGTCGCTGTTCCCCAAGGACGCTCGGTTGGTAGCCATGGAATCGACACTGCCTGAGCGGTACTTCCTCTTTGATGGTGAGATTGGCGACATGTTTGCGTTTCTCGGCTGGGTGTCTTCCTCTGTGCTTTCTTTGTTCAGTTCCTGTCTGAAGTTTTTATTTTCTGCACGAGCAAATCTTTGAAGGGCGTCCGAAAGGGGTGATGCAGGTGTCTTTATCGCGTCTTCTGTGGCGTAAACAAGGAGAGGACCCTTCGTCTCCCAATGCATCTTCTCCATCACCTGTTCAAAGGAGTATTTCTGTCTCAAGTCAACACGAGATTCCTGCCAATGGTTGCTGCTTTTCTGGCTTACCTCGGCCTTTGCAGGGTTTGCATTGCCCGGCTCATATGACAGCCGCCACCACTGGTCCACCGGGGTAGATGTCTCCTCAAAGTCAATCAGCGTTGGTTCAGCTCGCTTGCAGACGTATGTCACGTTCTGCGACGTAGCAATTCCCCTGAGAAGGTACTTCTTGCTGGTGAACGGCTTGGTCAAGCCCGGCTTGTTGGGGTCCGTGAGTAGAGTACTGCTGACCAGCTTTTGCCGCTCGAGGAGTCTCTCACGTTCCCAATCAAGTCCTATGTGTAAGATTAGCAATGCGTCTCTAAGACATTTGGAACTTCGACTTACTTTTCTTAGTCTCCTTGAGTTGAGACAGCTCCCATACACATCTGTCGACTACCTGTTGGGAGCTCTTAGCCAGCTCTTCCTCGGCTTCTGTTTTGACGCAAGGTACATCCTCTAGACGCATGTACTGCTTCTCATCTTCGTTGTCGAGCTTTTGCAATTCTCGAAAGCGTCCCAGCCCGTCCAGGTACTGTACGTGGCTCTCGTATTCTTTGATTGTCTTTTCCAGCATCTCCTCCTTATCGTGGATCTTATCTGTCTTAGGGTCGATCCACTTAGTGAGCTCGTACTCCTTCGACCTTGCTTCGTATAGAGCCCGTGAGACCCAGGCGAGGTGTTCTTGACAAACCCTCGCCTCCTCTTTCCGACTTGCGAGATAACGCTCTGGATACCAGACTTCGGGTATCTCCAGTTTTTCAGGAGGATCCTCACCGTCAATGTTGACTGTGATAACCTCGCCCATGTCGTCGAGAACAACCATGCCCATGTTCGGCTGGAGCTCCGCCCACGTCATGGACTCGTGCCACACAATCCAGTTCCAGGCATCGTAGAGGGTCTTGGTTTGTTCATATTGGCTTTTGGTCAGCTCGAAGTTGAGGAACGCGAAGCGCGTGGGCTCCTGAGTCGGCTCGAGCGTCTGCAATGACAAGGGACAAGCAACGTGAGTCAGAGGCTTGAGGACTTCTGCATCCGTTGTCTCGTCAAGGGTATCGTAGAACTGTCTCTCGGGGCTGAAGTTGGTTTTGGGTACCAAGTCAGCCATGGTCTCGATTGATCCATAGCTTCTCTCGGTCAGGTCCAGGAAGGCCATCAACCGGTGGATCTCTTCATGAAAGTCTGGCTTCGAGTCTTCCGCCCATTGAAGCTCGCCCTGCTGCAAGGCGGCGAGGACGTGGGGCGCATATATCGGCTGGCCCTTCCACCATTCGCTGTTGTGACCGTAGCTGGCGGCTTGTTGGCCGGCTTGTAGAAGAACGTTGCGCGCAAGAGGGATTTCGTGTAGGATCGTCAGCACGGAACCCAATCGCTGTGACGAGTTGCGTGCATTGGGCTTCTGGACTAGGAATGCAGGCGCACCCTCTTCTCGCCTTCTTGCGGAGGGCGCCGGGTCGCCGTCGACAACCGCCTGGCTCGAAGTTGTTGCGGTTGTTACCATGGCCCAGTTGTTCTGGTCATAGTCCGACCTGTTGGCCGGTCCAAAGTATGTGGCACTCACGCTCGTATCCGTAACGCCAGCTTCCTGTGGATTATAGCCAGCTTCCACTTGAGACTCACGCAGGGCCCGCTGCAAGTCTTCTTCGTACTGCTCTGCACTGCTGGGCGCTCCTGTGTCTTTTCGTTAGCCATCGTTCCTCATGGCACGGAGGGCAGTACCGGTAGTGTCCCCGGCCGTCCATTCTATAATCCTACCAAGCGGCGATCGATTATTGGTTCTCGAAGGCGGTCGTGAGGGAGCTCCGGCGGAGGGTCCGTAGAAGCCGTCAGGCGGAGGGGTAACGCCTTGGATAACGGCATTGTCGGGTGCTTCGATGTTGAAAGCTAGCCCGCATAGTTAGCATCATGGTTCCTCCGGCAGCAGTGCAGGTCCGGCTTACCTATGCCCGTATTATTTGGCTCCCCCTCGCGACCGGCGCCGAAAGCAGTGTCGTCCCAGGTGTACTTCCTTCGGAACTATTGCCTCTGTTAGCCTCGATGCCGGTTCGTTCGTCGAGAGCCACGTACCGCATCAGAGCCCTCGTAATATTCACCTATAAGCTGGTCCAAAGAAGTGTTGCTCTGCGTTCACACGTCAGCGCATCGTCGAGAAGGTACGGGCTTCGCAGTGGCCCGTCGACCGTGGGCATCGCACCTTGAGGGCGGAGATCACCAAACTGCGGTCCAGGACGGGGTCGAGGCTGGTAATTTCGCAGAACTGAGCGACGTCCGCTGACGTCGGTTCGGTCGCCATGGTGTCGAACCCTGCCTCAGAGGGCTATTGTTACCGAATCGAATCTAGCGGCTGGGTCGATCAGATGCGGTGTTGGAGGAAAAATTGATGTTTGCGCATAGCCATCAGGAAGACGGGGCCGAGTCGTGAGGAGTCTGGCGCATGAAGCTAAGCCAGATGTTCGGAAGAATGCTGTCAAACGGACTGGACCTTGTATGCTACGTGCGAGTGGAGGTTGAACGGCCCGGGGTAGTGGCGTCCGCACAGTTGCGGAGGTGATACCGAAGGAGACGAGAAGGTGCTCCGAGAAAAAACAAAAGAGGAAATAAGGACCACTGGAGGTTCGATTTCGTCCCGTCCCGTTGCGTCGTCTCTTCGGGGACACCTCAGCTTGTGTTAAGTAAGATAGGTGGGTGGAAGCCAGCGCCGAGATTCTTGCTGGGAAAGCCCCGTGAGTTGCCGCCTTCCTGCTGGAAAGCCAGTGCGGCGGGCCCATCAGCGGGGATACTTCCCCACTATCTCACCCCAATGACCTTCATTCGCAGAGCTTCATGACGACTGCTTTCTTGCCGGGAACTGGCCACCAAAGGCTGCTTCAAATCCGCACACATGGAAATGTAGTATTGTCATAGATCTTACATGTAGACTCGTAGATCATTAAGTCTGTTATTTTCCAACTCTCCTTAGCTTCTGGAGACCAACACGACTGCGACATTGTCGAACCAAGCGCTGTAGGTGTTAGTGGGGCAAGTACCATGCTTGGAAGAGAGGCTTCTAGGCTCTACAGTTCTCTATGCTGAAGGATCGGGAGGGCACGCGCGGCTTTGGGGCCCCTGTCTCCCGCCATGTTCATTGGCAAGCTTTCCTTGTACTGGCAAAGCCGCAACGTAAGGGTGGTTCCGGCAGTCCGGCAGTCACAAGACATTGCGTCACTCGTATAATTGCCAGAGAGTCATTCACGGATGAAGAATGGCAAGTTGACGCCCCTGGCAATCGCGACACTTTAATTTTCATCAAAGCATAGCAAACATTGTCAAGACTGGCAGTTCCTCCTCGTGTAGGAGATGCATGTGCAGAAAACGATTAATTCAAGTCTTTGATTGGTCTATTTGCGGTGCCTCGTGCGTTGTCGCGGCTTGTTGGTTTGCCAATCATTGCCGCCCAACTCTGGTTGCCGCTTGTCCCTGTCCTTTTGCAGGAGTAAACATGCGATTTCCTCCGTTTCCCTGCGCGGAAGCCGTCCCCAGAAGACCCCCCAGAGATCCAACGATGCCCAAATCATAATACGAGACTCCATTTGGCCTCAACAGGCCTGGCTGACAGCCGGTAAAAACGCCCGGGGCCGTCGCTATGCATCATCATGCGTGTAGAAAGAGGAGGGGAAAAAAAGAGAAATAATGATCAGTCCACCGCAAACTCCGCTTCCAAAAGTCAGAGAGACCCTGCCGTAGATGGGTGGTGTCCACCATGTCGGATCAGTGTTCAAGCTCGAGTCCATGTCCAAGTTCGGGTTCAGGGCTTGTCATCGTCCGCATCTTCGTCGTCCTCGTCCTCGTTGTACTCGTCCATGTCGAAGTCGCTGTCGCTGCCGCCCAGGTCGAAGTCGCCCTCATCGTCTGTCTCGTTCCAAAAAGCGTCGTCGTCCATGGTCTTCTGAGGCACCGGCTCCAGATCCGCCGTGGTGGGAATCGTCACGCCAGGTGGGATGTCCTTCTTGGACTTCTCGACCGTCTCCCGGGCTCTCTTGTTATACTCGTCTCGGGAGTCGCGGTATAGAACGCTCGCATCGACGTTGGCGGGAGAGTTGATCTCGGGGTCGTCCAGAAGCAGTAGCACCGAGCGCAAGACCGACTCAACGCCCTGGAGCGGGGACCATCGCTCGCAGGCCTGCTCGCCCGACTGCTCGTCTTCGCCGGGTGTGTGGAGGATGGAGATGCAGAGCTTGCCGTCGGTGTAGATGTTGGGGTGGTAGATGTTCTTGTTCAAGAAGCGAAAGGTTGGCGGGGCATAGGGGTAGTCGCGAGGGAATGTCATGTCAGCCTGAGATGTTTGTTAGTATTTCGTTTCCATCTCTGAGTTGGGAGTATCGTATGATTCGGAAAGCGAGGGCCTCAAACTGACCTTGAGATAGGCACCATTGAAGGCGCTGTCGGGGTTGACAACCATGAGGCCGATCTTCCAGGACATGACATTTCTCTCGTCGACCTCGATGTGCACCCATTTCTCCTTCTGCAGCGTCTGCAACTCGCTCATCAGTCGCTTTTGTGCCATGGTGAACGGCGGTGGTTGTTATGCAGTGGCGGTGGGGGGAAGGTGCGGTATGTCAAAGAGAGTCGGAGGCAACTGCTCGCGGTGAAAAAAGCCAGACGCAAAGAAGACGTCGCACGCGCACGGGATGGCGAAGGTTTCGAAAAATTCGCTCTTGTGAGTTGGCTGTGAGGAAGTGCTCTTTTAAAAGGAAATAAAAACTGCTCGCAACAGGCGTGTGACCGAAGAAGGGAAATAACCGCGAAGTGGCAGGTGGGATGGAGGGGCGAAGGGGATGACTCGATTAAGCACCAGACTGACTCGAAGTGGTGGGAGCGGTGGTGGTAAGCAGCGGACGGTAGATGGTGGATAGGAGATAAGATAAAGGGAGGAACCGCGCGAAGGGACGACACCAACAGCCGTGAGAGCGGCAACCTCTGGGTCTGGTCGGGTTGAGTTGGGTCCAAGTTGAGGCAGAGTGCAGAGCCAAGCGGCAGGAAGTCGGGACGGGTTGAGCGGGCAGGTCGGAAAAGGAAGAGATGTCAGACTGGAAAACCGCAAGAGGGAACAAAAAGTAGATCCGGGCAAATAGGGGCGAGACAGTAGTGTAAAGTAGGGAAAGGGGACTGCGATGTCGCCGAGGAGTCTGTCGCGATTTATCAAGGTTGCGTGCCATGGGCCGAGTCGAGGCACCAGACTGGGGCACCTAGACCACCTAGAGTCCTAGACCGGGTACCCAGGCAGCCCAAGGAGAGACTCGAGAGGTCACGCAGAGTGTCTCGGATCCGTGGCCGGCTCAGGGCGGCGCCTGTCCCTGCTGTCCCCCGTCCTTGGCTCTCTGCCATTTGGTTCACTCTGTCTGTCGCTGTCTCCGTCCAGGATCGGGCACAGTCAGCCAGACGCCACCCGACTCTCGGCCAGCGCTGCTATGTCATTCTGGTGTGCGTGCTTACCTGAACCCCCTTCAAAACGCTCGCAATCTTCAACTCGAAGGCTATGGAATTCAGCAACTCTGTAGGTCTGCAATAGGCTAGACTTTTTTCGACTGTTCCGGACTCGCCAGGCACTCGCTCCCACTGCCAGGTACGCAAACACGCCAAGTTTCTCTTTGTTGTCTGTGCCTTTCAGCCCCTTTCGATTATACTGCCCCGTTGCAGTTGAGTTGCGTCACGTAAGAAATGTACCTTGGGAGGTAATTGCGGGTGACACTTGCACCATCGCATCAGACCTGTCTCTGCAGATGACCTCGAATGCCCGCAAAGGTACCTACCTACCTACCCTGGCCTCCTGGAGTGGAGGGGGAAACAACTGGGATCGAGATACAGTCTCTGTCGACCAGCAAGCAAGTCTTCCTTACAGATCGGGATTTGACCGCCTTCGATCCAATTGCTGGACGGGTGGCTGATCCGGTCTGCGTTCTGTTTCGGTACCTGACCGCGAGTCTGGCCAATGCATGATACGAGCCAGGAGGGCCCAACAAAGCGTCGCGCGCAGCCGCTTCCCTCCGTCTCCTCCAGGGGAAACTCAACCCCAGATGAACCCAATGCTTTGTCCGATCGTCCCGGCTCAGCCATGCGATTCGAACAACCCTCGAAGCTTGTCGTACATTGGCACCGACCCCCTGACTATGAAAAGACAAGGATTTTTCTCCCAAGCTCACGATGCCACCGGTACGATTTGATGGTCCGAGGAAGACGTGCTTAATGTTTCTTGCATCATCAGAGTGGTTTCGACTTCGTTGCGGATATCTCCCCTTCGGTCGTCAGCCCACATCCCCATAGCTCGACTTCTACTACGCCCCTAGGTCATAGTAAATACAGTTTCCCGTCCTGAAGTTGTACAGGAACGAGTGCCGGCTGGCATTCTTCCTCTCCCAGGCCCATTTCCAATTCAGCAACATGTCGTGGATCTCCCGCACATACTTCTTCTCCGCCGTCGTCACGCTATGTTCCACCTTGCGCCAACTCTCCCCGTCCGACAAGCACGTATCTCTGATGAGGTCCATCACCTGGTCCGTTGTCTCGACGGCCAGAATGGGGCCGTCGAGGAACGAGTGAACCAGGCTGGCAGCGCTCACCTGCGCCTGCTCCACCACCGTCCTCCGATTGAACTTCTTACTCCTCGTCTGCGCTGTCAGCACGCGCACATCTTGCTCCTGGTGCGCTTCCACTGCGGCGCCCGTCTCGGACTGTTGGGCGTTGTTCCTCAACTTGACCAAAGACTTGGAGTCGCGCTCCCGGATCTCGGCTCGCAGCCATGAGAGCAGCTGCGCCATGGGTATGTCGACGTCGGGGATGTCCTTCTTGTCCATTGTTTTGACCTTGAGAATCGCGTCCTGTTTGATGATGATGATCCACGAGTAACCCTCATCGCGATTCCGGGACAGCAAATCTTCGGGCGAGCGTGCGTCTTTCGCAAGCTCGGCACTGATATTGTGCGACCAGAGCGTCTGCAGGATCTCTATTCCCGTAGACCGCAGGACGGCGGCATCGAAGCTGGCCACCAAAGCGTCGCACTTGGCGAGAAAGTAAGCAATATGGTCAGATCGAGGAGCGGCTAAAAACTTACTCTCTTAACGTTTTGAAATATATTATGACTTTCCTCTTCCGATTTCTTCAGGAACGCCTTGCCACTGCTTTTTGGGGTCCTGGATAGCTTCTCCCACGATAAGTTGAACCCTACGGCGTGGCGCTCTTCGTAATGACTGCCAATCTTGGGGCGGTTTTCTCTGATTAGGCTGTCGTATCGACCACCTGCGGCGAAAACATCCTTGACCTTCTTGTCGTAAAGGCAGGAGAACAGGATTCCTCCGGTGTAAAAGCTTTCCTTGAGACTGTTAAGGGGAGTGACATAAATCTTGCTTGCGACACCGAGACGCTTGGCATATTCCGAGACCTCTTTCAGATGTGCCAGGGTCGAAGAAGCCCTCTGGTACAAGTCTGTGCCTTCAAAAAGGGTCTTGAGCTTCGAGAAAGCCTTCGACGGGGTATCTGGAACTTGTTAGCCTCTACGTCAGGATGATCAACTGCTCGCTGCGTACCTCGGAAGTCGAATCGCTGCAGTTCATCCACACTGGTCGCTGACAAGCCAACCAAGGGAGACCGCAGCTGCGCCCTGATCTTCTGCCATGTCCAGTGGTGGATATTAAGTTTGCTGAGAACGTCTGCCACGGCTCTTCGCGAGCCGTGCTCGACGCGGCAGTAATCGAATATGAGCTGCAGCAAGTCGGAATGTCCAAGGTGGAAACACATCTGGCTAGAGGACAGCGAGGGGAAGGTCGCGATGATTTCGTCAAGCACCTTCAGCACCTCTGCTTCCTTCAAGGCCAGATCGAGAGTGTTGGTCGTGACAATGTCAAAATCAACCTCCCCAAGCATATACGGCTGTCCGGTGTCCCCTTTATCGCGGAAGATGTTGCCGAACGTGAATGTTCGCTGGACGCCTGGTGTCCCACTAGCTTTGGCAAGCATCCTTGCGTGGCCCATCGTTAGATCGAAGGGAAGCTGTAGCACCGTTCCATTCGAGTCCAGAAGTCTCACAACGTTCTCGGCATAGTGAGCGGAACGCGGGTAGAGACAGGTGCGTTGGCATTCCAGAGCTCCGTGTCGGCGGAATATGGATATCAGAGTTTCTTTGACGATGCTCTGGTTCAACAAGTCTGCCTGGCTGGGGCTCGTTTCGTGCATATCCCATGCGTAATCTTTGGCTTGTTCCAGTGGCCGGGAGAACAATGTTGACAGCATTTTCTTATAGTACGGTGAGCTAGGGTCTGCGAGGCCTGCCAGTGTACGTCGGATGGTCTCGCTCTCCATTTGGACAGGAAGCTTTCCGCTCTGTAGCAGCTCCGCGCTGGAAGGTCGTTCTTTCGGGTTGTGCGTTACTAGAGATAGGACAATCTCTGTCTGTATTCTGTCGGCAGGCTTGAAGTCCGAAGGAAGTATGGGACTGGGTCGCCGAAGCTTCTCAAGAACCTCGGCTCTTTGCATGCCGAGCATCGGAGGATAACACATCTCAAAGAAGATTATACCCAAAGAATACATCTTGAGCGATATCAGCATAACAGAAACGCAAAAGAGTGGGCATTAAATTCAGCGCGGAAGACTCACATCAACTTTGGAACTGTACATCCCGCTAGACCCGGATCGTACCTCCGGTGCGGCATAAGAAGTGGTTCCAATACTTCTGGTAATGTCGTCGGACTCCATAGTATTGGGCAGCGCCTTGTCTACGGCAAACTGGCCGCTGGTCGCCAGTCCAAAATCGCCAATTTTGACGTTGTCCGTCCCATCGCTACTATGAGCAATGAAGATGTTTTCGGGTTTGAGATCTCGATGAACGATGCTGAGACCGTGGATATGGGCAAGACCCTCGAGTATCTGCCGAAAAAGGCGCCATATTTCCGGCGTGTTTTGATAAAGCTTTCTGGTAATTAAATCGCGCAGTGTCTGCAATCGTCAGTCAAGCCGCAAACTTCCAGTATCAAGTCTCCATTGACGGCAAAGTAGCTTACTCGTTTCTCACAATATTCCATGGAGATGTACAACACAGTCCTGGAAGATCTGTGGGAATGATTTCTCCTCAGGATCTCTTTGCTCCTTGGTGCGCGTCCGACCGCCTGGCTGCTGTCGTCGGAATCGGAGTCGCTCTCGTCCTCCGAGTCTTCTTCGTCATCATCCTCTTCTTCCTCATCAGAATCTTCTTCAGCGTCCGAATCATCGTAGCCAAACTCAACCTGCGGGTAGCCACTTGACGACATAAAGTCCAGGCCACCTGTGCTTGTGGCAAAGTGGATAGCGGCACCTTGAGATACCGTGTCTCGGGAGTCTTCTGTGTTCAAGTCTTCTGTGGATGTATCGCCCTCTGTGTCCGACTGGTCCGGAACCTCCTCGACCCAGGTGTTGTAGTACCGAACCACAGCTGGATGGCTGAGCTGAGATAGCAGACGAACCTCTTTCAGGATCTCAGTCAAGCTCGCTTGCGACCTTTGGCTGATCTTTTTAATGGCATATATCTGCCCATCCAGCTTCTTCCGGGCTTTTACCACCTCGCCAAATCCACCTTTACCTAAACGACCCTCCTCGTCAAAGTCTTCCCGGTATCTTGACGATGCAAGAGTTCTATTCGTCGACTCGCGTCTCAACCGTGGGGGTATTGGCGATAGTGCGTTGAGGGAATGATAGTTTGACGTGATTGCAGGACTGTCCTCCACTATTACGGGCGCATCTGTGGCAAGGAATTCGCTGGATCCCAGCTCGAAAGCACGAGGCCGTTTCTTGGGGTCTGCCTTGAAAAATCTTGTGACCAACTCTTGCAGCGGTCTCGACAGAGACATCGAATCAGACACAGAGGAAGGCGAATGATACTTCTGAGGCACGTCAAGCCCGAATATCATCTGCAGAAAGACGATACCAAACTCCCACATGTCTGTCTTTTGCGTGTAATGCGGCTTCGACAGCGCGGCAGTCTCTGGCGGCAGCCAGTAAGCAGACTTTGCAGAGCTCAGTCCTAACGGCACATGGCCTTTGGATGAGATGTTATGCAATTCTCTTTGGTAGCCTGCGTCTGCGAGCTTTGGCACAACCTCTCCGGTTTGTTCCCGGAAAAGCAAGACGTTTCCTGCGTGGATGTCTTGGTGGACCATAGACTTGTTGTGCAAGAAATTGAGAGCATCAAGTAGATCTCGCGTCCAAGCGCGCACCTTACTAGTATCCAATTGACCAGCCAGGTCAAGAAGTTCAGCAAGTGATCCCTTTTCAGCGCTGGGCGTGAGGACGTTGACGGTCCAAAGAGTGGCCAATACTTTTGCGGCATTACTCTTCTCGCGTTCCACCCTGAAGTCCAAGACCTCGAGCAGATTGCGGTGACGCACTTGCTTGAGTGCCTCGAGTTGGCTTTCGAGAGACTGGACCTGCTTCTTGAAGACAGAGGCATCCTCCTTTGCAGTTGTGCGGAGAATGGCCTCCTTGAGCGCCAAGTTGGGACAGTCCTGCCCACTGCCGACGACGGGCCAAACGGAGAAGACGGTTGAAACAGGGCCTTTGGCGACTTCAGACTTTCCGAAAACAGCCTGGAAAGAAATGATGTTTCCAGTTTTGTCAGTCGTGTGACAGGGCCGATCGAATATTATGCGACCACTTTCAGGGCCGTTGGAGCCGTCCATTGGGGCGAGAGACGGTAGCCCGTTGGGTCGATTTTTCTTGCGTGTCTCCTTCGCCTTATCCTTCTGGCGTTTCAACTCAACCTGCAACAGGCCACCAAGAACTCTTTCTTCCTCCTTGTTCTCTTCCTCTCTCTTGCGTTCCTCTTCTGCCTTCTGCTCCTGGGCTAGCTTGGCCAATGAGGCCTCATGAGCCGCTCTCTCTTCTTCGAGCGAAGGCAGCTCAAGACCCTTCGCCTTAGCCTGAGCTGCGTCTTCAAGAATGTCTCTGATTCCTTCTACGATTCGATCCACCATCTCCTGCTCTTCAGTCGCAAAGATTTTGGGTTGAGTCTCGATGAACTTCTGCAGCTTGAACAGGGTAACCTCACGAAGGTCGCCGGTCTTCTTCAGAGTCAACAATGGCGGGCTCTTGGGATACGTAGCAGTCATTACTACGCCCAGGGTGACGGCAAAGTCGTCATCAGAAGACGCCCTGATGCGAACATCGAATGAAGGGTCTGATTTCTGGTTGAGTGTTAGCATCGCTTCTTCTTGTCAATGAGAGCCTCCAGTAATAGCGACGAGGTCCTCTTTACCTTCCAAGCCCCCGGTGTCTCTGCATGCCTCACGAAATCTTCCCCATAAATAGCTTCAAGGGCGATGAGCTCGTTTTGTTGAAGCTCCTCATATTCAATTTTGGTGGCAGCCTCAGGACCCTTTGGTTTGAGTCCCGGGAAGCTTGAGTCATCTCTGTTTGTCTGCGGTAGGTCGATGGGCTTTTTCCACACCCCGGATGATTTCCACGCCATATCGTAAACGACGAGAAAGGGCTTGACGAATCACCACAGCGCGAGCCGTGACATTCCGTTACAGAAAAGCCATAGTGGTTAAATGGGCAATGTTCGTTATCAAATATAGGGTGAGTTGTATGGATGACAGGCTAAGAAGGAAAGAAAAAGGCGAAACCAAGTCTAGCCGACTAAAGCGCCACAGCCAGCATCGACGTCTGGCGGCCTAATGCGCTGTCACAGTATACCTCTGCGCCCACGGTCGTCAACCTGGAAGTGGGGGGTTTTCGGACGATAGGCGGGTGCCCCTCACTGATGACGCCTGTCGTCCTAGTGCTTTTTTCAGTGGGCCAAGGCCCCCAGGGCTCTGAAGAACCTGGAAACTAGAGGGGCGCTGGACAAGGAGCACTGTCTTAGGACGGTGCACTCAGACTGTGTGGGTCTAGCCAACGAACCAGGGACGCGCCGTCCACATACGGTAACAAGTAAACAAGGTGAGAACCACATCTGTTCGCGGCGGTCGGATCATCAAAACTGCAAACTAATTAATACCTGCGACCCGCCAGGACAGGAGCGCATGTGATGCGATCTCGCCAAACGAACTCCGCGCTACCTCAGACAGTTCGAATCCGCGCGTAATTATCCATTCGTTGGCACAACCATCCTCTTTTCCCCAGAAATTAGGAGCCCACAAAGTTAGGATGCTGGGCTGGGTTCTTAGACGAGGGTTGGAGGGCGCGTCTGGTGGAAACAGAGCAAACGCAGGTAAGGAGATCCCGCGCAACGTTCTAGTTGCCTTTCACGACTTTTCTAACCTTGTGACAGACGACACGACGCAGATTGAACAACCAGACACACCCGCACCCATCTTTGCTGCCCGCGCGCTGAAAAGTGCCATCTTTGGAACACCCGCGCGACCAGACGACGACAACACCGCGAACATGGCGCATCGCAAAGACGCAGACGATTCCGACGCTGAATCCCGAACGCCATTAAGACCACAGGGAATCCTCCTCACTCCTGGGACCGGAACTTCTCGGCGGAAGCGCGTTTCGTTCGGGCACGACGTGTTGGATAACAAGAGAGTCGACAACAAGAAGGGCAAGGGAAGAGATACCGACGAACGACCAGGAAAATTCCCCGACAGCTTCGCCGACTCAAGCAGCGACTCTGCAAGCAAGCGCACCAAGTTGACGGAGGCGATGGAGAACTCTCGACGCAACAAGGGCACTGCGAGCTCGCGCGAGAGGAGCCAGACACGCGCCAACGCAACGAGGGGGGACGATGCGGAGGACGAATGGGAAGAAGCCGACGATGACCAGTGCACGCAAGACGTTACGATTGACCTTAATGAGCCTCATTCGCGATCGGGCAAGTATTGGAAGTCGGAATTCGAACAGTATCACCGGGACGCTAAAACCGAGATGGAGAAACTGCTCAAGTACAAGCAACTAGCGAAATCATACGCCAAAATGAAGGATGCCGAAGCCATTGACCTGAACGCAAAGCTCAAGGAGGAGCAAGAGAAAGCCGCGCAGATGGAGAAGAAGATTTCCGAAATGGCAGCGCAAATCGCTTCGAATCGCACCAGTGGCGAGGAAAGGGACAACCCTCAGTTGATGAAGGACTTGGCTAAGCAGACCGCGGTCGCTGTCGAGTATAGAACACAAGTGAAGGAGCTGGCAGCATTACTGGATAACCGCGACGGAGACGATGACGAAGGAGATGCGCGAAGTAGACGCCGAAGGCAGGCCGCCTCTCCACGAACCCACAAGACGTTGCTTGAAACGCAACGCGAGTTGAGAAAGGCGAGGGCACAAGTCAAAGAGAACGGTCAGCTGCGAGAGGAAGTTGAGCGGTTGAAGTCCGACCTTCTCTTTGCCGAGCAGCGAGCGAACAAACTCGCCGAGGAGAACAAGCGACTTGCCGAACAACAGCCCCTGCAGAACAAGGAGGCGGCCTCGTCGAGCAAACTAGTGGAAGAACTGAAGGAGGCAGCCCGACAGAAGGATGAAGAGCTGCGCAAGCTCAAATCTGACTTTGAGACCTACCGGACGGATGCGGAAGCCACGCAAGAAGATACCCGGCGCATCCTAGAGAAAGCAACCGAGAAGATCAACGACCTGAAGAGAGAGATCAAGACGCTCAGGGCGGGTTCAGCTGAGGCGCCCAAATCTAGAGCTGCAGCCACCTCTACGGCAGACCGCGAGCCTGTTACGAGGGAACATCGTACTCAGGACAACGACCGCCTCGCTACGATAAGCAAGACACGGAAGTCCTCGGCTGATACCGGCCGACGAAGCCTCGACCTCGTGGAATCGCTCGGCAAGAAGCTCAATGAGACAAAGTCCCAAAATCTTCGGGACAAGTATCAGCAAGACGCAGACGCCGAGTCTCTTAGTTCGGGAGAGGACGAGCCTGTAAAGGAGCCCCCAAGGCGTCCCCAATCCGAAATCTTCTCAAGCCGCGTCAACTTGGACAAGCCTAAGTGGCGGCCGTTCATCCCAAGATCACCTCGCAACAGAGAATACCTAGGTCCCGATCTAAACGAACGGATCGTGACTTCGAGCGAGATCCCCTCGGGAACTACACCGGCACCGCGGCACAGATTCACCAGCAAAGAGAACAACCCTCCCATCGACTTATTGCAGGACCGGTTCGCTCGACTTGGCGGCCCGGACATCGATGCTAGCACCATGATGGCGGCGAATATGTCAAGGAGCACCCTGCCTCCTGAAAGGCGGGCTGCAGCAATCGCACGAATAGAACAGAGGAAGGCCGACAAGAGGCGCGCAGGGTCAGGCCAGAGCAACAACAACAAGGAGAACATGCGACCTCAGCGGTGACGGATAATTACATGCATTGCGGGCGGTCACGTTCCTCGCCCTTTTTTTTTTTGGGGGGAGTTTGGTTGTAGGAACAGGATTCGGTCATTGTACTAGTAGTCTTGGGCACACTGGGTAGCATGGTGTTTGGGGGGGTATCATATCAACTCGGAATATTCAAATAATTCCAAGAACCTCGTTCCCGACGTAGTCCCTTTTTGTTGCTTTTTACTGTTTTTGTAATGCCCTTGAGCAGTCTATGCGCTCAAGGTTCCCTTAGTGCTGGGCACTTCTCCTTCCTTGCCGGCAACGCGACTCGTCGCCATCTTGACGGCCACGGCCAGGGCCTTGAAGGCACTCTCGGCACGGTGGTGGTCGTTCTCGCCCCTCAGGCAGTCGACGTGCAGGGTGACTCTGGCGCCTTGGGCGAAGCTCTGCAGGCAGTGGGGGATCATCTCGCAGCTCAGGTCGCCAATCTTCTCGCGGCGGAGGCCGAGGTCGATGACGCTGTAGGGACGGTTCGACAGGTCGACGACGGCGCGGGAGAGGGCCTCGTCGAGAGGGGCGTAGGCGTAGCCGAAGCGGGCAAGGCCGGTCGCGCTGCCGAGGGCGTTGGCGAAAGCGTAGCCGAGGGCGATGCAGACGTCCTCAGCAGTGTGGTGGTCGTCGACTGATCGGTCAATGTTAGCGGAGGGAACCTCGCGGTGTTGTTGACCGGGACGAGGGTGACGAACTGTGCAGGTCGCCCTTGCAGGCGAGGGCCAGACTCCAGCCGGCGTGCTTGGAGAGGGCATGGAGCATGTGGTCGAGGAAGCCGATGCCCGTGTTAACGCTGATGGTCTGAGACTTGCTCGCCTGCGAGGCGTGCTCGGTGACGGCCGCGGTGAGCCTCGAGTCGGTGTCGGGTGGGAATGCCCCGCCATCGAGGTTGATGGCCAGCTGGATCTTGGTCTCGTTGGTGTCGCGCGCGAGGGCGGCCCATCTGGGAGGGTGAGAGGTCGTAGACATGGCGGATGCGTTTGCGGGACGTCGTGCAGTCGGATATAGAGGAGTTTGGGGGGATATGGGAAAAATATTGAAGATATCGCAAAGCAAGATCGACTTTACCAAGAATATTTTGGCACCTTTTTTCCCCTCCTCTTAGTCACTTATCGATGGGCGCCGTCCGTCGGAGCTGCAGCTTCAGTGTCATTCCGCGCTGGGAAGTGGCGGGGAGGCGACGTGGGGCATTGGCCAATTCAGACCTGGCGACTGTCAGCGATTGAAGCGACTACAGCGCACCGCCAGCGAGGGACGGGGACGACGTCCCCCACCACGATACCGGTTACACCGCTTAGGCCCACTCGGGGGGTGAAGGCACCGAGCCCCAACGGCAGAAAAAATGCATTGAAAAACGCGAGGCAGGAAGCTTCTCTTTCCTTCCTGCTTATTAAAAAGTTCCTCCCACAGAGGACACGGGTCAGAAACATGACCAACACCAACACATCAGCGCTGCAGCCTGGTGTCTCATTGGTCCTCTCCCGCCTCGCTTGCAGATAAAATAAGGGCGGCCTGCCAATTGCAAGCTCCCATCTGCATCACCACTACATTTCTCTACTTACCACCAGCTTCCACTACATTGGAAAAGCCTCTCTTTCGGGACTTTGCTTTGACAAGATGTCGGAATTCCTGGATGTCTACTGGCAGGCGCCGCCTGTTGCAAGGTAAGCTCATCTCACATCTCACCTTCATCGGATGCATGTACTGACTCTCATCTAGAACATTTGCGACAGCCGCTTTCGTCACGTCCTTGTCCGTCCTTTTGGGCATCGTGAAGGCCTACTGGTTCATCTTCCTGCCGGACTTCCTTTTCCAATTCCCGCCTCAGATATGGCGATTCGGGACCAACTTCCTGATCACCGGCCCCCAGCTCGGCTTGCTCTTTGACACGTACTTCCTGTACACGTACCTCACTGCCCTCGAGGTCGGCAACCCCAGGTTCGCCAGACGCGAGGATGTCATATGGTATCTCATGTTTGTGTGCACTGTCATCACGGTAAGTTTTGCTACATCATCGCTGCCCTCCCTCGGCAGTACGCCCAATACCACGATGCACAAAAGCGTCTTCTGGAAAGTTCCTCTATATATGTACCCCGCAAAGAGCATCGTCTCTGCCTGCTACACACATCTTCTGCACCTCATATTATCTGCCCGCATAGTGGATACCCACAGCTATAGCGGTTCCTGGAAATGAGGAAGATTACCCTCACGGCGCGACCAGTCCATTTCGCTTTACAGGACTTGGCTTGTGGCGTGGGCGTGGTGGGATGTCTTAATGGATGGCTCGTGTAACCTTATACAATGTTGCTCGAGTGGTTTTTACAGCTCCCTACATTTTACCGCCTAAACCTCCGGGTTTTTGGTTTTCCTTGTTCTTCATGTCGTTGCCACAATCATCATGAAACTGTCCAGCTTCGGCCCAGGGGAAGCATGCGCTAATATCGCACACAGGCGCTCTGCACCTACCTCATGGGCGGAGGAGCCTTCCTCCCGGCTTTGATTCTCGCCTTGTGCCGTACCGTCACCCAGGACCAGCGAGGCATGAAGGCCAACTTCTACTTCGTCACCATCCCCGCCCAGCTCACCCCGTTCTGCATGATGCTCGTGTCGCTGCTGTTCCCTGGGGGGTACTATACCTTCATGATCCAGCTCATGGGTTTTATCGCCGCTCACCTGTATGACTTTTTGTCCAGGGTGTGGCCGGAGTTCAGCGGCGGTCGCAATTTGATCCCCACGCCTGGCTTCCTCTCGCGTCTTGTTCAGACCCCCCGCTTCAATCAGCGTGGCTACGGCACTGCTGTTCGCGGTGGCGGAGGTGCTTCGGCCCAGGCTGCCGGCAGCAGCACTGGCATTTCTCAAGGCGGCGGAGTTCTTCCCGACTCGTGGAGGACGAGAGGACCTGGAAGACGTCTGGGCTAAGGGCTGAGACAAAGCTGTACGATAGATACCATTTCAAAAAGATACCATTGCATTACGAATAAGACTTTATTCACTCCAAGAGACTGGTTCAGCTTGGTTTTAAAACTCATGAGACCTATACGCTACGAAACACAGAAAGCCTGCCAGCCCGCCGCCTCGAACGCCAGAAATTGACTTTCCCACCAAGTCCGTTGTTAGATTAACGGACTCGTTAACGCCGAATACCACGGCAGAGTCTATCCATAAAGTGTGCTCTTGCCACTTCGAATGGGCATGTCACCCTCATATTCCCGAGGGTCGACGTCCCTCACCACTGCCACTTGAGAGATGATCGCGCGGCCGGGTAATGGCCTATCGTGGAATCGCTCTCCGTGATAAGTAAGTGGTTCTGAGATTTGCATTTCCTTGGTCTCGCCACGATCCGCCACCGGTGTCGCGCCCTCCACGACGATCTGCGGTGGGGAGTACTGCTTCGGCACGCGAATCCGTGGCACCGAGGGGAGAGAGAGGGACGGTATCCTCCGGGACTGTTTCCGAGTCGGAGGCCCTCCCGGAGGCGGCGGCGGGATGTTCACAAGCCTCGGCTGCGCCGTGCTGTCGCCGGGTGATCCTTGTGACCTCGCAGGCGACGGTGTTCGCGACACGGCTCGCGGCGGCGGCCTCATGCCGCTCATGCCTGGTTCCTCGGTGGCTGTCAGGTAGGTCTGCAGCGCGTACGAGTCCGGCGTGTTCGTCTTCCGCGGGTTCGGCGGCGTGGGCGTGTTGGTGCGGTTCGACTGGCGGCTCATGGCTCGCGGTATATAAGCCGGGTGTGTCGGGAGAGCGCTGCCGGGCCCGTGAAAGCCGGAGTGGGGGTCGAAGTTGTAGTGCGCCATGTCCCGCCCGGTCTGGATCTCTTGCTCCAGCCTGTCATAGTAGTCGGCATTGCTGTTGAAGTTCTGTTTCTCTTGCAGCTCGTAGTTGTAAGAGTTGATGGACGGCGACTTCTTGTGGTCTGTGATGGGCATGTACGGACTCTTGTTGACAGCGGTGATGGAGCTGGCGTGGCTCCTGGGCGGTTGGGGAGCGAAGCTCGCCTCGTCCTCGGTCCTCTGCTTGCGCTGCTTGCGGCAGTAGATGACGAAGAGGCAGATGGCTCCGACGAAGACGAGGCCGCCGCCGACGGCGATGCCCACAATGGTGCCGAGCGTCATCGTAGTCGAGGAAGCCCCGCCGTCTCCTGGCATAGTCGTATTAGCCCTCGGCTCGGTAATGTTGACGGCCTCAGTGGAGAAGAGCTGGCCGGTCAAACCAAGGAGGTTCCCGTCGACAGGCTTCTGCTGGCAGCCGGCTTTGAGAGCAATCAAGACTATGGGGCATGGGATGTCAGCGAGCAATCCCATGGGAGTAAAGAGTTCGTGTAACACTTACAGTTGGAGAGGTAGCTCTGACTGTCGCTTGACTGCAAACACCGGACACAGGACCACCAATTTGAGCTCGAGAACTTGTCTCCGTCCGCCGTGCAATAGTCGTATGCCGTGTTAGCGTCTGGCGTTGTAAGTCCAGTCGTCAGGGCGTTCTTGAGGGGTCGGCAAGCGCTGTTGATGATGCAGGGAGAGTTGATGTTGGAAACGGTCTCAGGGAAGTCAAATATGCAGACATCTACTGCGTACCGGATGTTGTCTGTGAATCTCGGATTAGCCACCCGTCTTACACGAAATCCGTTCAATCGGACTGTTCTTACAGAGTAACCATGCGGCGTCGTTCTCAGGGCCCTTAGTTGCCTGGCTCTTCTGCAAGCAATTGATGCAGTTCTTGAATTTGATGCCTTTGCCTGTCGAATGGTACTGGTCGTTTTCGCAAACAATGTCTGACGAGTTCGTCCCTAATGTCGTCGTATCGACTGCTGTGCCGTTTATTCCGCTCAAACACAATGCTTCACAGTCCGAGTCGGGTGTAACCTCGAGCGAAGAGGCGACTGTGACAAGCGAGAACACGAGAAGGAGATGCCACAGGGACGGAGCGGCCATGTCAAAGTGCCTCATGCCGGGCTGGGCTTTGGAGGAGATGGGAGAAGAAGGGAGGATGATGGGATTAGATGAAGCCCGGGTATCTTAGCAGCATGGTATATCACACCACCCTTGACTGGATACTTGGAAAATCAATAGATGAGTGTCTATCCTTGGGAGGACTGGGACAGCACAACTGTCAAGGAATATAATCAAAAGATCATCTTTGTAAAGTTCCGGCTTGCTTCTGCGGGACTCATTGCAGATATAATGTCCGGTAGAAAGAGGTAGCACTGCGGCACGGCCGATCCGCATGCAAGACAGGCAGGCGGCTCGGTACCTGCCAGCATTGCGAACGTTAGCTGGGTGGTCTATTTTTGAGTGTGTGGTATAGTCGTGCTGGCTCCAGCCGGTGAGAGAACCAAGAAGTACACCTGCCAGAGTCCAAAGACGGTAAAGGCTTCATACGTGCATGTCATGTTTCTCCAGATCGCCAGGCGGGGTGTGTGAGTGGGATTCTCAAGAGCTGAGAATAGCAGTGGGGAAGAAAGCCAAGATTGGGAGCGGGTACGTGGCGAGTCCAATAAGACGACGCGTAGTGCCAACCCTGGACGATTCTAATCGCGCCCAGGCTCGGGCACGACGAATGAGGGGACGGGAAACGGGAAACCCGCGCCAAACAAATGTACGTCGTGCCGGGGTCTGAGGAAACGAAGTGAGCTCAATGGTCAGGACAGCAGAAGGACACGGGAAGTTGAAACGGAGAGGACAGGATTGAGTGGCCTGGCAGGCGCCGGCCAGCCATGCGGCCTTCATTCCTAGTGTTCATCCACACTCCCCCTCGTCGACATTACAAGTGAAAACGACTCGACCAGCCATTTAGCGGCCGCCTTCCCGTCCAGAGGGCCCACACTCTGGCAGCTTGTCTTACCGTAGTAGTTCAAGGCCGTCTGGCGGCGGGAAAATCAGGCCATTCGAGCCATGGCCGAGATTGCCACGCGACCAAAGATCTCGGAAGGACACTAGGAATTCTTCCGTTTCCTCCGCGCTCATGTCTGGGCAGACAGTCTTCCGCGAGGGGGGCGACTAATGGGCCCCGATAGCCTTAGCTACCTTGTCTCTTCCTTCAGTCAACACAGCACGAAGGATCCATCTTCTCAAACTTGACCGGCATGATGCAGACAGTCTTCCCGCGGGCCTTTCATGAGAACCTCGGGCTACGCGAACCCAACAGGCTTTAAACGCGTCTATCAGCCAACGACAGGAGGATGCTTCATTCCGAGGTGCTACCGCTGCCGCGTTGGCACTCGATAGTCGATACGACTTTCCCGACTGCCCGCCCAGACGGCGGATCATGGCTGCTACACCAGGACAGCCCTCATTTGCTTCGGGCCCCTCCCTGTATGGCTGTCACCTGCAGGGCAGATTTCCATGAATAGAAGCGAGTGTGATAGTGGCTGCATGCACCAACCACCTTGAAGCTCTAGCAGATGAGAGGGGTGGCTTCCCGTGTGTTTGCGCGAACACTCCATCTCTACGATGACAAGAACCACCGAACTCACGTTGGACACTAGACCTTTATGCTTTTATCTCGTTGCATTTTGGAGTAGTATTGCTCTTTCATCCGACAGTGCCCTCTTCATGCAGAATCATCACTGTGGGTTCATGTTGTTGAATAATGGTTTATAAAAGGAACATCCTTTTCCTCCTCAAGTTTGCCCTTTTGCAGTATAAAATAGCTGTGTTCTTTCTTAGCATCAAGAAGAATCTACTAGTTTACCGCAATCGCTTTCCTGAGTACTGCTGTGGCTTGACGCTCATTGGTTTTCTCATAGGTATGTTCCTCTTACACTCATGTTCTCCCTAATTCTTTCGGCCATTATCACAGGACGGGAACCAAATGTGGTACCGCGGCCAACTTCAGGTAACGTTTACCACCAATTGCCTCCCTTTGGTGTTCCTCTCATCGGGTCCTTGCATGAGTACCAAATATCAGCTTTGGTCTCAGAACGTATGAATCCATGATCACACGGGGCCTACAACAGGATCTGGTTCTTGAATTTCAGCTACGCGTTAGTTGTTGGCGTCTTGCAAAAAGATGCCACTTGCTATGGATTGTTCATTTTCATCCTTGGATCATCTCCGTTTTCGAATCCCCAGAAAGTATTCCAGTAACTTGAAAGGTAAATCCAGTTGTTGTCCTGTTCAGGGTCTCTCCAGTCAGCACAGTTGCTACCATGTTCTTTGACATGGAAATGGCTGTAACACACTTGGCAGCTCCCTACTCCTCTTGTACATGACGCACAGCTGATTTAGGCCTAGATGATGGTTGTACGAATCATATCCAAGGCCTGCTCCGGTGTACAAATGCCATTCTCGCTCTCGGTTTCATTTCCGTCATGATGAGGGAGATCTCCTTAGCTCCAAGAGAATGTCCCAGATGAGCTCTGATTAGCCAGGCGCGGGCGGTGCTGCTTCGGTCACTTCACAGACTTTGTGTCCCTATTGCCTTCAACATCGTGCTGGCTCGGTCTAGGCAGGGGTAGTTTGTGTCGTACAGAAAACATCGTCAAGCTTAACGTCAAACTGTTCATTGCTCCTAGGACACAGTCACAACACGCTCCAACTGTCTTCTTGTCGTTAAGGTGTCTTTAAGAAAGTATTCCTGGGACCGAAACAAAAATGAACATAGTTATTTAATAGATGATGACGGCCGTCTGGGCCAGGACCTTTACGGACACCACGCCACTACTATCATATCTCGCCAGCATAGTATCAGGTTCAAGATGACTTTCAAGTTGGTCACCGTTCTTGTCACTCTAGTCATCCAGGCGCTTGCGTCTCCAGCCGAGCCACCTCAACCCCACAACCCTGAGAACTGGTCCGTGATGGCCTTCCGACGTGTATGCCCTAAGGATCAGGGCCAATGCAGCTACAGCTTTCTCATTTCTGAAGACCCGACCAAAGCCCCCAAGTATTGCAACTTCGCCGTCGATGCCACTGGTGGACTCCCTGCATACCAAACTGACTTCTCCGTTCTCAAATGCCCCGATGCCCCAGAGTACACCATCAATGGTGGCTGGGATGAGCGCCAGTTTATCACCTTGACTGTAATCAACGAGCAGAGGAACCTTCTATCCTTCTTCGCCTTCAAGGATGCGGATCTGTGGGCTGGCACCGAAGCCACTCCTCAAACCTCCAAGGCCTTCATCTATCCCATGCCCGCCAAGCGAGAGGTGAAGCAGAAAGAGCAGGGGGAGGCCGAGGACCAAAGGAAGCGGCTGGAAGAGGCGAAGAAGAAGAAACAAGAAAAGGAGAGGGAGGAAGGGAAGAAGCTAGAGGAAGCGAGGAAAAAGGATTGGGGGATTGCCTATGCTTCAGAGTGGAAGCTTGTGGACGTCACCAAATGTGAGTTGAGGCGCTTTTCTGCTGAAGGCGATGACATTGCTGACCACATCACCAAGATGAGTTCAACTCTGGACCTTACACCGATAGACTCGTTATGGTGTTTGGGATCCAGAGTGGCAACTCAACAATCGAAGCCTGTCATATAAACATTCCATTGTTCGAAGGACTTCGGGCACTGGGCAAGAGCTTCGCACATCAAGAGTGCAAACACGGTGGCTGGTCAGCTTCTTGGGGCCAGAACGAGACCACAGGCATGGCTGTCATGACCTTGATCAAGTAAGGAAACCCCACCGTCTCTTAGATAGGTCTAAACTGACATTCGCGGCAGTAAAAACAAGGACAGGCGTGCGTACTTTGGGTTCACCGAAGTCAATACCCGCGTTCTGCTTGGTGACAATGGACCTAACCCAACGTACGCGTTGAAGATGTGAGAAGCAATAACACGAAGGAGGCTTGATGATTCCAAATGCAAAGTAATAGCATCAGGGGAATCGGACAAGGGACAGCATCTTTTAGACATCCTGGGACATGTACGGCAGACTTTTTATTCTGATAAATACTTAGACTTTGCTAGTTGACGTTGTTATGTCAATATGATGGTGGTTTGGGGTCTCTAAGGATCTGTTTAATCAAAAGCTCAAGTTTTATTAGGGAGAGTTGCGCATTGACAAAGGTCGATCTGCGAGGCAATGACACTATCTTGGCCAGCAAACCCTAGATACAATGGATGGGTTTGCCTGGAACATGATGCATGAAACTTATAAGTCAAGAGCTCATTGACGAATATGTGCCAGGAATTCATTCTTCATAGGACTTTGGAAACATGAGACAATTTTAAGCGGTGAATTCCTGCGTGTTTCGTCAAACAACAGACCAGTGAAATGAGGATCGAGATGCAGAACCTACAGGATTGTCCAGACGATTGCAAGGCGAGTATGGCGGTGACGGGGGTCCCGCGGCCATTTGTAGCCAGCTTTTAGTAAATGGTTGGCAGGAGAGACGGGTTACGCGCCGTTTAGGCGCCAGGTCTTCGGGAGAGCGAGAGCACCTGGTGAGAGACTGTGCCCTATGCTGACGACTTTGGCAGATGGGACGGGCAGCGCAGTCTTTCTCCGCTATAACCAGGAAGCTGGTAAACCCCCTGACCAAATTACGACGGTATGTTGTCCGAGTTTGTGGGCCACGAATCATCTCGAAGGATCAACGCATCCCGATTGTCTCGATAAGGCCTGTATGACGCCAGTGCCATTAGTGGATTAGGGGTTGAATGCAACTCTGCAGACGTGATTGATTGGTTTGAAGTGGCAGGATGCACTTATGCTCGTGATCACACTGCAGCTGTGATTGCGCTCATGTCTAGTGGCACTGTACTATGAAGTTTGGCTCTGATCAAAGATTTGCCTAGAGGCGGCATTGCATGGAAATGTCATAGAATAACCAAAAGAATTGCAGTCCTGTTGTGCATGAGGGGATGTTCTGTAGTTCTTGATCGACATAACAGCAGCCGTGCAAACGGGAAGAGTCGCCAGACAGAACTCCACGTGTGTCATGCCTTGTTTGGGTTATTCTCAGTTATAACATTCTTGTCCTTGGTGACGACGAGGCGCGGGAGACTCCTGGCAACGTGTAGGTTTGAAAGGCGCAGTGTGGGTGCGACTGGTCCCGGAACTGGAGGAACCTCAACCTACATAATACGACAACACATCACAGACCGTCACTCAGCCTGTCCTGTCAACGCCATGGTAACGGCGGGTAATAGGGAGCGCGTGCGATAACTCCATCTCGGGAGCATGCCACGCATGGACAGGCACATTGTAGAGAAGGCAGAGGCCAGTGGAGGGCTCATCGGGGAGCGTGAGCAGCCAGACGAAATGGGAGGCTGGTCTGTGCCCTGAGCTGTGGAGGACAACCATTGGATCCAACACTCAAATGGCTGCAGTTGCGCCAACTACAAACCCCTGTGTTCAGCGAGCGGCAAATGTCGTCTTCCTGTTGGTCACCTGCCATCACCAACAACGAAGAGTTGCAATAGGTCGGCTCGCGTTGGCCGAGCTTTGGAGTGTTACCCCGTGGTTTCTCGCAAAGTCCCGAGTTCCCCCTCCTCCGCCCTCTCCAATCCCCATATACCGTTGTGAGCGCACAAGATTTCCCAGATTGGGTTGCGCTAACTTTGGTCCTTCTCCTTGACCCCATATTCTTCTGTCATCTTTCCTTACTCATTTGTTTCTCTCATCTGTCTTGGATGTCGTCGTCATTGTCCTTCGTGTCATATCTACTGCCCGCGGCGAAACGTACGGTCGGTCGAGGGGATTCAGACAGTGGAAGATTCGACCTGGTTGTTGTTTCGCTGCGCTCACCGTCAACGCTGTCTGAAAATGAGGATTGGCTGTCTGCAATTTGCTCCCCAGGTGGGCGATGTCGACAATAACCTCAACCGCGCCGACTCCGTCTTGAGTAAAGCGAACCCTGACGACCTTGATCTTCTCGTACTGCCTGAGCTGGCTTTCTCAGGTAAGTTTACATCGAATACGACTTTTCACGAATGTCAGCGCACCCAAATATGGCAAATCCAAGCTGCGACATTCCCCGCTCCAAAGAGCCGTTGCGCGCTGACAACTATATCCACCTTTGGGATTCCGACGGAGCCTGACTGTTTGCAGGATACAATTTCAAGTCATTGCAGCACATCTCGCCCTTTCTCGAGCATTCCGGCTCCGGTATTACTTCTCTTTGGGCTCGAACTACGGCTCTGAAGTATAACTGCAATGTCGTTGTTGGTTATCCGGAAAAGGTCGATGTCTCCGACAACTGGCCTACCAGTCCAGAGTACTACAACTCAGCCATTGTGGTCAACGGAGATGGTGAGACGATAGCCAACTACAGGAAAACATTTCTTTACTACACGGATGAAACATGGGCTCTGGAGGGTCAGGGTTTCTTCGATGGCTTTATTCCTGGACTGGGAAACGCTTCGATGGGTATCTGTGAGTTATCCATGAAAATCAAGGCCAACGTGTTTGTACTAATTATGGCAAATTCAGGCATGGATTTGAAGTGAGTTCGCTCCTGAGTATCATAATCGGCTGGCTACTGACATCCCGCCAGTCCGTACAGGTTTGAAGCCCCTTGGCATGAGTTTGAATTCGCCTTCCACGTACTTGAATGCGAGTCGAACGTAGTGATATTGTCAATGGCATGGTTGACTCGTGAGGACGGTCGCATGTTTAGCCGCATGCCCAACGAACCCGATATGGACACATTGACCTACTGGGTCACCCGCTTAGAACCTCTCATCCGGTCAGAAAACGGCGACGAGGTCATTGTTATATTCTGCAACAGAACCGGAATCGAGGACGACGCTGTATATGCTGGCACGAGTGCTGTGATTGGAATTCAAGACGGTGAAGTCAAGATCTACGGTTTACTCGGTCGGGGACAAAAGGATCTGTTGGTCGTCGACACCAACAACCCGCCCTATGCGAAACTTGTTCACCGCCCAGAACCCAACCATCCATCTGTTCTGCACGGCGAACTGCAGAAGATGAACACATCTCCAGCGTCTAGCACACCCACCGGGTCAGGAGGCTCTCAGTCATCCCAGCCGGATAGGTCACAGCAAAACAACACGGCGCGTACACCAACTGATACAAAGAATACGCCAGGGGAGCCACCTTCTTCTGCGGGTTCACTTAGAGACTCCGTGGCGTTGAGGCGTGTCAGGCCGTCACCTCAGATCCAGATCCCTCCTCTACAGGACTCCTGGAGTCTGGATAGCCCAAACCTCCCTACTCCTACAGCGCCAAGCCCTACACCATTGTCAATGAGACCCAAGCTCATTATCCCGCAATCCCCATCGTCTCAAATTTGGCAGTCTTTTAGTCCAGTACCTCAGAGCACTCAGTCCACACACTCTGTCCGGTCGGTATTGTCTAACCATTCTGTCACATCCAACGGCAGGGCGCCCGCAGACAGCACGCCTTACCCTGACAGCGCTCATCCTTTAAGCGGATATCCCAGGTTTCCGGAAAGGATGATATATGAAGGCCAGGTTGTCATTGCGCAAGGGTCTATCAGCCCTCTCACTTCCGCCGGCAGCGAGTCTCCTGTCTCGCCACGCTACTTCTGGCGTCCTTCCGACACTCTTCTGAAAACGCCCATGGAACCTCACGGATGGACCCCAGCTCCCGAGTCACCAGTGATGAAGCACGCGCCTTCGCAAACTTACCAGAACCTTTCATTCTGGTCGCAGCATGATCTGGTGGCGCGCTCTCATAGTTCCAACACTACCCGTACTGCCATTACGGCTGTAACCGCCAAGAAGGATGATGTCGAACCGAAAAGGCACAAGAAACAAGAGTCTTCTCGGCACAAAGATTCTCAAGCACCAAAATCCAGGAGCCCCAGCAGATCACGTGGTGACGATTATGTGCCATCCAAGAACGAACCCAGCAACACAGCTTTAAGCCAAGAAGTGGCTCCCGCCCGGCCGTCATCACCCAAGTCTCGGCATGCTAGCCGGTCCAGAATGCGCGATCGATCTGATTCAGCACTTGCTCATCGTGAACAGGCTGCAGCCATCTCCCAGCATCTCGAGTCCATTTCAAAACGAGCCGAGTCAGTCAACAGAGAACGAAACGCCGCGAAAGCTTCCGAAGAGGCTCAATCTGTCCAAATATGTGTCCCAGAACCTCGCAACAGCAGCAAAACTCGCCCTGCCAGAAGATTCTCTTCGATTATGATTGCTGCCAGCCCTAGCATTCTTCCTGATGAGCCAGCTCGTCCAGCCTCCACCGCAGTGATGGACGGTCCCAAGCTTCACCAGACGTGGTCTACGTCTCGCAGGGGTTACCGCGCAAGGAGTGAATCCGTCTCCAAAGGAGGAAGAACCGCATCGAAGGACAAGCACATTCGCGCAATAACTCCTGTCTATGACGGACCAGCCTTGAATCGTCCAGCCTCTCGCACAGCCAGCCGAGGCCGACAACCTGGACCAAAGCTACCACCGCCCAAGATGTCGCCGAGTGAGAGGCCCAAAACCGCCAGAGGAATGTCAGCCGAAGTTACCGGCTCTGCGGACAGAAAACGAAGCTCAGTCATACCTGGTCCTTCCTCCATACCCCCTGGCTCTGCGCCAGTGGGATTCGAGAAGATTGAGGCAATTCTTCACCCTAGCTGTCCAGTCCACGGACGGCACTCAACAAGTGGCGTTCGAAGCGCGGAGAATGGCACGGCACACAATCATCGTGAGCCATCTGACTCGGTGTTCAGAAGGTCTCTTTCATCACCCGCTGCTGGAGCTAATAGCAATGACATCTTCGGCTCGTTGGAGGGCAGCATCTCACAAAACCCGCGGTTCTCCGCCATTAATAGCACCCAGACGAGCGACGCGACTTCGTTGTCCGAGACGGTGGAGACCGTTTCGACGACCAGTCGCTCGCCGTCCACGCCGTTCTTTGAACCCAAGACGCCAACAGCGATGGTAATCATTCGAGACCTAGAAAATGCAGCATTCGGGACTTTTCATTCAGACAAAGATGATGGCATAGCGGAGTTGAGGTGCGTGGATAGAAACATAGTGGGAGTTTCTGGTGGTGCTCAGAGCGCGGCTGCGTAGATTTCACAACCTCATGGCATCATGAACTTTTATTTGTTTTTGCTTCGGAACCATCTTGAGCGGGGAGTCAGGTCTGATCGATGAGTTTTCTACCACCATCGGGACGAACACGAATATACCAGGAAAGGTAATGAATGAATGGCTTAGGTCTGAAAATTGGCTGGGAGTTGGTCGGTACACGTTTAGGCCGACCCGTGTCTTCGGCACTTTGAGTTTAGGGGTTGAGTGTCTGTTATTGCAGTTTCCCTCATTCATCTTGCTTTCATGTCTAGGAATTCCAGACTTTCAAGCCGTCTTTGAAACCACATCAACCCAAGTACTCTCGTCCACTTCCATGCTTAGATGCTCTCCTTGGTCAGCCGAGCTTCCATACTGACCACTAGTTCATCAATGTTGATGCGAATGAATAGGTATAATGTTATTATTATGGATCCACATAAAACGCACAGTATCCAAGGGACCTGCGGACGATGCGGCAATACCAACATCCAAACCCACTCTGATCTTCCGCGCTTCTGCAAGACACTTGATAAATGTGATTTGCAGTGAGAAAAGCATGTACAAGACAGCCGGCGCTTCCGGGCGGTTGAGTATGCTTCTAGTCAAACAGCCCTTAAGAGGAGATCAAGGTCCATGGCAGTGGAACGTCCTGGTTTATGGGACGATAGACGGTCGGCTTACAAGCAATCCCATAATCCAGGAGGCCTTGAAATGCATGAGGGTATCGTGGGTCTGTTCGATTGACCTATACTTTAGTTGGCAGCCCTGTCCACCAGGCACGTCTTCCAAGCCCTCGGCCAGGTCAGCACAAACAGACCGGGACAACCAAGAAGTGTGTGCCTTCAGGGCGCTAGGCCGTCCAACAGGCCTCACCTGGCAGTAGACAAGCTGATGCGACATCCAATGAGCGGCTGGATGGGCAATCCCGTACCCGAAGTAGTTGCTGAAGTGTGAGATAGAGCAGGGATTCGTGCAGCTTAGCAGGGTTACATTGTGTGACGACTGTATTGTGAGTGGCTGGGCATCGGCAGCTTGTCTGCACACCACTTTCCACCACGGCGCTAGGAGGACCAGCAACGACGCGAGATCCGCCCCCGAGTCCCCACTCTCCCCGGCCGGGGCCAGCGGTGTAAGTAGGTGAGAGAGATACACATGCCCATCCAGCGCAATCAAGCTCGCCTTCCATCACCCTCGTGCGGGCGGGCCGCGGGCGACGAACAAGTAGGCCAGGGACTTGTTTCCCTCTAAGGAAAGGCAGGTCCTGTACAATGTCCGGTGGTGCCCTCCCGCCATTGCTGTGCCACCCAAAAACGCAGTTTGTCTTTTGGTTCAGACCCCAATCACACTCTACACCAACAGGCTTTGACCAACGAGATGCAGATGCCGCTGTGCTCCAACAGAACGAACGGGTCCCTCGCGCTGACCTGCCACCTCTCGTCACAATCACATTGCCTCCACCTTCTCTCCTGCAAACACCGAAACACATATGAGGCGCCGTTTCGCATAGTTCGCGATTGCTGCTATTACGTCTCGTCACATCGCGAGCGCCATCGTAGATACACTCTCGGCGGCACCATCATCGTACATAAGCCCTCAAAAAGCCCTGCCAGAGTCGTCGTCCCCGCAGGCATGTAAGACAGTCGATTCGCCCTCAGCGACTGATCCTCAAGCAGACTGTCTCGCAGCTCCAGTACCCAACACGGTCGACGATTCCCGGTCGTGCCGACGAATTGCAATATTGAAACACGCTCTCGCCTTTTGTTTCCAGAATGCGTTCCGCGACAGTCGCTCTTGTACTCGGCCTTGGCCTTGGCCAGGTGTCGGCTATCCACGTGGCTAAGGGTTCGCCTTGCGAGACACTCTGCGGCAACGTGCTGGATGCGACGACGAAGACTGATGTTGTTTGCAACGAAAATGATTATTCCAGCGGCGCTGGTCCCGTGTACCAGCAATGCGTGTCTTGCGAGTTGACGAGCGACTATTCAACGACAACTCAAACGGACACTCAATGGCTCTTGTGTATGTTGCACTCTAAAGGTGCCAGGTCGTGTAGGAAATGTCCTGACATTCCCAGATAATCTGCGATATGCCGTTTCGTACTGCTTGTTTGGTTTCCCAGAGAACCCCGATGTTACCTCCAGCCCGTGTCTTACAAGGTTTGTCGGCGTCTAATTATGTTGTTAATTCCACATATTAACTGTCGAATAGAACTGCTTGCGAGCCTTTAAAAAATGCGGTGGAGTATGGTGCCCTGGCATCAAACAGCACCGAGTATGAATATTGTTCACAGTGGAATCATAACCAGGTTGGAAATTGCGCTGCGTGTTTACGCGCAGGAGACAACCATTACTTGACCAACTGTACGTTCAGTAATGAACAGACTCCTTGCCCCTTGCTGACAAGCTCCCAGTCCTTACCATCTTGGATGCCGGCTGCCAACAGAAGCCGGAGCCTGGCGCCACGATCTCTGTGGAAGGCTCTCCGTTCTCCAAGACTCGGGTCAACGTCACCGAACCAACGCCGACCAACACATATGTGTCGAACTACAACAACGGCCCTATTAGCTTGGGCGGCAAGGTCGGCATCGCCATTGGAGGCATCCTTCTTATACTTGCCCTAGCGGGTTTCTGCATAGTCTGGAACGGAAAGAGACGGCGCAGAGCATTCTTGAAGAAGCTCGAGATGAGGCAGCAGAGCGGCGGCCGCTCTGGCTGGCCTACGCCCCTCAACACCACCGGCATCAGCGGTACTCCGCTCAGCCAGAAGCCTTTACGAAGCTGGGATGACACCCCAAGCACCCAAGGACCTACGCGAGGTTGGGACGAATCTCCCCTGAGTCCCCAGGGAGAGAAAGCTTTCCCAAGATACTTCTCGCCGTACTCGTCCCAGTACAACAGCCCGGTCAGTGGCAATGAGGCGCCGAGCATGCAGTGGCCGGTGAACGACTCGGTTCCTCGGGGGCCACCACAGGAAATTGGGATCGCGCTCGGAGGTGATGATCCCCAGGGCAGCTGGAACGATTCGAAAGGGAAAGAAAGGTCGGAGTCCTATGAGCTGAGGGAAGTTGAGCCTGATTGGGAAGCAAGGCAGAGGCACCCTAGCCCTCCTGTCCTACAGCATCCAGGATACCCAAGATACGCGGAGCATAACCCAGCAGCGTACCACGGCTTAACGGAAGAGGATCTGAGGAGAGGTTTTGCAGTGTAAGCTCCGATGCGCGTGGCTCTCTGGCTCCATGAAGAAAGATTCATCACAACTTGTGCATTTTGTTGCTTAGCGGGAGTTTGGCGGTGATGGAGACACCGATTGATTGCCATCAGTTTTGAGGCTTGGATGCAGAAGCTTTTCCGCAATGACCTGATATGTTGTAAGAAAAACAAACTTGAATGTTATTAGTTTGTAACACCTCATTGAGAGAAGCATGAACTTCAGGTTAAGAAAGCCGTTGCTGGATGTATATGATCAGCCCTTTGTTGACCTTTAACCGTGAACATGGATGATACCGATACACGCCACTTGTTTGGCGGTTCCTTTTGTAACCAAGTTTTTCGCGTGCACGACTGCACCGGACTGGACCCTGGAAAGGCGGAACGGCAGCCAGTCGCGTCCGCCGGGTGTGTGGCTGAACGTGGGCGGTGAGCCAATGACGTCCGTTCAATGGCTGGCGGGCGCCACATGGTGGGCCCCGACGCATTTTTTGGCAGCTTCCACCCCACAGCAGGAGAAAAAAAATTTGGATTGGGAAGCTTCAAGTCCTCCAACACCACGACGAGACCTTCCATTCCCGACGTTCGCGAGTACCTGCAGCCGCAACGTCAAACACCAACCCCCATTGCACCTGCTACGTCTCTCGTCGTTCCGGGAAAATACGGCAACAATGGCCATGGAAATCGTCAAGCACAGCGAGGAGGAGGAGTTCGCCATCAAGCCGCAGGCGTCGGTCCCTCAGTTGGACACGAGCAGCTGGCCTCTGTTGCTCAAGAACTACGACAAGCGCAAGTTCCCTTTTCTCCCTTTGGGCTTTAGCGAATCGCTCGTATAGATCAATCAAACAGCCGACTGACCGGTCTGCAGTTCTCGTCCGGACGGGTCACTTCACCCCCATTCCGGCAGGATGCAGCCCTCTGAAGCGAGACATCAAGTCGTACATCTCTAGCGGTGTCATCAATCTTGACAAGCCCTCCAACGTATGTCTTTGTGGCGCGGATACCTCAATCAAGTTTCCAGGCGTGCTGACAATTGCGTAGCCCAGTTCCCACGAGGTTGTTGCTTGGGTCAAGCGAATGCTTCGGTATGCAATCCCCCATCCCTCTTCCTGTTGTTTAAAGCGATGCCCCGCGTCCGAGTCGCACGATAAGCCCCTCTCGAATTCGAACATGATATTCCCTACGGAAATGGCGACCTTTTGAAAGGCAGCATTAATGGCATATGGTACGACGGATTCGAATGCAAGGCGCGCGGTACAAGATGACGTTGCGATCGGTTAAGTGCGCCGAGGGGCGAAAATTTTCCACGGGCTCGCAGGCCCATGGGAATGAACTCGCGCGACTCCGGAGAGTCAGCTGCTGGCGTGTCTTCTCGAGTGCTGCCGTTGTCAGGCATGTGCATGCTTTGGAGAAGATTCGTCGGAACTCGTCTGGCCGGACTGCCATGGTACTGCGACGCCTTGGGAATGCGGCAGCTGCCGTTGTCAGTCAGTCAACAACACTTGCGAGAGAACGAAAATGAGGGGCATCGACGAATCGTTCGCTTGACTTGAAGTTTACTTGAGAAAAATTACTGACCATGTTGTTGCGTGCAGCGTCGAGAAGACTGGTCACAGCGGTACCCTTGATCCCAAGGTCACTGGTGAGTCGTGTCCCACATATTTGTCTCGAACGTGTTTTGCTAACTTTCTCAGGTTGTTTGATTGTTTGGTTAGTATTAACCCACTGATCACCAATGGAGCGTTCCATGAGAGAACTGCAACTGATGAATTGAACAGCGTCGACCGCGCCACCAGACTCGTCAAGTCCCAGCAATCCGCTGGTAAGGAGTATGTTGCCGTTATCCGTCTTCACGACAAGCTGCCCGGCGGCCAAGTGCAGTTTGCCCGCGCCCTTGAGAGTGAGTTAAAACAGATTCTGTTGCAACTGTCGATCAAATCCTGACTCGCAATCTAGCCTTGACCGGTGCCCTCTTCCAGCGCCCGCCTTTGATCTCTGCCGTCAAGCGTCAACTGCGTATCCGTACCATTCACGAGAGCAAGCTCATCGAGTTTGACAATGTATGTCGATCCCTCCTATCGCCAGAAACAATTGCTAACCGTGCGCCCACAATAGGATCGCCACCTCGGTGTCTTCTGGGTCTCCTGCGAAGCTGGAACCTACATCCGTACTCTCTGTGTCCACCTCGTACGTTACGTCAGTTTCTGTTTAGCCTTGGTTTAATTACTGACATGACTCTAGGGTCTCTTGTTGGGCGTTGGTGGTCACATGCAGGAGCTCCGCAGAGTGCGCAGTGGTGCCATGGACGAGACCAAGGGCATGGTCACTCTGCACGATGTGCTTGATGCTCAGTGGACGATGGACAACACCAGGGATGAGTCTTACCTGCGCAAGGTCATCTCTCCCCTGGAGACTCTTCTCACTGGCTACAAGCGTATTGTGGTCAAGGACAGCGCTGTAAGTCAATACATTGCAACCCCTCCCGAAGCCCCCTCACGGTCGATGCGGCTATGTGGGCAATGTCTCAGGCCCCGATTGACGACCGACTCACCGTTGCATCCGATACTGACGTACACCACAGGTCAACGCTGTCTGCTACGGTGCTAAGCTTATGCTTCCCGGTCTTTTGAGATACGGTGCGTTGTCAATGCAAGGATGTCACCCATGACTGTCATGCTGATCTTTGTCTCTAGAGTCTGAAATTGAGGTTCACGACGAGGTTGTCCTCATGACCACCAAGGGCGAGGCCATTGCCCTCGGTATCGCCCAGATGTCCACCGTTGAGATGTCGACATGCGGTATGTCTTGCGTCATTGTATGTAAACGTGAACACGCGACTAACATGTAGTAGATCACGGCGTTGTCGCCAAGGTCAAGCGTTGCATTATGGAGCGCGACCTGTACCCCAGAAGATGGGGACTTGGCCCCCTTGCTTCCGAGAAGAAGAAGCTCAAGGCCGACGGCAAGCTTGACAAATACGGTCGCCCCAACGAGGCCACTCCCGCCAAGTGGGTATCTGAGTACAAGGACTTCGGCGCCGTCGAAGGTGCCGCCGCGGCTTCGGCCTCTGCTCCGGCCACGCCCCAGAAGACGGTGGAGACCACGACCGTCACTACCAGCGCCGCAGTCACCCCTGCCAACAACGAGGATGACGGTGAGAGCAAGAAGCGCAAGAAGCACGAGGGCGAGACACCCGACGAGAAGGCGGAGCGCAAGCGTCGGAAGGCCGAGAAGAAGGCCGCCAAGGCCGCGAAGAAGGCGGCCAAGTCAGGCGATGCTGAAGACGATGACGACAGCGAGTAAGCTCTGGCGAGTTGCGTCTTCTGGATTGGCTCGATACCATGTGTTTTGTTGACAATGGTCGGTGGTTGGCTATTGTATCATAAAAAAATGGCTTTGGCAAGTGGCGTTTGGTTCTGATTTCCTGCTGAACATAGTGCGGACTGGCTGGATAGGAGTAGATAGGTCCTATACGAAAATTAAAAGCGACGGCTACTACTGTCGCATCAGTTCACGATTTCAAAGAGGCCTGCCATTCATTGCGACGGGGATAATTGAGACGTTGCAGAGAGTTGATGAGCGCCATGTTGAAACGGAAGCACGGCAACCCTTGAAAGGGACCCGCGTGCTCCTGGCAGCATCCCGGGTGGGGGAGCCCAGAGTGCAGCACAGTCGGGCCCGAGCCAACGTGGATCTCATCCGAACGAGTTTTGTTTGGAATCTCAGTCATATACAGCGACGATATACGTGTTCCGTCCATCGTCCGAAGACGAGTTCCCTGTGAGAAATGGCAGGGAAGCATTGTCACCCAGCATGTCTCAGGCCACCAATTGCTGGCTAACCAAGGAAACAGCAGCAGCAGCATCTGCCACTGACCACCACCCCCTGGATGCTTCGTAGAATTGGGACAATGCGACGATGAAAGCCGTGGTTGGCCTGAACTGGGCGATGTCTTGGTCGAGGCGGGTCCCTCCTCAATGCTCCCCTGAGATGGCACTCGTGGCAGCACGTCACCCCGCCTGGCTTGCAACCTCCTTTACATGCTTCACAGCCCTCTCCAGGATCGCGGATGGGCAAATTGCGCCTGAATCCCTCGCGCCCTGCTTCGCCCACGCCCGATGAGCGGGGCCGACACCGCCAGTTGGAGATCCCCCGTCCCAACCCCGGTCAGCCTCCGTCAACGTTGTCAACGACCGTCATCCCGGACCAATGCCCATCCGCCCCCGATTCGAGTCGGTCAAGGGCTGGAAAGAGCCTCCTCTACGACAGTACACGGATGCCTATGTGGCAGCGTTCGAATGGCGAGAAGGCGGCAAGTCAACTGCCTCATGCACGCGACTCCTCCTTCAGTGAGGTCGGCCAAGGAAACGAATGTGCGGAAGCCTAACAGGATTGCGATCTGACCACCCCCGTCTGACGCGCGCCCAGCCCTAGGGGATTTTTTTATTTTTTCTTTCGTTTCTGGGTACCATGGCCCATGGTGTGCTAAGAGGTTCTAGCTTCGGTCGAGGGCAGGTGTGAGAAGCTGCCACGCACTCGACCACCCCCCGGCCCACCTGTTTCAAGCATCCGGTCTGCTTTGACGTGAATGGAACACGCCCACCAGCGAGTAGCAGGGCCATGCGGGATGAGATTATCACTGCAAATGCGTGTGGAGCGTGCGAATGCTAAGGAGCGAGGAAAAAATCAGAGAATTCCCATGTTCGGCCCAAAACAATAGGTCCCCTGGTTCCCTGGCATGGGAAGCTCAGCTGTCTACAAGAAGGCCCTCGTTCGCACGCTCCTCGAGACCGTTCTGCTTCTCGAAGTTCGCTATGACATTCTTGACGGCAGCACTTGCTTACGAAGTAATGTGTATTCAGTTTTGGATCTAATAGACTGTCCAGTTCCTGAAAAGAGAGAAGCACAAGAAACCCTCGTCGTCCCGTCTCGGTCCTTGAGCAACGCGTTCTCGTTCTCATCGTCGTGTCTTTCACACGCATCCCTTTTTGCATAATTGCTAGCTACTTTTTTTTTGTTATACCCCTAGAGAGCAACAATGTTTTCAGCATCATCGCCAACGTCACTACGGCAATGCTCCCTCCTCGCAGCGGGCTTGTTCTGCTTGGGCGCCTGGCAACCGGTCCTGGGCGCGCCGGTGGACGGCCTGTTCATCGATGGTCGAGATGAGAAGGTCATTCAGCCAAAGATCAACACCGACTTCCCAGACCCCGCCCTCATTCAGGGCGACGACGGTCTGTGGTACTCGTTCGCGACAAACAGCAACGGCAAAAACATCCAAGTGGCCAAGGCCTCTCAGATCTCGGGGACGTGGGAGCTACTCGACAACGACGCCCTGCCGAAGGTCGGCTGGGCCTCGGGATCCAACACGTGGGCGCCGGACGTGAGGAAGCTGGACAACGGGTCGTTCATCATGTACTACTCGGGCGAGGTCAAGGACGGCGGCGGGCGGCACTGCATCGGCGTGGGCATCTCCGACATCATCACCGGCCCCTACACCCCAACGCAGGAGCCGTGGGTGTGCCCGTTTGACCAGGGCGGCGCCATCGACGCCGCGGGCTACTTCGACGAGCCCACCAAGAAGCGTTACGTGGTCTACAAGGTGGACGGCAACAACGTGGGCAACGGTGGCGACTGCAACAACGGGGTCCCGCCGCTCGTCGACACGCCCATCATGTTACAGGAGGTGGAAGCGGACGGGATCAGCAAGGTCGGCGACCCGGTGCAGATCCTCGGGAGGACAGATGCCGATGGCCCGCTCGTCGAGGCGCCCAACCTCATACGCACCTCGGACGGGCTGTACATCCTCTTCTTCAGCAGCTTCTGCTTCAACTCGGACAAGTACAACGTCAACTACGCGACGAGTAAGAGCCTCAAGGGCCCCTACCAGCGGGCGTCGAGGATGCTGCTCAAGACGGGCGACTTCAACCTCACGGCGCCCGGCGGCGCGACGAGCGTCGTGGGAGGCGGGCAGATGGTGTTTCACGGCAACTGCCCCAAGACCTCGCCTCAGCGGTGCATGTACCAGACCGAGTACTCGGTTACCGGCAGAGATGTAATCATCAGTTGAGCGTTGAGCAAAGGCAAGAGCGGGATGATGGCGATAATGACCTGTAATCATTTTCATGCATGCATGCTGGTTGGTTGGGGGAAGACATTTTTTATTTGGAGACCACAGCGAACAGCGAATGCGTTTGGACATACGACAGATTGCACAGCCGGAAGTCTAATCCGGGGGGGGGCATCCTCTGTTTGGACCGGTTTGGGTTGACTTGGGGAGGGTGTTTCTTCTCATGTGCGGGCGTTTGGATGCATTAAACATGACACTGACGGCAGAACAGACGCACTGCGTCATGACACAAGCGAGGGTCAAGGTAATCGGAAGGGAAAGCCGCACGGCGAGGGGAGGAGGGGATTTAGATGAAAACACACGGTACTGCGTCTCCTCTTCAGAGGGAGACACGAATAATGATAACACACACACACACACACACACACACACATACGCACACACACGCGCCCCTTCGGCGCTGTATCGTCACAAAAAAACAAAACAAAAAAAAACCAAGGATTGCACTTGAATAATGCAAGGTGACGACAAGCTTTAGAATGTACAAAAGTTTTGGCTCAACACAAGCAGCTCCATGGGAGGGAACGAAGAAGTGTGTCGAGAAGAAGCTTATGCCACAAAGGCACCCGGGCAACTGAGAAGCGCAGACCAGCCCCTAATAGTAGAGGCCAAGTAAAAGGGTTAGGTAGGGAACGGGAAAGACAGGCCGGGATTGGGATGGCAAAGGCATTGAGGATTGAACTATCGAGGAGCAAGGGAAATGGGAAAACCGGGAAAGAGCATTGACGGCCCAGAACTGATCGCCAAACGAGCAACAGAGCCGCCTCCACTAGGGGGGATGGGGGTGGCCCGCAGTGGGGAAACAGACCAGGCCGGGCACACGGCTTTAAGTGGGTAACCTAAATGCCCCGAGGAAAGACGACAAGTGACAGGGTGAGTAAGTGAGTGACTTGCTCCTGCACTGCAGACGGCAACTCAGGTAAGCGCCGGGCCCGTTAGCGTTGGCTGGTTGGCCATCACCCACCTCGCGAACCCCATTGCGCCAACCAGATCAATCTCCAAACGCCCTCCTCTCATTGGCACGCCGTTCCTCCTCATCTCCTCCCCCATCACCCTCCATGTGCCCAGGTGCACCGCGCAGCCGCCGGTTGGTTGTCATCACTGACATTGGCACAATGCGTCCCGAGGCAGGTGCAGATACAGGCACAGGCACAGGCATAGGCACACAGACGTAGGGCGCCAAGAGGGGAGGGGAGAACCACGCTATCGATTTTTCTGCGATGCCACCACTCCTGCAAGAGACGGCGCATGCAGTCGGTCCAACAACCGCTGGCCAATATCCCATCGCGGCAACTCTAAACAGCTGCGCCTGAGAGGTTGCAATGCACACCGTTCTGCGAATGCTGGGGAGACTCTTTAGCGCTCTGCCGTGTCTGCTCTGTTCACCTGACAAGCCCATCGAGCTTCGGGAAGGGACCACCACGCCGGCAAACGGCGTCTACGGCTTGCGCCGAGTGCTCGAGTGCCACAGTCTGGGTTTTCCGTCACTTGCTTAACCCTTCTCTCTGGTAACCCGGATCGGTCGCTCATTGGCTGCTCTGGGGCCGACATCACCACACCCTCTGCCGATGTCGATACCTATCTCGTACCGTCGTCGACGAGATGGGCGTCAGGGCGACGGGCCCGTCCCCGGTTTGGGCCACCGCTCTCGTTTCTGTCTGGCTGCGTTTGTCGCGGCCTGCCCTTCCCCATCCGTCGGGATTGCGTCCATGGGCCCCGGTAATCTGCAGGCGACTCCAGACCATCACCTAACCATCTGTTCCTGCATCTGCATACCCACCCCTGTTCGAGTGAAAGATGGAGGTGTGATCAACATGTTGGCTGAGTATATCATCTCTTGGATCCTTGGTTTCTCACGAGGATTGTCTTACTGAGTTTGTCCCGTCTTGTTTGTGATGTTGTTTGGAGTGTCTTGCTGACTTACACTGAGCGATACCTAATATTGTTTTGCGATAAAAACTGCCTAATATTTATCCTTTTGTAATCACACAGTACAAGGCTCTGGAGTCTTGGTCTGTTTCTCTTCGTCGACACTCATTTCTCAGTACCGCCTCGGTTGAGATCTTACAATGGCCGCACGATCCGCCCTCTTCCTCCTCACCACAGTTGTGCCGGCGTACGTCTCGGCGTTACAGGTCACGCCGAATTCGCCGTGTGCCTCTTTCTGTCTGGACTCCATCGGCCTCGACGTCTCGGACCCCAACTCGTCCAACACCAAGGGCAAGGACATAACGTGTACGGATGACCAATATCAGACCGAGGCCGCGGGCCAGAAGTTCCAGCAATGCATGAGCTGTCTGCAAGACAGCCAGTTCGTCCAGGGGAACGAAAACGACCAGGACTGGTTTTTGTGTAAGTCTAGAGCCTGTCGTTACATTTGAAACCACGATCTAATCGTGTCCGCCAGACAACATGAGGTACTCCTTCGACTACTGCATCTTCGGGTATCCCAACGCCACCGGCGTCGGCTCCGGCCCGTGCATGACGTCCACCGCATGCGGCGCTCTGGAGACTGCTCTCACAGACGGCGAGCTGGACCCTGCGAAGTCATCGCAGTACTCGTATTGCGACGCGGATGGCGGCGCCATGCTCGGCTCGGCATACGACAAGTGCCTTTCTTGCGTCAGAGCGGGTGGTGAACACTACTACCTGGCCAACTGTATGTGACTCCTTCAAGAACCTTGCAAACGCTCTCTAACTCCCCTCAGACCTCATTGCGCTTGAAGCGGGATGCCAGCAAAGGCCGGCCCCAGGCAACCTCGTCGGCCTCAACGACACCGTCTTCACAAAAGGAACCATCACAGCCATCGACCCCAAAGATGCAGCAAAGTCTAGCAAAGACGACACCCCTGGCCTCCCCACGACGGCCATCGCCGGCATCGTCATCGGCGCCATTGTTGCTTTTCTCTTCGTGGCCGGCTGCACCTTCATCCAATGGCGCAAGCGCAAGGCACGCAGGGAAGGCCGCGGCATCAACCCGGAGCTCTCCCGCCGCGCCAAGGGCCACCGCCCGGTCTCGTCGCTCTCGTTCCGATGCCAGACCCATCTCTCACCCAAGAGGCCAAACTTCTTCTCCATTGAGGAGGAGGACGCGCACCACGAGAAGCACCCGCACCATTACGAAGCCCAGAACCAGCACCAGGACATGACCTCGAGCCCCGTCTCCAAGCCTAGCCTCTGGATGCCGCACAACTCCATCTCCTCCCTGCAGGGCACAGCCCCCGTACCCTACACGGACCGCAAGCCCACGCAAAAGGAGACGCTTCCCCTCGCCAACATCACCACGAGCCTCCCCATCATCCCCGTAAAAGCCCACTCCCCGCGCTTAAACATGTCGTCTCCGCAAGACGACTACGCCACCCCCACCTCCACGACCTCGGCGGCGCCCCTGCTGCCCTTCCGGCCCTACGTCCCTTCGGAGCACGGCTTCTCGACGCCGTCCATGGGCCACGCCGCGACCTTCAGCCCCGCGACGACGTACACGTCCCCGACGTCCGGGACCACCGCGAGCCCCCTGCTCAGCCAGGCCGGCTGGCCCGCGCCGACGCACCCGCGGCACTCGGCGCAGACGGAGTCGTCGTCGTCGTCGCCGCCCGCCGGGGACGCCGCGAAGACGATCCCCTTCATCGTGCGGGACCTCGCGCGCCCGCTGCCCAAGAGGATCACGTCGCTGGGCGGCAGCCCCGTCGAGACTTCGACGATCCAGACGGACTTCCCGCCGCCGCCGCCACCCAAGAAGAGGTAGCCTTTCCATTCCTTTGTGGTGTCTTTTGTGGAGTTTCCCCCCCTATTGTCAAATGTGGCTACGGAACAGCGACGGCGACTGGCGTTCGGGGTGTTTGCATGATGGAGCGAAGGGACAACAGGTCACAGGAGCAGCCATGCCCAGTATCAGTAATACCATATTTTCCCCGAAGAAATCTTGCCATCGTGCCATTTATTGTCCTTCATTTGACGGTATCGCGCCTCAATGTCTCATGTCTGGTGGTGCCAAACTCACTTCATAATCACAAGCAGCCAGGGGCGGTTCTGCAACGGAATTGGCAATCCAAACAACTCTCTTCTATGGGTATTATGCCCGTGTTTTCGTACCAGAGGAAATCGACATACTTATAGGAACCTCGTTTCGTATCCCCAACCATGGACCCGGTCAAACGCCTGTGCTGATGCTTATCGTACCCTCCCCCGCCTTCACCGATGCCCTCCCTTGCCCCATGGCGAGCTGGCCCTGCTCAGTTCCTCCGCGTGCATCATCTCGTTTTGTTCCCTGAACCACTCGGCCCCTTCGTCCAGCTCAACCCTCGAGCTCCTCAACGACTCCAGGTTCTCCCTTGCCTCGCGTAGTATCCTGTCGAGGTCCGCGTTGCTTGACGGCCGCTTCTTGATGCGGGCCTCTTCCGTGGCGGCACTCTCGTTATCCTCCTCGAGCGACCGCTTCCTCTTACTAAGAGGCGACGTTCCGTTGCTTTGCGGCGTGGCGCTGCTGCCGTTCAACGATTGCGAAAAGCGCAGACGGACCGACGCGGCGTGGCTGAGATCGGCGGACACGCTCCGGCGGCGCTCGCTACCATCTCGGTCCAGACCGAATGAGCCAAGACCCTCGTACCGTTTCCCATTGTACCGCATCTCATTGGCTATGGCCTCCGGCAAGGCCGATCCATCAGGCATAGTTACGAGCCCCATTGCCTTCAGACGCCAACGGTCCGACACCTTGCTAACGCGCTTCTGAGGCTCTGATGACATGCGTGATGATGAGGAGTGCGCTGACATGGGAGGAAGTGACCGGCGGAAGTTGGTGCTGCTTTTGCCAAATTCTTCCCTGAGAGCTCGCGTCTTAGCGCCGCAGGGCTTGGGTCCCGACGTTGACTGCGACAAGCTGGTTGTTGACCGTGATCGAGGTAACGGTGTTGTCGCTGCAAGCGTCTCGGCCGTCGCAGGAGCCCGAATGACATTCGCGACTGCAGTTTGCTCGTCCGAGACACCTGACAAGATCCCAGTAGCGAGAAGAGCTTCCGCCTCGGCCCGCAGATCGACATGAGGGTCGTCCTTTCGGAGAGAGAGCAACTCCCTGAACTCCTCCACAGGATCAACACCATGCTTCTCTAAAGCCTTTCGCCGTGCTTCAACTACCTTGGCGGCCTTCTTCTTCTTCTGGATTTCTTCCTCCCGTAGTTCCTTCTGAACTCTTCGGTACTCTTCCCTCTCCCGCCGACGGAGTTTGCTGAGGCGAAGGTTACGAGCAGTTTCCCTCCAGCGATAGAAGTACTTGACGGAGAGGTTATAAACCTGAAACTTGCGTGCTTCTGCCAGGTCCCTTGCTTCTTCCTCCTTTCGTTTCCTTTCCTCCTCCTCTCTATGATACTTTTCAAATGTGTCTGACACGATCTGCTCGACGACGAACTTCTCGAATTCTTGCATCAGACCGTTGTCGCCTGTAACAAACCACTTTGCAAAATCTGCCATGATGTCTTTCTTTGACCGCTGTTCCGCGGCTGGAGGCTTTGGAGGTGTAACCGGGGCAAGCTGCGAGGCTGTCTTCACGGGCTGGGTGGCGCCAAGTGAGAAGCCTTGTTGGCTTGGGAGCATAGGTGTCGCGGTTGAGATCACCTTGTTTGCTTCAAATGAAAACGTTGGTAAAGGAGATTGAGAAGACGCTGCCCCTGAGCTCGGAAGATTCTGAGACGGCTTGGCCGCAGGTGCAGTGGTGGTGAATGGAGTTGGTGATTGAGTTGGGTTCGGCTTGGGACTTTCAATAGGTTTGGCTGCTTGAGTAAAAATTGATGCACCTGCTGAAGATGAAGGTGGGCGTGCTTCAACCGGCTTCGGAGCCGGCTGTGAAGGAGCTGGAGAGAAAGCCGGCGCCGCAGGCGAAGTCCCAGCGCTGGCCGTGAATGTGAACGGACTCGACGATTCCGAGGCAGCACCCGCGGCTGATAGTGGAAATCGTGGTGTCGGAGGAGTGAGGGTGATAGCAGGCGAGAGCCCGTCACCGGTCTGTGCCGCTGGCTTCGTCTGTGTGGTCTCGTGTGCCTTTTGCTGTGCGCTGGGCCCGAAAGCTGGAGCTGGAAATGATGGGAAAGGGGATTCTTTAGGTTTGGCGAAACCATTAGGTTGGGTCGATGCCGCGAAAGGATTGCTGGCAGCCGTCGCTTTCTCCTGTGATGCTTCTGGCCTGCCGAATGGGCTTGGCTTGCTAGAAAACGGGTTGACAGCAGGCGATGCTGTTGATGACGAGTCTTGATCGGCCCGCTGAAATGGTGTCGTAGTTGCGGGGGAAGGGTTTGCGGCAGAAAAGGGGTTTGAGAACGGGCTTGAGTCCGATGAGCCAGGCTTTGGGCCTTTTGATGCTGTGAGACACAAAGTTAGCTGAGATTCGGTTCGGCTGTCCCTACCCTCTTCTTCAATCTATGTCGGGGACATTGATTCGCTGGCCATATAGTTTAGTTTTGAGCGTGATCTGAGCTCTTGTGCCTCAGAAGATTTGCTGGTGGACCATATGTCCTAACTGCTCGCGACAGCTAGTGTTCCCAGTACGATGATATCTCAGCCTGAAGGCGATTGAATGGTATTGTAATCGGCCATGGCATTTTCAAGTCGAAAAAAGCGTTGAAAGATAAAAGGTAACAGTAGTATGGGTAGTGCGTGGAAGTTTCTTTACCTTTGTCGAAAGACGGCGTTCCTGCGAACCCTGCCGACACGCCTCCTTGAGAAGCTGGGAAGGGAGACGCAAAAGGGCTGCTTGATTTGGCTGCTGAGTTGTCGCCAAAAGCGGCATGTTGCTGTGGGGGTTTGGAGGATGCACCGTTCGTGCCAAAGCCGCGCCCTGAGGTCGTTTGTGCGGTTTGTGTGGACTCATCAGGAATAGTGCTGTGAATAATCTCTGGGAGACCGCGATATCCCCTCTTCCTTTCTACGAGTTGATGAGAGAAACTGTGGTGAATTCTTGGCCATGTCAGGCGTTGCGAAGTGTCCAGGTACTGTATGGGTTCACCCGATGGTCCTTGTCCATTTAAAAAGCCGAGGCCGTGCTGCTCGACAAACTCGATTGCCTGAGCTTCTGTGTCGAAGTGAAGAAAGCGGTTGAGTGTAGAGGGTGTGATATCTTTCGCTCCGTGACGGGGCCTGGTGTACGCCTTCTTCAGGGAGCGAAGGACCGAGCGACGGAGTTGACCAAGATGAATCTCTGCAAAGCAAGCCATCGTGTAGGATACTTCTTTGCTTGCGAGAATTTTGAAATAGGTGCGGTGTGCACCAGATACCGCCATAGATGGCCCGGAGCCTAATGGACCATGAAAGTCCTCGGCACTTTGTAGACTCTCAACAAGCGAAACAGCCGTCCTGATTTCGTCGGATTCGGTCCAGAAACGAGAGTCTCCCCACTCCTTTTGCACGTCGTCGAGTATATTGGGCTTGTTCGCACTAAAGAGCAAGTGGTACGCTCTGAACTCGGCCTCGTTTTCGCAAACAACGCCCTGCGGTTTGCAGTCATCGTACGCAAACATCAGCGAAAGTAGCGATTTTCCCAACTGCTCGATCTCCTGTTGTTCCGAAAAGTCTTCTGGCGCAAATCCTTCCTGAGAAAGAAGATGCAAAGACGTGACGTGAAACCTAGCAATCGTCTCAAGGCAGTAAACTTGGTCCTTCATCTCCTCGGGAGACATTGTCGAGTGAAAAATGAAGTCCCTGCGAATCGCACGCGTCCTGTCCCACAGAAAGCCATGTAGGGAGGGCAGATTGTCGTCCGTCTGCAGTAGATCGTCGATTAAGTAGTCGAGTGTTTTTCTGAGCGCCGCAGTAGACCTGACATCCATGGGTAGAGGTGCCTCCTGACCAGCTGCGGATCTGGCCAACTTCTTGACCATCTTCGAGGTGATGGCAAAAGTAGTCCGAGGGTCTTTTTCGGCGGATTGAACGTCGAATTCGGTAATACGGGTGATTTTTTCAAAGTCGGGGCACATCGCGTCGCAGATGCCTTTAAAGTCGATCGCGTCCTCCAGCCGCTTGGGTTTGTCTGGGTCGTCGATCAACCCGGCGCGCATCAAAGAAGATCTGGCGCGATCGCGATATGCTTTGTACTCCTCTCTGAACTTGGCCATCGCAGCCTTCGAGGTCGTGTTTCCCGGATCGGACGGCCATCTTGGCGGCGCGATTGCTTCCTTCCGCAGTTGGGAGAATATCTTGTCCGAGTACGGCGTACCGTCACCGCTCGATTTTCCGCTCGCATCGTCCGTTTCGTATTCGGTAGATTCTGTGCTATGAGTGTGGCTGTTGTTGTTTTGAGTGCCGAAACCGCCGCGCGACTGCGTGGACCCGAAACCTTTCGGGCCCTTCTTCGCACCATTCGGTTTCGCGCCTTGCGGCTGAGGGGATTTCTTTTTCCAGTCGGATTGTGAGCTATTCTTCGTGTTTTTCTTCCGGCGATTGTCGTCTGAGCTTGCGCCGTCGAATGGGTTAACGCCCTTACGCTTCGTCGCGAGAGTCGTCATTTCGAATGGCTGGTTCGTCAGGTTGCGCTTCGACCGCTTCCCACTGCCACCGCCAGCTCCATCGAGGTTGAAGTCGTGATGCCCCGCGTCAGAATGGCCTCCAAATCCGCCCGATGATGATCCTCCAAATGGTGATAATGTCCTGTCGGGCCTGGTTGGGGGAAGAGAGACCGACGTCATGTCGGAGTCGCGAAAGGAAACTCCAAAATGGGAAGCGGCAAGGCTCACGAGAATGAAAGTGGAGAACTAAGGTAGGATGGAGCTGGTCTGCGTTTGCCGCGTGTTTTTGGCGTGCTTTTGGCGCGCTTAACATTGGTTGGGGCGCCTAAGCGGCTCCCAGACCCCACAATTCTCGTTCCTGCCAAACTGGGGTGTGAGGATAGAGCGATGAAGGAACACCCTGGGAAAGGAAAAGTGTCGAGTGAATTCGCTTTGCGATGACATTCACTGATGACATCTCCTCATGGTTATTGTAGTGTTCATGAGGAGGTTTACAGATTGACATATAGATAACTAGACGATATAGCATAACGGTGTGGCGGCAATCACGGCGAGACATCAGGGTCAGGCAGATGAAACATCATTAACCATCAATTTGTTCATTACAGCATTTCTAGGCACAGATCTTTGGTGATTCTGACGCCGAATGAGGGTATCTCAATGACCGGTATCTAGACCTAAGCGTTCTCAATAATTCTTGGACCGCAGGCGAGCCGGACCCAGTCCCTTCCTGATTTCGTCGAGCTGCTCAAGACCAGTCTGTGGCCTGCTCTTTTTGCTCGTACGCTTTCCAGGTTTTGTGTAACTGCCAAGGAAGTCATCCATGATGTTATCAAAATCACTTCGAGTAGGACCGGCCACGCTGGTCGCCGTTGAGACTTCTGAGACGGAGGCCATATCGTCGCCACCCATTTCGCTTGTGTACTCCTCCTCGATCTTGTCGAATCTGGCGTCGAGCAAAGTGAGCTGTTCTGTCCTAACCATCGATGACGAGGTCATGGAGTAGGCTGAGGGGTTAGTCAGGGCTCCCTTTCTCTTCTTCTTCCTACCACCCATAGTTGTCGTGGTCCAGATGGATGACTGCATCTCAGACGGGGCAGCCTTTTCCTGGACCTTGCCGCCCTTCTGGTCCTTCTTGAACTGTTTGAAATCTTCCAACCAATCCTCATTCTGGTGCTCTGGCAGCGCCTCTCCTTCAACCGGGATCAGCTGAGGCACCATCTCGTCCCTGTACTCCTTGTTTGGCTTCGCAGTGCCATCCGACTCCCAGCCCTCGTCCTCGTCGTCATAGTCGAACTGGTCCTCAAATTCATACTGGTCGATCTCACGTGAATCCTTGGACAGCTCTTGGAAGATATCGTCGTCCTCGTCCACGTACGCATCGTCCTCCAGTGCCTCCAAAACCTCACGCAATCGGGGATCCATGTCGGGCTGGAAGCCAGCAATGGCGTCGGGGATATCTTGCTGGTTTTGGTAGGTCGATCGCTGCAGGTTCTTGTTGGGGAGGACAGATTCATCCAGCAAAGCCTCGCTCTTGTGCTCCAGGTCCATTTGGCGCAAAGCGTCCTCGAGTGACGTCTGCTTGCCCTTGCCCTTGTCCTTGTTAGCAGCCGCCGGAGCCTCAACCCAGACAGCCTCGCCGCCTCCAGAGTTGAGGTCGCGGAGATGCTGCATGTAGTCATACTGGGTATCGTCATAGTAAACGCCGTACTCTGCCGCCTCTCCCTCGTTCTCTCGTATGCTCACAGCGTCGGAACCAAGCTCAGACGCAAGGTCGCTCAGGTGCTTTCCCTTGGAGGATCCCCCCTTCTGAGGCACCGGGTTAAGCACCATGGAAGGCGCATTTTCGTCGTGGATGAGCGGGTCATTTTGCGGTCGGTGGACGAGAGTGAAATGCTGCGCATTCTTCTTATCGCTATTGTTTCGTTAGCCAAAGCGCCTCCAAGAATCCGGACATATCTCACAATTTCTTTCCCTTCGCCATCTTGACTAATTTTGTGAGGCTTGAGGTTAAAAGCAGTCTTGGGGGTGTCTGGACGGATGGCGCAGAGGAGAATCAGAGTGGGACGGACGCACGAGAGACCCCTCGGTGCAAGTCAGTGGCGTCGAAAAAAAAAGTTGGTGGGGGATTTTTTTTGGCACTCGGATGTTATCTTATCGATACGAGCCCAAGAACGCTGAAACCGCTGGAGCAGGCGAAAAAAACACTGAAGGGTTTGCGGCGGGGGACTATTTGCCCCGCTGATTAATCGTCGCGGGGCACTGCCATTCTCTTCAAGGCGGGCGGTTGCGACGGGCTCCCACTTATTACTCATTCACAAAGCGGCTTTGGCGAGTATTTTTCTCTCCAACCCATTTTCTCATCTTTCCAAGGCTGTGTGAGACAAGATATCACCGCGAAAATGGTGCACGCCAAATCCAAGAAGACCGCCGGGCTCGGCAATGCCCTGATGAACGATCGCTTCGGTAAGAACCGCGGCAACGACAGGAAGAAGACCTCTGCCATCACGAGAGTAAACCATGCTACAGGAGAAGAGGTAACCGGGAGATTACACAAATTCTCTAGTTGAAACAAGCACTTACACTCCATTAGTACCTCACGAACGAGCGACAAGAGGCGTCATGGGTCAAGATGCGATCGGTCACTGAGCAGGGCGCGCTCGACGAGTTCCTTGCGACAGCAGAGCTGGCGGGCACGGACTTCACCGCAGAGAAGATGAACAACATCAAGATCATCCATACCGACCAGAAGAACCCGTATTTGCTGTCCGGGGCAGAGGAGAGAGGCGTTCTCGCCAAACAGAAAGATCACAAGGGACGCTTGACGGTGCCAAGAAGACCAAAGTGGGATGCTTCCACCACCCCAGAGGAGCTGGACAGGAAGGAGAGAGACAGCTTCCTCGACTGGCGCAGAGGACTGGCAGAACTCCAGGAGAACCACGATCTTCTAATGACGCCGTTCGAGCGAAACCTCGAGGTTTGGAGACAGTTGTGGCGTGTCGTTGAAAGATCAGATCTCGTGGTCCAGATTGTCGACGCTCGAAACCCCTTACTTTTCAGGTCCGAGGACTTGGAGAACTACGTCAAGGACATTGATTCCAAGAAGGAGAACCTTTTGCTCATCAACAAAGCCGACATGCTCACGCTGACCCAGCGCAAGATGTGGGCCAAGTATTTGAAGGAGAACGGCATCGCTTACAGGTTCTTCTCCGCAAGTCTTGCGAAAGAGATGCTCGAGGCGTTGGAGATGGAGGAGTCTGACTCAGATGAACCGGAGGCTAGCAGCAGCTCCCAGCCTGCGTCGAAAAATGCCGCTGCTGACGAGGAAAGCGATGAGGAGACCGACGAGGAGACTTCAGAGGAAGAGGGAGATCAAGATGAAGGCGGCGCAGGTACATCACAGCAGGAAGTTGAAACTGAGGTTGACGACGAGGACACCCGAATCTTGACAGTAGACGAGCTGGAGGGCATCTTCCTCAGCCATGCCCCGGAGAACGCAGGTATGTTAACACGCCATTCACGACATGAACTTCGGGTTGGAAACTAATGGTGCCTCTTCAGAGCCCGGACACAAGCTGCAAATCGGTCTTGTCGGATATCCCAACGTCGGAAAATCGTCCACTATTAACGCCTTGATCGGCGCTAAGAAGGTGTCTGTTTCATCAACACCAGGAAAGACGAAGCACTTCCAGACCATTCACCTCAGCGAGAACGTCATCTTGTGTGATTGCCCTGGTCTCGTCTTCCCCAACTTCGCAAACACCAAGGCCGACCTGGTTTGCAACGGTGTCTTGCCCATCGACCAGCTGCGAGAGTTCCAAGGGCCTGCCGGTCTCGTTACCCGCAGAATCCCGAAGGCTTTCTTGGAGGCAGTTTACGGAATCAACATCAAGACCCGCGCTCTCGAAGAAGGAGGCAGCGGAATCCCTACTGCGCACGAGTTGCTTGCCGCCTATGCCAAGGCCAGAGGCTTCACGACCCAGGGACTGGGTCAGCCCGACGAGTCGAGAGCTTCTCGTTACATCCTTAAAGATTACGTCAACGGTAAGCTCCTTTACTGCGAGCCGCCGCCCGGAACCATCGATGGTCCCGAGTTCAACCAAGAGCTCTACGACGCAAGCCATCTTCCAGAGAAGAGACGTCAAGCAGTCAACGCGTCTCTTGACACCATGTCGTTCATGGGCGATGATATCTCAATAGCCCCCTCCGACCTGGCAATTCTTCCAGCGGGCCCGAAATCCAAAAAGATTGACAAGGGTTTCTTTGGCGCTGAAGGCACTGGCACCGGTCATCTCAAGATGCCTTTTGCCCACAAGTACTCAGAGCAGGGCCAGAAGCACTTGAGTGGAAGAAAGGCACGGGCGATGATTGCTCTGGAGAATGGCGTCGACCCCAAGGATGTCAAGCTTTCATCAGGAAAGAAGCATTTTAAGGGAAGCGCAAAGAGCAGGAAGGGCAAGAAGCCGGCCAACGAGGATGATGACTAGATACCTTTGATGATTTAAAATGCAACAAAAGAATTGGGCCAAGGGTTGCTGATATGCTTGCCTTGATTGCCATGAAAAGCCACTAATATTGCAATGCTTATACCGCTCAGAATGAGAAATCTGTAAATGAGTGAGCGAGAGGACAAGGATCATGGGGTACGTACAGTGTGGGTTCCAGGCAAGTTTAGCGCGTCCTACACGTCGCGTCTTTTTGTCAATCATCGCGTAAAGTGCCTTTGCCCACTCTCTGCACAGAACTCTGACAATCTACCTTCTTGCTGCCCGCAACCTCCAAACAATAACGGCCAAAGCTACCATGCCTGCACAGAAGCCAATTACGAAGCCGGAAGAGGCTGGCGAATCCTCAACGTCTGCAGCGAAGAAGGCGCTGACGGCAGCGTCGAACGGCGTCCCCAACTATGAGCTTCCCTGGTAGGTATCGATGCCCTTTGAGTCTCTCTTAGCCGACTGCTGACGCCCTTCGCAGGGTCGAGAAATACCGCCCCGTCTTCCTCGACGATGTTGTCGGAAACACTGAGACGATTGATCGGTTAAAGATCATTGCGAAGGAGGGAAACATGCCGCACGTCATCATCTCCGGCATGCCTGGTATCGGAAAGACTACAAGTGTGCTTTGCCTCGCAAGACAGCTACTTGGTGACTCATACAAGGAGGCTGTTCTGGAGCTCAATGCCAGTGACGAGAGAGGTACGGAGGCGATGGCATCTCAATCACGACTCGACACTGACAATGGAGTGCAGGAATCGACGTCGTCCGCAACCGCATCAAGGGCTTTGCCCAAAAGAAGGTCACCCTGCCCCAGGGCCGCCACAAGCTCGTGATTCTTGACGAAGCCGACAGCATGACATCGGGCGCCCAGCAAGCCCTCCGCCGAACGATGGAGATCTACTCCAACACCACGCGCTTCGCCTTCGCCTGCAATCAGTCCAACAAGATCATCGAGCCGCTGCAGTCACGATGCGCTATCCTCCGGTATGCTCGGCTCACCGACGAGCAGGTGGTCAAGAGGCTGCTGCAAATCATCGAGGCGGAGAAGGTGGAATACAGTGACGACGGCTTGGCAGCACTTGTCTTCAGCGCTGAGGGTGACATGCGGCAGGCCATCAACAATCTGCAGTCGACGTTCGCCGGTTTCGGCTTCGTGTCGGGTGACAACGTGTTCAAGGTGGTGGATTCGCCGCACCCCATCAAGGTCCAGGCCATGCTGAAAGCCTGCTACGAGGGCAACGTGGACTCTGCGCTCGACAGCCTGCGCGAGCTGTGGGATCTAGGATACTCAAGTCACGACATCATCAGCACCATGTTCAAGGTCACAAAGACAATTCCGACGCTGAGCGAGCACTCGAAGCTTGAGTTTATCAAGGAGATTGGCTTCACGCACATGAAAATCCTGGAGGGTGTGCAAACGCTGCTGCAGCTGAGCGGCTGCGTCGCGAGGCTCTGCAAGATCAACATGGACCCGAAGAAGTTTGAAGTGCCCTCAAAATGAGCGTGGCTGCCAATAAAACCTGCCTTTGGTGGGACATAATGACTTGCATGATCCGGCGTTGGGGGGAATCAGGTCTGCGGTACCTTTTCTGTGTAGCTAAAAAGCCAAGGATTTGAATGTCCGGTGTTATACAATACTACGAATACAGGTTCAGATCAACTTTTGTGAGGGTTCCGGTTTCATTCATCCGCCGGCGGTGGCCTTTCATTTCTTCTCACTCGGCGGGTTCTCGATGAACTCCTGCTCAAACCTCTCCCACTTCGCCCTGTCCCTCAGGATGCGCTTCTGTATCCTGACTTTGGCCTCGTACTCCCGCAGCCTGTGGTCCGCCTCAAGCATACTTCCCAGCACCATGGCGGACATTTGCATGTAGCTGTCTTGTGGTTAGTGCATCTCATGCAGGATTGAGTGTGATGGGTGAGGGGGGTGTCGCGTGACGTATTACATCTTGAACTGAATCGTAAGGCCCTTGTACAACGGCGAGAACTTCCACGCAAAGGCTCCCAGGACGGCGGCCCCGGCACCCCATCTCGCGGCGCCGATGACGGCTCCCCGGGTGGCCTCCCACGCGGCGTCGTTGGCCTCGGCGCTCTTCATCTGGTCGTGCGACTTCATCTTGCGGGCATCGTCGGCCGGGCCGGTCGCTTTACGTCTGGCGGAAAGGTGATGACGTCGGTGCGTTGGCCAAAGTCAACAGCTTGCGATGCCTCTTGGATATGAGAAACGAGAGATAAAAGACTGTTTAGAGGGCCTCAGCCTGTTCCTCGGTTTTGATTGGTGAAGTCGTACGATTCCGCTCCTACAGCTCGCAGTAAGGGCTAAGGTGAAGCCTTTTACTCCATCAATCGCCGAGGTGAGCAAGTTGGTACGGGCGGGTGGGACGAGCAGACGCCGAACAGCATCCCTGCAACGTCCCAGCGGGCCCGTTCCTGGTCTTCCATCCGGTCCAGTGGGGGACGTCGCTGTAAAGGACACCCCAGGCCCCCGCCCTAGGACCGATGCAGCCCCTGAACGGTCACTTCACTCCCCGATTCTGCAGGGTCCATCTCCCACTATCGGAAGCTTATCAACTGCAACATCGCGTCTTATTCTCTCAGGCTTTCTAATGGATTCAGGCGCCCGGGACGGATCCATTGACGATGCCGAGAAGGAGGTCTTGGAGCTAGAGGCGCGCCTCGAGGCTGCGAGGGGGAAGTTGAAGAGTCTCAAAGGCGGGGGCCTAAAGTCTTGCGAGTCTCTACCATCTCGAGGCCCTCCGAGGCCTTCATGTGCGACATCCTCGTGTCCATGTCTCGGATTTCACTCAAACTAACATCTTACAGCTTCGCCCTCTTTGTCGAACCACTATCTTTTGTTACTCGCAGACTCAGCCCTGCCGCTAGGCTCGTTCGCCTTCAGCAGCGGTCTCGAGTCGTACCTGGCGCACACCAGAGGCCGCTCGTCGTTCAACGTCTTCCTACCCGAGTCCATCTCAGCCTACGCCTCGACGACCCTGCCATTCGTCCTGGCAGCGCATCGCAACCCGGATGCCGTCGCCGAGCTGGACGACTACCTCGATGCGGCTATTATCTGCACCGTCGGCCGCCGCGCCTCGATAGCCCAAGGTCGCGCCCTTCTCTCCATCTGGGAGCGCTCCTTCGCTACGTCTCTTCCTCCTCAGGTCGTCGCAACATTGCAGCCGTACACCGCAATGCTGAAGGCCGCCACCTCTTCACGAACCCCCTCGACCACGGACGACTCGGCCGAGCCGCCGTTGGTGTTTGCTCATCTGGCTCCCCTCTTTGGCGCCATCTCAAACCTGGTGGGACTCAGCTTGCAGCAGACGGCATACATCTTCATGATGGGACACATCAAGGCGCTGATCTCTGCGGCCGTGAGAGCCAGCATGTTCGGGCCGTACCAAGCGCAAAAGGTGCTCGCGAGCACCCAGGTCCAGCAACTGATCACAGCCGCCATCGACAGGGAATGGGACACGCCCATCGAGAGCGCCGGGCAGACCATGCCCGTCATGGACCTCTGGATTGGCAGACACGAGGTTCTGTATTCACGGATATTCAACAGTTGATATTGCTCAGCTCCCTCGATGTTTCCATTCTCAATGGGTATCATGCTCGCTTTTTTCTCTCTCTCAGTTATCATACAAACTTGCCGCCTGCCCTTGACTTAATCGTCGTCGTCATCGCTACCGTACGCGACTAACGGCCCCGAAGATACGGCAACCTTTGGTTTCGACGCCACGGAAACCTTGGAGGCGTTCAGGGCTGCCAGCGTACTGCTGGAGAAGATGCCTCCAGACACGATCGACTGCCCCTGCGGCGCCGGCAATGCCTGGTACTGCTGCTGGTCCCCGTTCTCCAGCATGGGCCGTTCCTGGTACTCCACCTCGTGACCCTCCCGGCCGACGGGGTTCACGGCGTTGGCGCCCCGCGCAAAGTGCACCTCGTCCGGCGCCTCGTAGCCCTCGAGCCCGTAGCTGCTCTCGATCTTCCTCCTCTTCCTCGCCTCCGGGTCCTTGCCCTCGATCTCGGCGACGAACTCTGCGGGGAGTGCCCTCCGAACGGCCTCGGCGGCCTGCTCCTCAATTCGCCTGGCCTCACGCGCCTGCGCCATGGGGTTCGGGTCGGCGGTCGCCCATCGCACGTTGAGGATCTCCTCGTGGTCCAGGGACTGATGCGCCATGGCCTCCTTGGCGAATTGGGCGTTCGCCTCGTTGGAATATGTGATGAAAGCGACGCCGCGGGTGTTGAGCACACGAACTAGATGAGAGATTAGCATTTGTTTAAGATTTCGACATGAAAGACGTATAGGACCTACTTCGCTCGATCTGACCCCATTCAGCAAAGTGACGCGCCACAATCTCCTCGATATCGTCCGTGACGTGTATCCTTCCCACGTAGATCGTGCGGTTCTGCCTCATGAAGCTACCAACACCGCCCATGTCGTCTCTGTAGTCTGAGTGCTTGTCGCGGCCGAAGCAGTCGACGTTGGGGTTGAAGATGTCGTGGATGCCCGGAAGGCGGTGGAGGTACTCGCAGTCCTGGCCCTTGGGGCATATGCCGCGGGCGAAGAAGAGGCAGAAGTAGCTGCCCGTGACCTTGTCGGCCCTTGTGTAGCCGCTGTCCTTTGCAATGTTGCAGCGCCCCTTGGCGTGCGTCTTGGACAGGTACTTGTCCTCGCGGTCGCCGCCCGACCATTTGTTGTACCAGATGTTGAAAATTGTGCCCGTCTGCGGCGGCGGCTCGGAGGTGATGAAGGATGGATCGACCTGCGGGCGCGCCGGCCTCTTCTTCTTGCGGATGATCTTCTTCACTTTTCTCTCCGCCGGCGCGGCGACCTCGCTGTTGGTGGTGACCAGCGCCGTCTCCTCCTGCGCCTCCCCTCCATCGACGCCCTCGGTTCGAGCTTCTGCGACCTCTTCCGACATGTCTGCGACTGCGATTGTGCAAAAAAGTCGATGTGGTGGTTGCGGACGTAGCTGAGACGAGTGGGTGTTGTTCGGGCAAGGCGATGGCGTTGGCGACGGCAACCCTGGCGCGGCAGCGGCGAGGCTTGAAAAATGTTATCGCGATAAAGCTGTGGCGCAAGCCGGCCGACGCTCAGTGGTCGAGGGCGGTGAGTGGCGACCCCTGCAGCTTGACGCAGCCCCGCGGTAAATTCTGCCACCGTTCAGTCTTCCCACGCCTTGGAGGACTCGACTGCCCCACCATGATGAACCCGTGAAGCGTTCATCGACCAAGAAGCAGCGCCTCTTTTTCTCATTACTCACTCTTTATTTTTAGGGAATTTTAAGGGTCGTGAGCCTCGGAGCTCATAAGCCGCCAAGATGGTGAACATTACGGAGAAGATCAAGGAGTACGTACCCCGCCTCCCCCCCAATCGAGACCGCGAAGACTGATGGTTCGCGACCAGGATTGAGGATGAGATGAGAAAGACTCAGAGTAAGGCGCACTATTTGTATCGCCAGGTCATCCCCTCCTCGAGTCAAAGGAATGTTGCAAACTAGTTGCAAGATGAAGAGGCTCAAGGGCTGTCAAAATAAGCCCTCGTGGGTGTTCGACAACCCACGGCTCAGAAGGATGACCTAGGCGGTAAGATTTTGTAAAATTGAATAATTGCTAACTGTTTATAGAGAACAAGGCAACTGGTATGTTGTGATATAACTCACATCCTCGCACAATAACCGTTAACAGCCCCCTTTTACAGAGTATCATCTGGGTCTCCTCAAGGGGTAAGTTCATTCAACTTCCACGCCCACAATGCGGCATGCTCACAAATGACAGTAAACTTGCGCGTCTGAGAGCACAACTTCTGGAACCCGGCCCAGGAGCAGGAGGCGGCGGCGGAGCAGGGTTCGATGTCAGTAAGAGTGGTGATGCCAGAATAGCCCTGGTGGGCTTCCCCTCAGTCGGTAAATCGACATTCTTATCCAAGGTGACGCGGACGAAATCCGAGGTGGCCTCGTACGCCTTCACAACACTCACAGCCATCCCCGGTGTACTGGAATACGGCGGCGCAGAGATCCAGCTGCTCGATCTGCCCGGTATCATCGAGGGCGCCTCCGAGGGCAAGGGTAGAGGAAGGCAGGTCATTTCGGCCGCCAAGACGAGCGACATGATTCTGATGGTACTGGACGCGACCAAGAAGGCAGAGCAGCGGGCGCAGCTCGAGGCTGAGTTGGAGGCTGTCGGTATCCGTCTTAACAGAGAACCACCGTAAGTGCCGTCGTCCACGATCTAGAGACCCTCCCGTGTCTGACGCGCGCCGCAGGAATATCTACCTCAAGGCGAAAAAGGCCGGCGGCATGAAGATCACGTTCCAGAACCCGCCCAAGAACATGGACGAGAAGATGGTCTTCAACATCCTGCGCGACTACAAGATCCTCAACTGCGAAGTGCTCGTGCGCGACGAGTACGCGACGGTAGACGACCTCATCGACGTCATCATGAAGGACCACCGCAAGTACATCAAGTGCCTATACGTGTACAACAAGATCGACAGCGTCTCGCTCGACTTCCTTGACAAGCTCGCGCGCGAGCCGCAGACGGTCGTCATGAGTTGCGAGCTCGACCTCGGCATTCAGGACGTCGTCGACCGCTGCTGGGAGGAGCTCAAGCTCATCCGCATCTACACGAAGCGCAAGGGAACCGACCCGGACTTCAGCGAGGCCCTCATCGTGCGGAGCAACAGCACCATCGAAGACGTCTGCGACCGTATCCACAGGACGCTCAAGGATACCTTCAAGTACGCTCTCGTATGGGGAGCGAGCGCCAGGCACATCCCGCAGAGAGTAGGACTCGGACACGTGGTAGCAGACGAGGACGTGGTCTACATTGTGAGCGCATGGAAGGCATAAAACTACACAAGAAGCGTGGAAGATGGTGAAAGTCAAGGGTAACGAGGATTTGAATTTCCTGCTCAGGCCGACCGACGATGCGGCAGCCGATGGATATAGCCCCCCTAGAATCCGAGCCGCAAAAAGTAGTAGTAGTAGAAGGAAAAAAGCAAAAGCCTGATATCGTTTCGTGTCATGTCATGGTGTACAACAACTCCGTTGTCCCGGAGTAAGACAGTGGTCTATCCGTAAAACGCCGATGAACCCCATCCCACCTCCCCAGAAAGAGACCAAGAGGCCGCCCGAGGCGCAGGCGCAAATTCAATATCTCCCAGTAGAAGGGAAGCAAAACCAGTAAAACAACCCGCGAGCCCATCCCAATGTCGTGAAAGCTTTTCTTGTCGTTTTGGTTAGAAGATGCGGCTCTCTTGCCTAGAAGCTGTTGCTATCCTTGGTAGGGGTAGTTGTCCGGTCGCCGAAGAGGGCGTCGCCGCCTCCGAGCTTCTTGGCGGAAGTCTGGGCGAAGAGGGACTTGGGCTTGACCCTGGATGAGAGGAAGGTTAGTCCGGGTTGGAAGACAACTGCAATAGAGTGAGGTCGACTTACTTGCCAACCTGCTTGTTGCGCAGGGCGCTGAGCTTGGCGGTGCAAGGGCTCATGATGTTGTCAGAGGGCGAGATGTAAGTCTTGGACCTATCGAGGACATCGAAGTTTAGGGCTTTGCTCTGGGCGTTACGAGTCTGTGGCTTGTGGTCGTACTTCTCTTGGGCCATCTTGCTCTGCAGGACCTGGCGGTGGTATTCCATGCTCTTAACATCCTTGGCAGCCTGCGAGTCGTTGACCACGACGGCGGCGTTAACGTCCTTGTCGGCGAGAACGTTGGGAGACATCTTGTTTGATGATGTGGGTGAGAAGTAGTGCTGGTGCTGGTGTTTTTTGTGTATAGGTAATGTGCAATGTTGAGCGGAGCTGGAGATGCGATTGTGCGGAGGTGGTATGTACGATGCGAAGTTGGCGCAAGGTGTGTGTGTATGTCTGCGGTAGGATGGAAGAAGGATGGATGGATGGGATTGATGTGGGCTGCTTTGGTTTGGGGGTCGGGGCCGATGCTGCAGAAGAAAGGAAGGTCTTTGTACTCGAAAAGAGGCGCGCGCTCTGTGCACAGGATTTACCGTGGAGTGTTTATGACGTTCGTGAATTACTGTGAAAAGATGCACACGCTTCACTCCGTAGGGGGCCTGTCGTCTTGGGTGCTTGGGTCGAAGTGGTGGAGTAGTTGCTGGGTGTCGAAGTAAACGAATTTTCTGGGTTGTTGACTGGGCAACGGACTAACCGAAACGGCGTGCTGGGGGGAGCTGGCGCAGGGGTTCAGGGGTGGTGAGGAGGGAAGTGCGTTGGTGGGAATGTGGGGCCTGCCTTGCCGGGAGACAAACAACGGGCCTTTGTCAGTCGAGGCAGGCGTCGTCGTCCGTGTGATGGGGATGTGCTGTCATGTCAGGTTTTTTTCCCTCGCTTTCTAGCTCTTTGCCTTAGCGGACTTCCTGGGCAACCGACCCCCCGGTCCTTACGTTGCTAGCTATCGTTCCTTGCCATGCATGTTAGCTGCAGGCAGGTGTTCGTCAGAATGTTGTGCTCTGGTCCGGCCTGTGGAGTGGCTCAGGCCCCTCCATCTCTCTCTAGCCCGGGTCTGTTGAGAGTCAATCACTGGGGACAGGTTGCTTCTGTGGTTGAACCGGACCAGTCAGTGCTGCAGGCATGAACCGTCCTGAGCCTTTTGGGAAGCCATCTCCAAGGTTACCGTCCACCCTTCTCCCGGGCCCTGGTGTTGCAGGGTCTTTCTCTCCCTCTCTTCATCCGGAATACTGCGAAGTTCCCGGCTCGCAATTACACATGGCCAAACAATAGCCCCAGTTGTGAGTCAGATGGAATGGAGGCGGCGGGCCAACCGTTGAAGGTTCGCATGTCATACTGTCCTACATTCCCGGTAAATGACCGATACCGACATGTCTGGCTAATATTGTACATTTGGTTTTATTCAACTACGCAAGCCAACCGCCGACGCACCTCACAACTTGGACCGGTTGATGTTAGCCCCTGGCTGCAACGTCTTGGTCTTGTACTGGACCATCAGCTGCTGCGTCTTCTGCTTCTGCCACTGGATCTTATCCGTAATCTCCTTGCCCCTCTTGTTCTCGTTCCTGCCGAGCTGCTGCAGATGCACCTCGTCCGGGCCGTCGGCGAGCCGCAGCGTCCTGATGTTGGCCCACATGCTGGCGAGGGGCGTGTCCTGGCAAACACCGGCCGCGCCAAATGACTGAATGGCGCGGTCAATGACCGTCAGGGCCGTCTGCGGGACGAGGACCTTGGCCTCGGCGATCTCCTTGAGGGCCTTCTTGGGGCCGAGGTCGTCCATCCGGATGGCGGCGTTGAGGACGACGAGACGAGCGGCGTCGATCTCGATACGGGACTTGGCCACCCACTCGAGGATGACGCCGTGCTCCCGCAGCTGCTTGCCGAAGGGCGTCTTGGTGGGGTCGTTAATGCGCATCAACATCCATTCGAGGGCGCGCTCGGCCTAAGAAGATGCACGTTAGGATATTGTTATCGTTGGAAGCATGTCATGTTTGCACTTACCGCTCCAATGGTCCGCATCGCGTGGTGGATGCGGCCGGGGCCGAGTCGGCCCTGGATAATCTCGAAGCCGCGACCCTCGCCGAGGACGAGGTTGCTGGCGGGCACGCGAACGTCCTTGAAGCTGATGTGGCCGTGGCCGTGGGGCGCATCGTCGTAGCCGTAGACCTGCAGCATGCGGTGGATTGTAATACCCTTGGTGCCCGCCGGGACGAGAATCACGGACTGTTGCCTGTAGGGGTCCTTGTTGTTGGGGTCACTCTTGCCCATGACAATATAAATCGAGCACCGGGGGTCGCCAGCGCCGCTGGACCACCATTTCTGCTGTTGTTAGCAAAAAAGACCTAGATGTGAGGGAGAAACCGCCACCTACCGAGCCGTTGAGGACGTATTCGTTGCCCTCCTTGCGCATGCTGAGCTGAATGTTGGTCGCATCCGAAGAGGCGACGTCGGGCTCCGTCATCAAGAAGGCAGAGCGGATCTGGCCCTCCATCAAAGGCTTCAGCCACTTGTTCTTCTGCTCATCGTTTCCGTACTTGGCCAGGACCTCCATGTTGCCGGTATCAGGTGCCGCGCAGTTGACGGCCTCGGAGGCGACTCTCGACTTGCCGAGCCACTCAGCCATGAGGCCGTACTCGAGGTTCGTGAAGCCCGGCGACTCCTTGTAATGACCCTTGGGCAGAAACATGTTCCAAAGACCAAGCTTCCTGGCCTTGGCCTTGAGGTCGTCAACGATTGCCGGGTGGTGGTTCCATCTCTCGTCGCCCTGGCCGATCTGGGCTTCCAAAATAGGGTCGGCGCTAGACACGCAACGTGTTAGCCGCGGCGTGTGGATTGCGAAAGTCCAATTGCTTCTTACGGGATGCACTCCTCCTCAACAAACTTGGCAACGAGATCAAGCGCCTCCTTTGCGCGATCGCTGAGGCGATCCAGGACCTGGTGGCGGCCGGGTTAGCTGTGCACGGCGACGCGAGCTCCCCCGCATTGGGCGACTTACGATAGCTGGGACTCTGGACGTCATTTTGGGATTCCGATGCAGAAGCAAATGGATGGTGCAAGTCGTCTCAAGGGGCGGGATGCACGTTGGTTTGGAGGGTCTAGAGGTGCAAGAAATGAGGACGGGGTCAGCCACACGGATCTCTACTCCCTTTTGAACGAGGAGTGTTCAGTCTCATCGTACGGTAGATGGACGATGGGACGAGCCGGAGCCGAGGTCCATTCTGGAGCTACAGTCGCCCCAAAGGTGGGGATTCCTGGGGTAGCCGTCTTGACCTCCGCCTCCGCGTCTGAGAATGGGCCCAGATTTTGCAGAGACACTGTCCTGCCCATTGAGACTTCAATTTAGCTAGGTTTGCCAGCTCGGAAAACAACTTCACCGCTTCAAGATGTTGCGGTCATGCCACCAAATATCACCTTTGATCATTTAGACTCAACAGAAAGCTAAGCAACGACTGCTTTGTTCTCAAGGCACTGGCTGTGTCTATGAATGGCTTCTTACTTCTCCAGCATTCTCTACGAGAGGCTCCTCGGCACCTAGTAACCCTCAGAACGAAGCCAGAGCAGTGGTGCCACTTTGGTGCATTAGCTATGCGGGGAGACACCCACCATGCCGCGCCTCCAATAGAAGTGCCCGCAGTCCGCTCCGATGCCTCGGTGCGGCGTCAAGGTCTGGGGTATTGGACACCGGTGGCTTATTTCTTCCATTTAGGGGCAATCCCGAAGTCATCGCCGCTCAACAAGTCCGGTGTCTGATGTGAACGGAGCTACACAACTCCATTGCAAAGATCTCAATTGACTGTCTCGACTCTATTCTGCTTGACACCCTCCGATCAAGCGTATCTAGTATGACAATGCTCCCAACACTCCATCTGTGTTTTCTTTTTCCAAAACCCCAAGCTTTTGACGCTCAATCTACGTGCGGTAGTCGCCGTTGATGGTAATGTACTCGTGGCTGTAATCGCAAGTCCAGTACGTCGCCTCCTTGTCACCCGTGCCGAGTCTCACAAGGATCTCCAGGTCCTCGAGCTCCAGAATCTCAGAAGCTCTAGCCTCGTCAACCATCTCAGGCTCGCCGTTGACCAACAGCTTCAGCTCCGGGGTGCCATCAGTGGGCACAAAGGAGACGTTGGTCTTCTCGGGAGCAACCTCAGGAACGTCATTGACAGCCTGACCAGGCTCGGATACAAGCGAGTATCCCGTCGCGCACAAGATGCGGCCCCAGTTAGCGTCCCTTCCGTACAACGCCGTCTTGACGAGAGGCGATCTGGCAATGGTGCTGGCAATCTTCCGCGCAGCCTCCTCGCTGGCAGATTCGACAACGCGGATGGTGACGAACTTGGTGGCGCCTTCGCCATCGCGAACAATCAGCTTGGCCAGGTCGATGGAGAAATCAGTCAGAACCTCCTTGAAAGCGGCATAATCGGGCGAATCCTCGGAAGTGATCTCCTTTCCTCCAGCTGCGCCGTTGGCGAGCAGGGCCAGAGTATCGTTGGTCGAGGTGTCTCCGTCAATGGTGATGCTGTTGAAAGATCGGTCGACAGCATGCTTGAGGACCGAGGGCATAACCGCAGGCGAGATGGGGGCGTCGGTAGCAACAACACCGAGGAGCGTGGCCATGTTGGGGTGAATCATGCCAGCGCCCTTGGTGGTGCCAGCAATGCGGTATTCGACGTTTGGTGATGAGGGCAAGGTGAAGGTCTTGGACATGAGCTTCGGGAACGTATCGGTCGTGCAGATGGCGGTAGCAAAGCTCAGCCAGTGCTTGTGAGAGGATCCCAGAGCTCCTTGAGCAGCCGGGACGTTGTCGACGATCTTGGCAATGGGAAGTCTCTGACCGATGACTCCCGTGCTCATCACAATGGTTGATGACGCATCGCCCTCACCTCCAACAACCTTATCTGCAGCGTGTGCCATGAGAGAAGCATCCTCTAGGCCTCCCTTTCCGGTGACGGCATTGGCGCATCCTGAGTTGATAAGGACACTGCGGATGCCGTGGTTCGCCTTCTTCTTCAAGAGGTCCCGGCTGAAGGTGACAGGCGCCGCCTGGAATTTGTTCTTTGTGAAGACGGCAGCAGCAGCGCAGGGCCGGTCTGAGCTGAGTAGGGCGAGATCGGGCTTCGTCTTGTTTCCCGGCTTCACTCCCACGAGAATTCCAGACGCCTGGAAACCCTGGGGGTATGTGCCTTCGTTCGGGACATACTTCTTCTTGGCGGCCGGAATGCTCTCAGCGGAGACCGAGTAGCACCTCACAAACTGAGCTAAGTGGCCAGGAAACCTCTTGACGGGTTGCGCCATCCTGACAATTGGCGACAGCCCAATGGTGTAATTGAAGGGAATTGACGGAGGGGAGAAGCTCGAGAGCCAATGGCTCAGACACGGCTTGCTGTTTTGCTGGTGCTGTGCGGGTTTCCTTGGGGAGAGGATGTTAGTCACTGAATGGAAGAAGAAGTTGGAGAGAGATTTGGATGACTCGAGGTGCGATAACGGCAGCCACCCAAATTTTTGACAGGGGTGGCACAGCGCTCGCTACGTACAATAGAAAAGGCGCATAAGGACGGACCCAGCTATTCTAGTCAAGTGAGTCCCCAATCCTGGAAAACCGTTCCTGAAGCTCTGCCCATGTCGAAGGGCCAATGCAAATGGAAGCATAAGCGCTATGTCCGTCTTGTGGCGGGTTCCAATAAGTAGGGATTGACAAGATGAAAATTTGCAATGCATCAAATTTAGTTAACTGAGCACTGTGCTGTAAACTTACCGTTGGGGTTTTGACTTCTCAAGAACAGTTCCCGGAGGGCAGAGTGAAAGGGTCTCGGCTCGGAGGCCAAGCCCCTGCAGGCGCCTCTCAGTGATGTCGAATGGCGGGGGGCGGACCCACTCAAGCTTATCGCTTCCGTCTCGGTGAGCTTATCGTCCCCGACAGTCAGAAAAAATTCTAGATTTCGCACTTGGTCCCTCCAACTCCCCCATCCCGCCCGAGTCGCGACAAGTCCCAATTCACCTACACCCGCCACTCTCGCAACCTCACACGACCTCCACGATGGCGCCTTCCAAGACAAGAACCATTAAGAACAAGCACGCCGCCAACGGCTCCGGCATCAAGAACAGCAAGAATGCCGCCAAGAACGCGAGCGCCGTGCCCGACGGCATCGTCAGGAAATCCAGAGACACCCCCAAGGGAACCAAGCCGCTGAAGTCCAAGGGAAAGTCGAACCTCGACGCCCTGCTGAAGAAGCGCAAGAAGAAGGTCTACACAGAGGAGGAGCTCGACATTCCCAAGCTGAACATGATCACACCGGTCGGCGTGGCGAAGCCCAAGGGCAAGAAGAAGGGCAAGATTTTTGTCGACGATAGGGTACAGCTCATCTCCGACTGCGCTTTTCTCGACTTTGTAATGGCTGACCCAATTAAACAGGAGAGCATGACGACCATCCTTGCAATGGTGCAGGCCGAGAAGGAGGGTCAGATCGAGTCTAAGATGATGAAGGCGAGACAGATGGAGGAGATCCGTGAGGCCCGCCGGATAGAGGCCGAGAAGAAGGAGGAGGAGAAGAAGTCGAAGCTGGAGGACACCAAGGACTCCCTGCGGAAGAAGAGGAAGCGCGCCACCAACAGCCGTCCCGAGAACGAGGAGAACGTCAACCACATCGCGATCTCCGGGTCCAGGGCCGCCAAGCCCAAGAAGAAGAAGAGCGTCTCGTTCGAGTAAGGGATCGGCCGGCGTAGAGGCGCTGCCTCTTAGTATTAGCATGTGTTTGCATCATGGGCGGCGTTCGGGAGTGCCAAAAACAAAACATACTGGACTGGGAAGTGGGAGGGGATCTTATGTTCGTCTTATTTAAACCCCTTGTAGTCTTTCGTGGCGTTCAGAGCAGATACCATGGCGGATCTTGCCCTTCCGCGAGAGCTTAATGCAGAACCATCGCGCAACTACCAGGTCGTGAGGCCGCTGGGCGACACAGCTCCTCGTTGCGCTGTCCTCAAGCTGTACATCTTACTGTCTATAGTTTGGTACAGAGTTACGGAATTACTCAAAAGCATGAATGCCTTTTAAATCTAAACTATCTATAACTATCTCAAGGCGTGTGTCTATCTGTATGTCTATTCCGAGCTTGCTTTGATTTCCATTCTGTGTCTCACCGGGTTGAAGTGAAACTCTGATTTACCGTTCGTGGGGGGAGCTCCGTTCGTCTTGGGAGGGAGCTGGCTGTGGTCTACGTTGAATGCCATATGGTTGAAGAAGTTTGTAACCTGATCCCGTCAGCTAAGAATTCATTACCATTGAGTTGTATAAGACGTACCGGCTTCGCGTGCCATCTTCCGCCGCCGGGCTCGAACCAGCAGAGATGGCCACCGAGAGACGTTGTGCACAGGACAGTGTATGGGTTCTTCTCAAACTCCTCATAGGGAATGGCTTCGTTTACAGCAATCTACGCATTGTGTCAGCCCATCTCTTTTGATAAGTATGAAATACTTACGGGATCGTCAGTCGCATGAAGGGCAAGGAATGGAATCCTGATGGCCAACACCGCGTCTGAAGATGACGCATCACGGTAGTAAGCACTCTCAGTAGGGTAACCCCAGCTTATGCACCTGCGGAAATTAGAACTATTCGACAGAGTTTCGCGACCTCACGACTTACTGGACTTCTCTGTCAAACTCATGAAGGTATGTCACGTTCTGGAGACGTTCGAGATCCAGGTTTGTGTACTTCTGTACCGCTTCTTTGTGAGAAAAAATGAGCTGCTTCATGCTGGCTGTTGGATCGTGTGAGCTCGGAACGATGTTGCTGTACAAGCAAGGGGGATAACTAACTTCCCATGACTCTCTGATATACCTCTCTGCCGAGGAACGTCCGCTTCAATGCCTTGTTTGCGACCTCGAGGTTGAAGGGGTTGGAGCACACGATAGCGGCTGTTAGCTCACAGTTGACGCCCTCCTCTCCGCAGTACTATCAAATGCCAATTAGTCAGTCAAGTCCTGTCATCGGCGATGGCATAGAGCATACATTGGTCAACATGTTGGCGCCGAGCGAGAATCCTAAGCCAAACAGGGGCCGGTTCGGAAACTTCTTCCTCAACCACTTGATCGTCTGTAATAATCGTCAGTCTGTCCTGTGATCTAACACATGGCGTGAGTTACCAACCTGGCGGAAGTCCCACGTCGCTCTGGCGTTGTACAAGATGCCACTGGTGAACTTGCTGTTTGCGCAACCTCTCGAGTTCACCACGCACACCTCCCACTTTCCCGAGTCAATTAATGGTGCAATGGCGTGTCTCAGGTATATTTCATGAGAGCCACCGGAAAGGCCGTGGAGAACAACCAGCTGGGGCCTATCGTCATCCGAAGCCAGGGCGTCAAAGTCCTGATCCTCAAAATACTTCGTCCGCGGCGGCAAAGTGCTATCCGTATCCTCGAAGGGCGCCGTTACAAAGTCAACGGCGAATGTGCCCTCAAATGCCTTGTCCTCGGCTTGGAAGACCTTTCGGCGATAGTATACTGGTGGCCCATGTTGCTTGGTGGCCGTCCACATTGTCTGCAGATGACCATTGAAGAGGAGCGGGTTCATCTGGCATGGCGGTGTGACCTTCTCGCAGACCTTCAGCAGGTCAGTCTGAGCACCATCTTTCTCCTTAAGAGACACTGGCGATGGCGCGTGTGTGAAGTTGATTCTGGCATGTCCAAGCCAGTCCATGGTTCGGAGTCTGCGGGC